TAAGAAATTTCATTGACTTTTTTTTTCAATGAAATGTCGTCTACTTTACGGCAACATCTATAAAGACTCTGAAAAATTATGGTTGCCGTTGCGCACCTGGCCGCACCTCTTCGCAGCCAGGTATACACAGGTATGAATTTGTTACATTTATACACCCACAACGTACATTTATAATTTATATATCAAATTAAAGCAATTTTTTTTCTGTATATTATTATATACGGTTGCTTAATTAAATCTGGCCGCCAATAAGGGTTGCTGGCTAATAAATATAGTAAATATTAAAAGTAGAGTGAAAGAGAGCTAGCGCGTAACACCACTAGTCAGACGAGGATAGCGATTGTCAGCTATACGACGATAGCGGAATCTGTAAATTATAAGAAATGAGATATTATAGTAAAATATTCCGTTGTCATTCAACAGCAGAGTTTTCATTGTATTTTAAAAAGGTAAATTGCAATATTACGTCGATCTAAAAGAATATAAATATGTAATCTTTGTTTTTTTTAATTTTTTAAATATAGACAGAAATATCTTTTTTTCGTAATGATGTAAAGCATGATTAACAGAGAAAATCGGTGATAGCATTTACTTCTTTCTTTACTTTTAAAAGTAGAGTGAAAGAGAGCTAGCGCGTAACACCACTAGTCAGACGAGGATAGCGATTGCCAGCTGTCGGACGGTTTAAAGCCATTGCACATGCGTCAGATGTTAGTGTTCTCAACGGATCAGTTGTGATTTTTATTTTAAGTTCGAAACAATGCTGTTTGGAGTACGTAATACACAACAAATATATTGCTGTTTTATTTGTGCATCGAAAAATTATCAATCTCATTTAAGTGAAATAAAATTTATAAGGATGAAGGCGTGTTTCCTGTGCGACAAAAAATGCAATGTACTAGACTTTGATAATGCTTCAGTCAAAAAGTGTTCTCTAATGTTATTGTTTCGTCGCAAAAAAAATATAAATATCATGACATTTTATTAACACTTGAATCTACCGATGATTTTGGATATCATACAAAATGTTTGAAAAAACAGTTTTAAAGCATAAAGAAGAATTCGAAAGTTTTTGCAAGACACAAACCGTAAGTAAAATTTTAATCGAACTTAAAAAATATAGGTAATAATTACGATATAAATAATACAGAGCTAACTTTGAGGTTATTTAGTAGAAATTATATATTTTTTTTATTTTTCATTTTTATAGAAAAACGTGGTCACATAGTTCCACCTAGTAATACCTAGGATATTCAATTTCTTAAATACGTAGAATTCTTCATGTAGTCGAACCCTTTTAAATAATCAATAAAATCATTCAGCAATATAGTGTAAAGAAGTAAATGCTATCACCGATTTTCTCTGTTAATCATGCTTTACATCATTACGAAAAAAAGATATTTCTGTCTATATTTAAAAAATTAAAAAAAAACAAAGATTACATATTTATATTCTTTTAGATCGACGTAATATTGCAATTTACCTTTTTAAAATACAATGAAAACTCTGCTGTTGAATGACAACGGAATATTTTACTGTAATATCTCATTTCTTATAATTTACAGATTCCGCTATCGTCGTATAGCTGGCAATCGCTATCCTCGTCTGACTAGTGGTGTTACGCGCTAGCTCTCTTTCACTCTACTTTTAATATTTACTATATTTATTAGCCAGCAACCCTTATTGGCGGCCAGATTTAATTAAGCAACCGTATATAATAATATACAGAAAAAAAATTGCTTTAATTTGATATATAAATTATAAATGTACGTTGTGGGTGTATAAATGTAACAAATTCATACCTGTGTATACCTGGCTGCGAAGAGGTGCGGCCAGGTGCGCAACGGCAACCATAATTTTTCAGAGTCTTTATAGATGTTGCCGTAAAGTAGACGACATTTCATTGAAAAAAAAAGTCAATGAAATTTCTTACGGATTATGAATTATTAATAATTTAATTAAAAACACTAGCGGCCACATTTTGATAGGCAACCTGGTGGATATAAATTCTCCTAATCATGAATATGTGTAAAAATTTGGTTTTCAGCAAACACTCGATGGGTACACTGATTCTGCAGCCGGATCTTAGACTAGTAGGCAGAGGTGCACATTACGGCACTTAATGCCAGTGTACAATGTAACACCCACTTTTCACTATTTATGTTATGTGTCTCATCTAATAGGGGGTGAGCCTATTGCCGGGCAAAATTCCACACTCCGTGCTACTACTGACAATTTCTAAAAACCCAGTACCTACTTAATAGGTTGTCCGACCCGGGAATCAAACTCGAGACCACTTGCCCGGCAGTCGCACTTGCAACCACTTGGCCAACGAGGCAGTCTAAGGCCAAAAAGGATACTTTATTAAAAACAAATAAATCTAGACGCAAAGGTATTTTCTTGCAATTAAAAAAGTTCTATTAATTTACTTGGTAATGTACATTATACTGCGTACGTTGTGTGATGTAGTTTCCGTAATCATATAATTTACAAGTTATCTAAAGTAGTAAACGAGATACAATAAAGTTTACAATAAAATACTAGGTTCCTGCTCGCCCTTTTCGCTGATATTTTCACAAGAACATAAATTGTTTAATAATAAAATCTTAAATACATACTCGAGTCTTTTTCGATTCATTTTAAATTGTGAAATAGGCAAACGACGTAACTCTACCTGCTTGAAAAAAATACAAAAATCATTTATCATGATCGGAACAAAAAAAAAATGCAAATTCTATTTTAGACCGCAAAAACTATTCAGCTGAACTATCTTTAATAGCTTACATTAAAACGTTCAAAGAAAAACCAATTTAATTTGTGTATCAAATAAATTAATATACTAATCACAATCGATTTAAATCTCAACCATGGATTCATTAACTATAATAATTAATGTGCAGATGTATGGTAATTTTACTCCCCGCTGACATAATGAGTAAATCGCGCATAATTGCGCACGCGCATCTAAGCCAGCAGTCAAGGCCGCGAGGATCTTGACCTACACGCCTACAAACAATGCTGGCCTGTCAACGCCCCTAACTTTAGAGAATGGTGTGATTCACTAACTTTAGCGGGAAACGGTATCGTTACAACTTAACTGAACACAATGTCATGTGTATGGCCGTTGGCCTAGTGCTTTAGCAGATATTAAACTATGTAATAAGACATTTATTTATTCATAAAATTAAAAATAAGTTTTGTCTATATCCAATCGAAAATTAAATAATAACATGCTGAAACTTTTGAAATATACTTTTGAGGTACCTATGTGGGTTCAGATTACCGCTACCTCCTAATGTTTGTACCACACATTTTCCACGCGTCCCCTAAACCCTGACAAGTAAAATCGAACTCTATTTTTGGCACATGTGATGCTAAAATTGCTTCATCCAAAATTGGTATTATGTCGTTGAGGTCACAATTCAATTATCCATTCTATGCAAATGGTACGCGGTGGGTAACCTCGTTCGCGAAAAACCGAATGAGTAAACGATTGACATGATGATGATGTAGGCTGCGGTTGAGACACGTGAATACCTACTATAAAAAACCCAAAGCTTATTTTTTTGCCACTTCTCTTCTTTCTTTAGAAATATTTTAGAATAACTAATTGGTCCATTTCGCTTTCGGGGCGAATAACCCGACCCGAGTGTCTATGCACCTATTTCTGAATATTTTATGCTAAAAACTGTAATTATAGAAAAATGGGGATTCAAATGCGTGGAAATCAAATCCTTCATCCAGGATACTTCAAGTAGGCATAAAGTACGCCTGTCTGCTTTGAGTATGAGTCTGGGTTTTAGGTAGCTTAAAATAATAGTTGGTACATAAATCTAAATAGGTAGTCTTTAAGGAAAAATTGCAATTAAAAGACTCGAAATCAGAGCTGTTCTAAAAAAAGATTCACAAATTTTAATGGGGTCTTTTAACCACCATTAAGATTAAGCATATACATAATTATGTATTTTTTTGTTTTATTTTATGACGTGATTTATGAGTGTTTTTGCTTATATTTTGAACTTGTTTGTTTAAAAGTATTGAGACTAAAGTTCATTCGCTTAGTTTCTTTTGTTCAAACAAATACTCCGTGCCTTATTGGGGACAAAACATAGACAAAATTTTTTTTTGTGATGACTGTATTTGGATGTGTGAATTCTAAAAGCAATTCTATGTGAACGTAAATATTTTGAAGTCGGCAAATGTAAAAGAATTTTAAAACATAAGAACCTAAAAAATAACTCATATATGTTTGCTTATGTATAGATAACGTTTAGCTATAGATATTTAGTTAGTGATTTCGGATTTTTAGGCGATTGATCCTTTAATTGCCATCTTTATCATGTTTCTCCACTATAAATCCTATCAATATGACAGTCTTACTCATATTTCATAGATATATTTTATTAAAATCGCAACTTAATTAATTCACGAACAGTGCCGTTGTTGCTTAAAAATAAATTACCTTTTATCTCGTAACTTTGTGCTCGTTTAGTCGACACTAATGTTGGCAAAAAGCGATAAAATCACATTTTATTATACAAAACACCGGGACCAAGCTGGATGCTATCGAATTTCTGCGTGTACCGTTGTTGTCTTTAAAATAAGGTGTTACGAAAAATAATCTATTGATTTTACGACGTGATCACGCCGGTCGCATTCTTGCACACACAGCTGCAAAAAACGGTAATTTAATTTAAAAAATAATAACAATCTGCCGGTGTTTGTAACGGTTTGCCAGCACCTTACTTCCTGTGAAATTTTCAAATTATAATCTTAAATACATATAAAAATCCAATAAAAAGAATATGGCAATTTGATTATTTCTTGCATTGGTCAATTTGGTCATAATATAAACAGATCTTCGATTCATTTTATCTCTTATCGATTGCAAGTTCGATCACCTCGCTATGCAAAAAATATTATAATGCTACGGAAAATTTATTGTTAGATGGCGGACGAGATTTTTTTTAATATAAAACTACGAACTCCTTCTATTTCAGATGGAGCTAAGGAGGCATAAGTCGGAAGGGACGTCTTTCCTCACATTTTGGATATTTTTACTACAGGTAAGAATTTTGATCTTAAATAATATCATCAATGGTTAAGTACCTAATTAAGTTATCATTATTTACACGTTTTTATTCGAAATAACAGAGGCACTGATCAAAATAGGTCTATTATTGCCTAAAGCCCATATTTCAGTATTATTTCAGTCGCATTTTCGGACTTCGCATTAAATATTTATCTAAATATTTACCCTACTAAAAATTCGTAAATAGAAAAATCAATCCGGTAATTAATTTTAAACCACTATTTGTCTGGTAGTCCGTCCGTGTACTTTCTTGGTACTAATGAGGCATTTTATCCTATTTCCAGATGTTAGGGAGCGCACGCCGTGGTGCCGAGGGTCACGGCAGATTGATGGACCCACCAGCTCGTAACTCCATGTGGAGGTTCGGGTTTCCCAACCCCGTCAATTACAACGATAATGAACTCTTCTGTGGAGGGTATGCAGGTAATTAATGTTCTTAAAAATATAGTTAGGTATAAAAAATGGTTTCCAAGTGAACTTTCAGCGAGAATAAACCGAGCTCTAGTTTGAAAACAAAATTATCCAGTAAATATAATGACGCAGTTTCTACGAATTGTTTGCGTACTGTGTGACAAAGTGTGAAGTGAAGGTGCTATGTATAAATAAGAATGCGTTTTTTTATAAGTATCAGCATTTGGTTAATAAATTATTATTCTGGTGGCGCCTACATCTTGAGATTAAGTTCAGTTTTTGTTACCTTATCGATCTATATGCTAATCTGCGATAAAATAAAAACAAATTGACAATCTACAAGATTAGACAAGATTTAAATACTTCCGTATTTGTACATGTCAATTATTATTATTCAAATTAATGTTTTTGAATTGTAAACTACCTAATTGGATCTTAACCAGTAAATGTCTGCGTCAGTCTATACTTAACCAAAATGAACACGCCTCTATCAGTGAAGGCGAAGTTTTGGTACTTAATATTTCATGTTTATTTGTATTCCAATTACTTACATACAGTTCACACCTTAATTTCTTTACGATAACACATCCGCATGGGCAGGGCATTATCGTTGCATTAGCTTGTTAGTTACCGCAAACATTTTTTTCTTAGTCTATTGATTCCTCTAATGATGCTAGGAGCCAACGATCTTACGGAAAATTAAGTTCAATGACCTATCAATAAAACTATTCAAGGTTGAAAGTCTATTTCATTTGTTAATTTACAAAATAGCTAATGCGAGTCACGTTCGTGTAAATCGGATTCTGTGTACTTATTTAAAGAATCTGACCATTGTGGATTGTCAAAGTCAATGGCACATATCCCTGAGGTTTATGAGTTTGTTTGCAACTTGCAGACTGCTTACGTATATACCTTCTGTTCGATACAAATACACAGAGCTGACTTTATTGTGCGATATGGTAAAAATTAAAGGCTTATAAAAATTGTAGGTGCTTATTAAATCTATTTCAGTCCAATGGGAGCAAAATGAAGGAAAATGTGGTGTTTGTGGTGATGCGCACCACATACCGGAGCCACGTCCCCATGAAGCAGGTGGCATGTACGGTAAAGGTATCGTCACCAGACATTACAGTGTTGGCCAGGTCAGTGAACATATATTTGGTAAAAGAGGTTATAAAGTTCATGTTTTAAAAATATGGAGTAAGAGACTTAAAAGTCATGGATTAATTGCCAAACTCTTGGAACGCGTATTAGCTTGTAAGTAACAAAGAAATTGATAACCCTTCTGGAAGAGAAATCCTCTATAAATTTGTGATGCTGAAGCTCAAATTAAGCTTATTTAACAGAGTCTGATGATTATCAACTGAACATAGTCACATAGGTACTGATGAACATTCAAAGAGTAGACTTTTATGCTATGATTTTAGCGGTTGGTTGGTAAGTAGCAATCGTGGCGGTTAAGTAGGATGCTAATCCAATTCCACAGGAAATCGAAGTAGAAGTGGAGTTAACAGCAAACCACCTTGGAACATTCGTTATGAAACTATGCCCGAACAATAACCCGAAGCAAGAAGCCTCTCAGGAATGCTTTGACAGGTTAGTGGACTCCAAAATTTGATACAAGCGTATTTTTTATTTGTATTACCCTTTTGGCTTTATTTTTAACCTTTTGAGCGCCAGGGTCACAAATACGTGACAAGCGAAAACTGTCCCTGAGCGCCAACGACACAAATATGTGACAAAAACAGCGGTACATTAAAACACGAAATAAACTATTTAAACATTACTTTAATGCCTATTTATTTATATACCTGTAAAATAGAAGGTCCAAAATTTATTTATTTCCATAAAACTAATTAAATTGCATTATAAATATTGAGAAATTTTACGTTAAAAAGAAAGAAATAAACTCTGAAAAAAGAATGTCCTCACACGCCAGAGTCATAACTGCGTGACCGCTAGTGATGTAGCGCATGTTGGATAATATCATTATTTCAAATCAAAGATCGATTCGAAACTTTCCTCTGGAATATATTATTTTAGGTATAATTTGGTACTAGGATAAAGCAGCATTAATTTTATAAAACCAGTCTTAAAAATCATTCAATAAGCTACATAGTCAAAAATAAAATTTGGTTGGGTCGAATTTCGATATTCACTAATCCCAACTCAAGCGCATCCCTAACGCAACCCGAATTATCAGTACCCTGTACGCCATGGTCACAACTAGACGACAATATCGTGACGTCACAAGCGCGGCGACCAGAAATTAGTGAAGTGAATGAATAATATTTATGATTAATTTACTTGTGATATCGAGTTCAAGATTTATATTAAGTGACTATTATAATGAGTGGGAATTTAATGACTACGGAAGAACTTCTTCGCATATTAGAATGTCATTGTCTTTACGAGGAGTAAGCAGTGAATAAAGCATGAAGGTGTAGGTAAAGATGGAGTACACAGTACACACTTGAAATACCTACTTGAATTTTTATTTCTCTTCTACTGTCTGAGGTCAGTTTGTTTCAATTTCTGTAGTACACTAGAAAAAGAGATCAGACCTCAGTTTGCCTCAGAGAATAGGAGCGACAGTATTTGACTCGAAACTTTTATTCTAAGTGTGGGCTCCATATTTACCTATAACTTCGTGGAATAAAGTCTGCCAAAAGTTCCTTTTTTAGCCACGGTGCGCGCTGAGATCGATTTCACTGTCCCCACCACCCACTTTGCACCCAGCGAATTAGATGATCAGAATGCAGGTTGCATTGTAGATTTTGTATAATTTTGTTCTATTATTCAAAAGATTTATTAGTATAAGACTGATTGGTAATTGTGATAATTATATATAATCGTTAATTGTTTTAATTTGTTACTTTTTATGCCAGGTTTATAGAACTTAATATTAAAAACATGTATACATAGTACATACTGTATAACATTTTATTAAAATTATCTATTTTTCATAGTTTTTATTTACCTTCTTAACCTATTTCAATCATATATTTTTAAGTACCTGTTACATTCGGAATTATAAATCTGATTTAAAAAACGTGTTTCATTTATTATAAAATAATATTGTACTAGAACATCGATAAACGAGATATTACGTTGCCACATCCTTATTTCGGAGGCGAAGTAGTTATTAAAATGGCGGGCCGTCCACGCCATGGTCACAATATGAAGACAGCAGATCAAGAATAGTGTTGTACCTACAGTTATTATATTTAAATATATTGTAGTCTCATATCTGTTATTACGGTATTATACAAGTCTGTAAATAGTGTATAACTATCACTTTAATAGGAAGAAATGTAATGTTGAATTAAATTTCAATGTTATAAGGACATTATATTTCGAAATTAAAGACGAAAATGAAAATAAAATTGATTATCGATGAAGTTTTGGAATCCCTATTTTTTTCGTAGGTATTTGCGGTGAATTTGTGGCCTGGCGTTGAGGGCAAGTTCATGCGTTTTTGCTCTGGCGTTCAAAAGGTTAAATTAAAAGGGCATTGGGCCCTTATTTACATTAAAAAGAAAACAAAATACTGATTTTGGATTTGGTTAATAGGTAAATAATGTGTATTTGGCAATTTTACTCCGTAAGCAGATTTGAATTAAAACTCTTCAATTTTTTCAGGTACCCGCTATATATCTCCGAGACGAGAGACGACAGGTTCTTAATCCCATTGGACACGGCTAAGAAAGAGATCTTCAGGTACAAGGTGCGACTACCTCCTTATGTGACTTGCACACAGTGTGTTCTGCAATGGACTTATTACACAGGTAAAATTAAGTGAGAGTAATTGTCTAGGTGATAGGATAGTTCTCAGAGATAGATAATAAGAAAAGTATTTTCACAGGAAACATGTGGGGCGTTTGCTCAAACGGCACAGAAGCCGTCGGTTGTGGTCGCTCAGAGACCTTCAGGAATTGCGCTGACGTCAGTGTGATAACCAGCACTGGTGGTCTTCCGCCTGCCTTTGCTGGAGACCTCAGAAGGGACTATCCCTTCCTCCTATACTACAGGGATCTTAATATGCCCAGAAATGTCTACCCTCTGGTCGTCAGGTGGGATAACACAACAGTTTTACATAAATCTTGTATTATTTTGTTCATAAATGTGTGTACTTCTGTAATTTTATTGTTTTCTTTTATATGTTTTACGTATACATATCTATATCAGTATATATTTAAGTACCTTACCGTATATTATACTTTATGTATCTTGTGGCTTAATATTTCAGACAGAAACTGACGGATATCCGAAAGGAATCATACGTAATTAGGTAAAACCTAAATATTATGTATGTTTAATGTATAAAATTATATGTTCACTGTCATTAACGTGCACTATAATATTGAACGTTTTCTTTCAGCAACGATATTGATACAGATTCCGTGGAGGAATTTGTTCCACCGATCATTAGGTATACTTTGTCATGTCCTTGTAATGATTTAAAGGTTATGGCTGAAGTGACGGTGTCTTTGTGAATAAATTTTCCACCCCTCTTTAAGTTGTGTTCCGTAGTTTAGTCCTCATATACTTAGTGTACAAAATATGACGTAACTAACAAGCTGTCAACCCCGAATCCCTTTTCTTTGTATATTAAGAATGTACAGCTGTATAGCCTTCCGTAGTTGTGACTAACATGACCCTGTGCTGTGATTGTGAATGGACTGAAAATCTTTGTATCATAATAATATATTTGTTTGAAGTAGACGCTTCAATTTTAGGCTTGTGCTAGATGTTGTAAGACCCTTAAAACATAAAATGTTAAATAATGACCAAATCCGATGTTTCAGAACCCTTGTGACTTGGGACTGATTTTCGTCGGCTGTTTCTATTACATATTCCTGTAGATTCGATGCTAAGTTACGATAAGTTGTATAAATATGTATTTGGAAGCCTATACGTCAAATGACGCTCTCTCCTAGCATTTATGCCTCTCGATATTGTATTATTAATTTCCATTTAGACGCATTACCTCCTTTCTATTTAGGAGTTAAAAACTTTCCATAATAATTTCCGTATTAATGCTTAGGTACCGTATTTATGGCAAGAAAGGTGAAGCAACCAAAAACTTGTTTCCTTTAATTTCTAGTTTATTTATTTATTGTCACCAATCGGACTGGTTTCTAAAATCTCCTGCTACAGCTCGTCTTATGGGTGTGTACATAAAAACGGCAAATGTACTAATTTAGACTAAAATATGTAATACGTAATAAAATAATGTTTCAGGGATCAAGTGTGTGTGCCGACTAGATCCTTCAGTAGACTCCCTGGAATGCTGAGTTGGTGTCAGACCAACTGCCTTCGATACCCCCCTAATTGTCCTGAAGAATTGTGTACTTGCCCGTAAGTATTAATTTAATCAAATTAATGTAATGACTAAAACTTTATTTCGAATGGCGCCATTTATATCCTAAAATAGTCTTTGATGGCTTTAAGACTACCTGTGCATATTAGGTGACTCAGTAAGTAGTCATAAAATATATTTTCTCTTATAGAATAATTTAAGGTAACTGATTTGACTAAACAATATCGATAGATATTGTTGAGTCAAAACATTTTATTTTTAGCTGAATGACACTACAAAAAATGAATACACTCGAAAATTGATACTCAGTATTCTTTAGTAAATATGTGGATTGTAGAGAAGTGGCGACATCTACGATAAACTTTCATTATAAACATAATAAATATTCAAATAATAAATCTAAATAAATAAATTATAAAATTATTTATTTGATAAAAATTATAAAAAACAGAATACTTTTTTATTAATTGTATTATTCCAAACCCTCTGTAAATTTCTCTTCATCCATATTTAAAGTGCCAGAACTACCTACTTGAAGTTGTGACTTGTGACTACCCTACATTATTTTATTTTATTTTCAGGCAAGTATGCGAAGCTACTGGAGAGCTGGAAGGTCGCGAGGGAGCCGATGTGTACTGCATGGACCAGTGTATCGTGTACCCGCCACGCTGCCCTGCAAACCGGTGCAGCTGTTACTAACGTGATCAATATTGAGCTGCTTCGGAAGATATTGAATTAAAAAACCATTTGATTAATAGTTTTCCTCATTGTAAATGTAGGACATGACGAATAAGGTCAATGACCTGATAGGGCAGTTCCTTTGTTTCCTCGAAGTAGCTCATACACTTGTATAATTATGTATAAAAATAAGTACCTACTTAATAATATGTACGTATTTGTATGTATTTTTACGATAAGGCCCAAGTAAATCAAATTTCTCACCTGTCAGAAAAGTTTTGACAGCTGAGTGATTGATTAAACAAAATAATTCATCCTTGCATTTTAGGGTTAAAGGTTTAAAAAGTTAAATTGGAAAATGCTAGGAAGGTTAAAGACCCGTGTTTAACACATTTTACACGAATTTATATACCTATGTAATATTATTTATGTATTTGTATTATATTATTCAATTACTTAGATATGTATAGCTGTACAGTTTTAGATTATTATTTAAGTGCATTTTTGACAAACTTCGCAAACAAAAATAGTGACTACACTATGGAAGATGTTATGTACCTCCCTGTAAACTACGAAGGTACCGATTTATATAAATTTTGCCATACATTGAAAACATGTGCCAGAATGTAGGTAATAAGAACTTATTTCTTGTTTAGTTACAATTATTTTTGTATAATAAAATTTCTCCTGAATAAATATTTTACAACAGTTGTTTTAATTAAACCACCTATTTCCAATAAAAGTGTCACATTTAGGTAGGCATTTAAAGATTCTTTCTAATTAGGTATGTGGTTGGTGTTGGAATAATGTTGGTGTTATTCTAATGTTAACGATTGGATTAAGTAACATATCAATGTGCTTATATAAACATTCTATTAGAAATTAAATTAATGATACTGAGATATTATTTGCACCAAAATCGAATTTAATTCTTACCTTGCAGACAGCTTGTTGATAAAAATTAATAATAATTATATTTTTCAACAGCACCTCCCTCGTAAAAAGAGATACTTCAAATATTTACCGCCATTTTTGACATGAGCAGAATCCGCAGTACCGTTTAGTTCTATTCCATCGATACTATTTTCATTAATTGAAACTTAATATTTTTTGTTCAAATTTCATTTCTACATTTCGATTATTAATTAAAGTAGCTAAGTGTCTTTTTTAGAAATTAATATAGCTGTGTTTTGTTAATTTACAAAAATAAATATCAACTTTAAAACGTACAAAGTGGTGTTAGCGGTGAATCGAAACGTATTTGACATTGACGTTGCTTATCAGAGTTCGCCTTCGGTCGATTATTTTATTATTTACGCAGAGCAATTATTATTTATAAAGAAAACAGTGATTTGAGTAAATAAAATTATACAAAAACATAATGAGTGATTTACTGGACGAGGATTTGGAGTTCCGCGGCGGTACTTTGCAGCTGTCGTCGGACACGAACGTGGCGGAGAATTCAGAAAGTAATCCTACTAATAATACGGATAATTTGGGAAGAAGGAAACCCCCTACTAGTGTAAATCCCTCGGTGTTATCTGGTGCAAATTCTTTGACCTCCTCTACGTCTTCCTTTGCCGGTATGTTTTGAAAATAATATACTTTGCCACATTCCTGTTGGATTAAGTTTTTCTGGCTCTCAGGTAAAAATTGTACCTTTGTCAGTAAAAATCGAAATGTTTTGTGTTCCAAAATGTAACATGATTATAAAAGGCGTATACTTGACGTAACATGATTATAATTGGCGTAACATACCTACATAATTCCCAATATAGCATTGAATTTTCCATTACTTAATAGGACAATAATAAAAATAGGTTTAATATAAATAAAAACAAGATGGTGCCTATGATAACTGTTGATTCAAGGCTACTGGTGGTGTTATTATATAGTTGCCACACACAGTTTGTAATATGGCTACGTCTCTGGCTACAGATGCCCGAGGGCCTGAGGACCCGCTGAATCCTGCATCGGAGCAGGCAACAGGTATCCAAGCAGTGTTCCCTCGCTATGATGTGCCGTTTGACAGGGAGAACATCAAAGATTTTTTTACATTCCGCAAGGGAGTGGTGGACACTGCCATACAGGAGTGTATCACCGCCCTGCTGTTCCCTGAAGATGGAGAGTACCTAGGATCCTGGCTGCTGACTGAGTAAGACTTTTAGTTTCTATTTTCTAAAAGTACATTGTCAATGTAATGTTATGCAATAATCTCAAATTCTTTTTTAATCTTATAAGTTTTTGAAAGATCAAGGCTAAAATTGTTTTTTTATGGGGCACTGGGATGCTTAATAGTGTAGTGTAAACTTGTTAGTGTTAAATTGCAACTTGAATATCAGCTTCAGCAACGAACAATGCCGTTAATGATTCTGATGATGTTTAAAATGTAGCTGATGATCAGGTGATGCTGATGCTGATATTCACAACAACCCTGGCGTAAATATGCATCCTGTCAATTTCAGAAAAGAGTATAGTTAGATATCATAGAAATTGAAAAATAATGACATGTTGCCATTTACTGTGATCATTGTTTATGATGTTGACTATCCCTAGATACAATAAAAAATATACCATAATAATTTTCATTCTTAGATCTGAGTTCCAGCAAACCATAAAAATATTAAAATTACTTTTCCAATAACTTCCAGAATAACACTATGGGACAATGAAAAAGAGAGAATTATCCTCCTAACTTCAAGACTTGTAATGACCATTAAATATGACTTCATAGCCATGAAACAGCTGGAATTCAAGAAGACATACTTGGATGACCTGGACACCATTGTTATTGGAGACCTGGTCTATCCTCCGTCATCATTAGTTCCGTGAGTATACTGTTTATTTTCCTGTCTTTATGAAAATATAAATGTATTGTGCTAATATTGAGTAACTTGGTATAAGGATAGGTAGGTAAAAATATAATTATGCCTAACTGTGGTGGTGGATCATAACAAAAAATATTGTGTAAATAGCATTTTTTGTTTGATGGGTCGATGTTTGGTCACTATGTCTATAGTAAAACACTATTTACTTAAAGTACATGTTATAGTACATTAAAAATGTGTTAAACTAAACAAGATTCTGTCATTGAAATAATTGATTGGAGATGTAACAATAATAATAATAGGTATATGTTATTGTCTACATTTTATTATGATTTCCTATTGTAGACAATACAACAATATATAAATTCTCCAGAAATATGAGTATATAGGTATTTAGACTTTGTTTAATTTTATTATTTTATTGTTAAATAAGGAGGGAGGATAAAATAAAATAGTTAATGTATTTCGTTTATGTATGAGCCAGTACAAAGTTCACCAGAAAGCTTTTTGTTTAAAGCAGAACTGGTTTTGCCGCGTTTGTAACGCCGCGCGTGAATTTAGTTTAGCCTTCATCGTATTCGTTTAATGATTACATTATTTGTAAATAACGTAATTTAACGGTCTTTCTACTATAAACTTGTATTTATTTAAGAGTTATTTAATTAAAAAACGAAATAGAAAGTATTACACAATGTTGTGTTGGTTATAGTTCTCAGTTTTTAGTACTAAATAGTTTACTTATTAATTTTGCTTGTAAAAAATACTGGATTATATAAGTAGTACGACATCGAAAGTTTAGTACTTAACTGATTTAAAAGTTGTTACATTTCTGGTTACCCTCTGAGGTATTCCCCAGACGACGTTCCAATGTCATTTAAGTTTGACGCGTTTATATTTATCAGGTTTATCATTTATGTTTATGTATTATTTTTGATAACTGGTTTTAAATATTAAGATAAGGCGAAACATAGATAATCGGAGCTAAAAAGATGAATTAAATAAATTCGAATTTAAGTACGAAAATATAAATATTTCATGTTAGGTATTGTTGTGTTTGCTTATCAAATCAATCAACAAGGTATGTATACGTAGGCACATTTGATTGATAAAAATTGTTCGATACTTATTGTTTAGGTAATATAAATATAATATGGCAGAATAATTATACAGCCACAGGTTTAATTAATTATAGTATTGATACTTCCTTATCTCTATTAGTTACTATTTTCTTTTTACAATAATAATAATAATAGGTACAATATGATATTGCGATATGTACATAGTACATATTGTACACCCTATCTAAATGAGTAACAATAAAAAATTTAATTATAATCTATACCTAGACAAAAATTTCGTCCACATTGGTTTAGCCGTTTAGTAGAAAATGTACGTGGTTTTTATAGATTTTTCTTTGTATTAAGTTCGTATAGATATGAATTATTGTAAATAAGGTAACTATGCTACTGGTGCTAATTATCTGCAATATTGTCTAACAAATGTGTCGGTGGACAGTCGTCTGAACGGCATCGCATCGGGGGTAACGACGGTCGTGAAAGACTGCGTGATCGACCGTCTCTGTCGGCGCCCCTCCCACGAAGAAGTTGAACACCAGAACAGTAAACTGTTCGATCCCAAGTATTTTGAACCTAGGTACTTTCAGTTGCTGTAGGACTCACCATGTTTTTAGCTTGTTTTGGGTTATTTTCGTAGCTTGAGCTTGTTTTTATACTCATTTAAGTTACAGTAACTTACATTAATCTGCAGTTAATCTCAAGCCTTTTGGTAGTGCTTGTTTAATAGGTACTTCAGTAGTGAGGCTATATTGAACGCAATATGTAGGTAAGTTATGTATACCTAAGCTGGGGTAACTGTAGTACTTAATTTTAGGTCATGTGACATTTTACTTGTGTAACTGATACATAATAACCATTTCAAAATAATATTTGTTTTATTGAGGAAAATACATTACAGAATTAACTAAAAATTACAATTTACTCACGTAAATATACTGAGAAAAGCTCTACTAGTTTTACAAAAAAGGTATACTAGTTTTTTTTTTAGTTAATTCAGTATGTCTCACGATAGTTATTATAAAAAAATACATTACATGTTTTATAAATACACTGGTTTCATCCCTTTGAATTTAGTAAAGTATTACAAAAGAAATATGTTATAGAAGTGACAACAATCCTCAAATTTCTAAACTCAAAGAGGTCTGCTCGTTTACTGGCTTACTCGATAAAAAGGATATTTATAATAATTTATAATTAACGATTAATTTAAGTTACATACACCTAACTATTGTGTGCAGTTTTTTTATTAAAGCCAAAATAATAATTCTAGGTATTCTGAAATAGCCCGTTTCATGTTTTCTAGAGGCAATGGGGGTTTAATATTCTAAAAAAAGCATGTACTGTACCTAACTGATTTGTGTTGTGTTTATGAATAACGCTAGGCTAATAATCTCATTATGATTTTAATAATTTACGCAATTTTAATGCATGTCTTTAGTGTGTAGCTTCATTAATGCTATTTTTTAGTATTTAGAATTATAATAGTGAGTAGTAATAAAAAATATGTAGTTTAGAAATATCCTAATATTTAATAAATGACACTTTTTAACAATGTATTGATATTCATGCTTTTATTTAAATTGGCAAGTGTATGTAAGTTGATGCATCAAGTAGAATTGATTTTGAAATCTGAAGCCTTGGGTTCGATTCCCAGCGCACATTATTATTTATTAGTAGGTATTGGAAATTGTCAGAAACAAATTTGTATTAGTATCTGAAAAACTGAAAAAATGTATACATCATTATAACATATTAAGCTAGACATATTACTGAAAATACATTTTTCATTATGAATCTGTAAGTATTACTCACAAGTTCACAACTAACATGGAAAAAACAATTAAGACAATCACCAAAATAATATAAGTATAAGGGAACTAATGAATTTAACGGTGATTATAGAGAGCGCCACCTCCGAGGAGTGCGACTGATGTGGAACAAGGGCGAGCCGATTCCATTGAAGACCGTGTGGAACCCGTTCAGTCAAGATGTGCCCTTCCTCACTTTCGCATCACATCCCATCTTCTGGTATAAAGGTGAGTTTTATAATATCTTACTTAGCGATATAAGCGAGCGACTTAAAGTGTATCTAAGTGTGGGAGTGCCATGCTTCGGCACGAATGGGTCGGCTCTAACAGAAATCAGACGTCAAACAACGCGTTGCGTTGTGTTTCGTCGTGTAATTGTTTTTACCGGAGGCCCCATTACCCCTCATCCCAATCTTCTCAATCCTCGAATCTTCAACAATCCTCAGATTCCTAATACTCAAAAGGCAGGTAACGCACTTGTAACGTCTTCAGTGTTTCTGGTGTCCATCAAGTAATCAGTCTGCTCCTTTACCGGTTAATACTCATAAAAAAATGTTGGCCTATGATACAATATTAAGCTGTTTCTACCGATTTTTGGCAGTAGAGTTTAGATATTTTATAATTATTTTTATATTTTCACTGCCTGGCTGATCGTTGGTGATGTGATTGCAAGTGCAAGTCGGGCAATATGTTATTGGGAATTCCAGTTTCTGACACGGCTTATGACTGTCAGAGACTGTCATCAGTAGTTTCGAAACGGAATTATATGATTATATGTTACATGGGACTTATAACCAAACCAAAAGGTCAATGCAACATAGTGTGCACATTTCATATCACGCAGGTATTGCTTGGTCCGAATAAAACTTATTATTAAATACTTGAAATAAAATACCGGTGACTTTTAATTACAGAGGGAGGTCCAGAAGAAAAAGCAACGTACGACATGGAAACATTCGCACTCAAGCTTCAAAGGGCGATAGAAAACATGACGTCATCAGCGTGTTGTATACACCATTCCCCCATAGTCATACAGAGTTACGTAGGAGTGACGTCACTTCTACACAACAAGACTAGCATGGGATTCTTCAAAGTCCGAGGCAAATTCAGCTTCTAACTAAAGGTATATTTGAATGGTTACTTATTATAAAGCCTGTGTACACTGGTACACAGCTCGTGGGGCTCGGGACGGCGGTAGGTAGACGAATAAAGCTATAAATGTACTACTGAGATGGTTATTGGTTGATAAAATTATTAAAGACATTGTATTGGACTATACTACCACTCAACCTAAGAACTAACCAACAAATTGGGTACTTAGTTAATAAAAAATAAATTATTTCGACTGTTCAATACAATAAAATATTATAAAATAAAAACACTTTCATTCATTTTTTATGACCAATTTAATTTTAGAATTTTTACAGCAAATTTTTAAGAAATAAGTGTTCTGTTTGACGCTAAAAAAACGTGACATCACAATACACAATCTCGTACAAAATTGAAACACAGAAAACTGTCGTTTTTGACTGTCGAGTTCGACAAAGTATTGAATTTGACGAGTTGGCAAGTACCCAATGTCGAGTCAATAAATTGCTTTGGGATTGTATTATCAAGCGAGATCCCAAATAAAAAGTAAACAAATAGTGTGACATGTCATAAAGATGTATATCGGGTCATGATGCATTTCATTAGTACATTTTTGGCATAAAAATTGGAATCTTGTTATATATGTTTATTGAAGAAGCTATTTCAATGTGTTGGTTAATGATTTTTATGTTTCTGTAGATTGAACTGAGAGTTCTAAAACTTGCTCGATGCTGAATCTCAGATTTCGAAAGCTCAACACTTTTTAAATATCATGTTCTTATTTTATTTACGAGTTGTTGTGTTTTCTATGTTTAGTTTGACTAAACAGATACATTTTTCATTTATAGTTTATAACAACTGCTAGTTTATGTTCCAATAACGTAGTTTTTCTTGGCGATACAACATAAATGTAACAAGATTTCACTGAACGATTAATATTGATAAATAAATATTACATTAATAATATTCAAGTATAAATTAAATTAAATTGTTGAATTACATAATGATTCGTATGTTCTAAGCCTTAATAAATATTAAATAATTAAAAAAAACGAAGCTGATTGTGATTGGTGAATATGTTTATGTACGTTTTTGCCAAATGGCTGATTCGAAACTCGTAGAAGATCAAGATCATTTAAAAAGAGGTTTACGTTGATAACGAAAATGGTCTGGTTGTCTTAAACAAATTCCTATTATGCATTTACACAAATATTTTAAGGCGTCTAACCGATGCATAATGACATAGATTGTACAAGGAGGTTTCATTAACGGTATCATAGCGCCTGTAAGAATCAATTTGCTAGGCAATTGAAAGACTCGCATAAAGTCGCATAAGATCTGAAGCAAAGATGTTTATGAACAAAATCATATTTGTCGATAGTCGAAAACCATATATTTGTACATACATTATGTTAATTTCCTTACCCCCTGTTACTCGAGCATCAGAACTGGTGGAAATTGACAGTACTGAATATACAACGTTTTTTACATCTGTAGGAAAAAATATTTAAATATGGAATCTTACATAATTTTAAACAGTTTAAGAAAACTCAGAAAAGCCTCGAAGCATTTAAGTTGCCAGTTGCATTGAAATGTGATGTGTGCTAATCGTTGAAGTAATATAGACCATATGTAGTTGGCGTTAAGGTGTTGTTTGTGATAATTTTAACCGTTAGAAGTATACTTCATTTATATTTTTGATGTTGTGTTAATTATATTCTAATATAATTTATGTGAAGTGTGTATTACATTTAATATATACACCTCTGGTCTATTCTTCGGGGGTAAATAGGCTAGCTAGATGTTATGTTTTGAGTGTTGTATTTGAATTAACACAGCTTTTGCTGATTATTATAATACCTTCAATGAGAAAACTTCGGCTTTTCCGTATAGGCGTATACTCAAAGAAAAAAATATAGTCTATACCACTCTCCAGTCTCTCTAACTATCTCTTAGACACAAAAGTCCCAAAAAAGCGCTCCGTTTCGAGGTTTCAATATAATAGAAAGATAAACATTCTCATTTATAACATTGATAAGATTGAAGTTATAAAGTTAACACGATCAAATTGTTGATTGTTATTGTTCGATAATATTGTTGTAATCTTCTTAGCTATGAGAACATAATAATAACCAGTTAGTCTCGAAAAAAAAAAATGTAGCTAGGAACATGTTTGAAATTAGAACCAAAAAAAAAATAGCTGATCGTAGCTTTTGCAGAAATTATATTATTGATGTAATATAGTATAGATATCTATAATATATGCAAGCACTTAAAAAATAATATGTGGGGTGTCAATTTTAAGGCGTTTAATATAGTTGTTAATAAAATGCAAGTCATAAGCAGGTCTATCATCTGATAAAAGTTTATCGTTGAGTTTTGAAACACCCTATATATAATAAAGACGTTGTGGGAAATTGAGTCTGTATTCCAGCATATTTAGAGTTCAAAATTGAAAACCCATGATAGTCTATTAAGATCTTATGATATCAACAGTCTTTTTACTTTAAAAAACTGCGACATTTATTAGCTTTAACAGTTTTGCAGGTTGCGCGCTGTGAAACGTACTAATTACGCGAAATAGATGCGATGTCTACGCATCGTACGTATGTACATACGTACACTTTAGCTGGCTAATGCAAAAACACTGAAATAGGTTACTTTAACCAATCATGATTGCCTCGTTGGCTGAGTGGTCGCAACTGCGACTGCCGGGCAAGGGGTCTCGGGTTCGATTCCCGGGTCAGGCAAAGTTTACTGGGTTTCAAAAAAATTCTCAGTAGTAGCACGGAGTTTGGAATTGTGCCCGGTATATAGCAATATGCTCACCTCCTATTACATGGGACTCATAATATAAATAGTGAAAAGTGGGTGTTACATAGTACAGGGGCATAATGTGCACCTCTGCCCACCCCTTCTGGGATAAAAGGCGTGATTTTATGTGTTTAACCAATTAGGATGATATAATATAATATGTTATGTATAGTCTAAAAACTGCTACTTGCAGTAAAATGATCAGTATTCAATTGGAAACTAAATTAAAATTATATTAGTTGTAAACAGGTTGACAGAATTGGTAATAAGTACTGTAGTCTTTATGTGCATTGTCGGTCGATTTTATAGCACTATTAGTGCTTAATAATATCCTTTCGTACCTAATTTCTTTTGGTGTATAGTTGATGTTAAACATTCTGCAAACGGGTCTGTTCTTATCAACTTATCTTGCAATATAATATAGAAAAAGATATTATTTTGTTTAGTGTAAATTGCTGGCTTAATGTAAATTTTGCTCAGAAACTATGTGATTTATATATTTAGTTATGTATGTCGTTCTTATAAAGTATTTTAAGAATTAATGTATAATAGCAATATTTTTGTGCACTATCAGTAAATTAACTTTATCCACCAGCTTCGCCAGCTTTCCCGCAATAATAAGAAAGAGCAACAAACATACATAGCTACTTTCATTTTTATAATTTTAGCAGGAAAGTGGAAAATGCGTAGCCATATTTGTCATGCTATACCGAAAATGTTAGACAATTGGCTGGGAATTAATGTTACCTGGTAATTTTTACAATATTGCCACAATATATTACAGCTTTAGCAGTCTCGCAGGTTGCGCGAAACGTTGACTGCCTCGTTGGCCGAGTGGTCGCAAGTGCGACTGCCGGGCAAGGGGTCTCGGGTTCGATTCCCGGGTCGGGCAAAGTATTACTGGGTTTTTAAAAAAAATCTCAGTAGTAGCACGGAGTCTGGAATTGTGCCCAGTATATGGCAATAGGCTCACCCCTATTACATGGGACTCATACCATAAATAGTGAAAAGTGGGTGTTACATTGTACAGGGGCATAATGTGCACCTCTGCCTACCCCTTCGGGGATAAAAGGCGTGATGTTATGTTATGTTATGTTATATTATAGCTGAATAATATTGCCAATTTAATAACACCTTTACGGTTATAAAAAGTGTGATTTTATATATGTCATATTGTACCAATGTTTATGTAAAACTGAATGGTCTTAGACCACATTAATTTATGTAATGTTACTTTATTCAAATATATATTTTATTTTGTTACAGTTATACATAATAGATTTATGTAATTTTTACATATTTATGTAACATATTAATGTTTAATTTTATGTAAATAGTTTTGTAGTTTGTTTAGTTGACATAGTTAGTTTTTGAGACACTGTGGCTAAAATTATATTTTATTTCATTTAAATAAGACATTTTTCATGTTTAGTGTTACCTAAAGTAAAATTGTAATATTGGAAAGCATTTTTATTTTATTTGATATTGTAATGTTGGCTGTTTTGAGGTCTGATATGTGTAAATGTAGTTTGAAATAATATTTTTGGAATATGTAAGAAGCGACTGTTCTGTAATTGTGTATCATTAATATTAGTATGTCAATAAAGTCATTTTCAATCTTATTCCTGTAGCATAACGATCATTTTCTCTCGTTTCTATTGTAAGTGGTCTTGATAAAGGTAGGCAATTCAAACATATAATTACTTCGGCATTTATTAAAGAAATAGAAATATTTTTTCTGTGTAATTCTCATTTGCAATATTACTTAATCAAACAATCATAACTTACAGAATTTTTAAAACGCAATTCGTATGTCACATTAAAATGAATCAAAGCGCATTTTTAAATAAAAACATACCTTACAATTCCAGGAATAAAGTATACATTCAAGTCACCTTAAAATTACACTGAATTTCAGATTACAACCGAATCATAGTTTAGAAGTTCAAGGTTAAATGCTAGTAATATTACTCATTGTATTATTAAGAAGTGATTCCTAACACTTACAGAATTAATAAGCGACGGTACATTATAAACCAATTAAAAATCGATTTAGTTCTGAAATGAAAAATATCCTTTTTGTGCTATCGATATAAAGGTGCTCCCACACAGCTGTTAAACAGGCTGTAAACTCTCCAGAAACGCTGACAATTACGTTCTTAATTCGAATTTAAGTGGTAGATAGCGGCTATTCAGATGTCGCTGAGAACCTAACGGGTAACCGGGGCTCCGGCTCGACGTGCAGGAGAAGGAACGGGGTGGTTTTTAGTCAGTAAGAGTCTGACACTCCCTCCCGCCTCACCCAGGTGGGAGCAGTCATTCGATGATTTTCCCCTCTTTTTAAAAAAAAACGGCTATTCGGATATTGTGAAATATGCCCTAAATGTCATCGTGTCACACAATGTGGTATAACGTTATATGACTGCAGTGTGGGAGCTCCTTAAGACATAATAATATAATAATAAATATTCAGTCTTTCTAAATGCTTTTAATTAATTACGTATGTGGCGTTTAATGACGTCTTAAAGCTAGAGTGGTTCCGCTGAGGGAACGAGATATCGCTAGATTGTATAGCTCTGTCTCTTTCCTTCAATGGAACTATTCTGACTTTATGACGTCATAATAACCCCGCTGGTGGACATTATAAAAGTTGAAGTCGTAAATGCATTGTTCTAGGCCTACAATATTATAATAATTCATGGTTCTAACAATTAGTACTTTAGATAACTAACTTAAGTTATGAAAGCAAGTATAGTTTAACAAAATACATAATAAACTAATATTAATAGTTATGTTGCTGTTTGTGTATCCGTATACTTGTGTCATTGAAGTTTGTCTTATTAACTTTAACTATTAAATATTGAAATCATAATAATGTGTAGTTTTATTGTAGTTGTATAAAAAATAAATAGATAATATATCTGGGATAACGGTAATAAGAAGGTGATTTAGGACCTAACCTCATTAAAATATTTATTGAAATCTATATACTCTTTGATTTATTTACATCGACATATTTTGACACTGTCATCTAGAGTATAAATATTTTTGTGTTTACTAAAATTCTACTGTAGTACTACGTTTTGAATTGTGAAATAATAATGTCGATCTTTCACCCTTTCAGGACAAAACTCCTAGATATATACTGCCTCGTTGGTCAAATGAATGATATTTTCGGTTGTAAACAATTCTAATAGCACAAGTTGTAGTCGGTAGATTTGTGTCCGATGTATTGATGTAGCTTTCTTCCCTATTGCATGAGCTTTCTATCATAACTGGATAAAAGTTGTGTTACATATCCTTTTAGAAATAAAATACAGTAAAATGGGCACTCATTTATGTTACAAATCTTTATAATCAGCGACCGGTTTATTACGAAAATTCGTTGTCACTCCAGTTGGCGGGCAAATAATAATTGTCCCAAAAATCATCTTCCAATTGCAGTTTACAATCATTTTCTTCTGCGGCTATTTCTCTGACATATCTTATGTCCTCTATCCACGATAAATCATCAATAACGTTTTTATTATAAATTGGTACTTTCTTGCGTTTCTCTAAAACAGGAGTTATGTTCCCTTCCCTTTTCTTCATTTTGAGTGTGTGTTTATTTTTAACAATAGTAGTGTCTGTAGTTTTCCGAATTGCCTTATTCTTTTTAATATCTATAGAATTGGCGGAATGAGCGATAGTCATAGAATTTACTAATTTCTTTTTGTTATTGGTTACTTTTGAAGTTTTAGCATTGTTCAAAATATGACAGCCTTTTGTTACTTCGTGATGTGAATTGGTTGGCATAACAAAGTAAGGTGCAGTTATATTAGTGGTCGGACTTGTCTTAGTTACTTTATTTTGGGAAATTTGAGTTATGTTCGCATCTTGATTGGAAGTATTTATAGTACAAGTCCTGTCGGCGTCTCGACAAGTTTGTATTTGACTTTTAGAAATATTTGAGGCCAAATATTTGTTTGAAATTAAATTATCATTCTTCGGAATAGAAGCATTATGCTGAACAACTTTGAGACCTTTAGTTTCTCCAGCAGCTGGGGTTATAAAATTATCTTTTGTTATGGGTCTTTTTGCAACTGTGCCAGTGTTTAATTTGTTCAATGATTGAAGAAAGGAATCCTTATTGTTTATTTGATTTATAGTGACATCTTTGCTTATGTTATTTGTTTGAATTATGTTATTAGCTTTATTTATATCGCAAAAATTAACCACCCTTATATGACCAGACGATTCTGGAGTAACACTATTAATTTTATTCTGCTGAATATTTTCAATAGTTTCAAAATTATTTAGTATACTTTGCGAACAATTCGTGTCTTCACTTCTGTCCTTAGAAGTGTGTTCAACATCTTGCAAAGATAAATTAGATATACCTCTATGTATTTCAACTTCAACATTATATTCTGTAGTTGTTTTATCATTGAGGTTGTCTTCATCTTCGATATTAGTCAAGTCGATAATATCTATATCTTTAGCAACCTTGTCATCATCATCGTCACCTCTTTCGTCGGCTACTTGAGTTAGTTGGTTTCTATCTTCATCAGGTATTGAATATACTGGTGATATACTAGTGCTTCTATTGTCACCAACTTCTATAAGGTTATCGTGGTTGGTGTCATTTATCAATTCTTGGTGGTCTCGTATTATAGCTTTCATGCATCGAGTTAATTTTTCGATAACCTGAAATATTATTGATTGTAGTAAGTAATCCATTCTATCTAATTTAATGTACCAAATGCCATTCGTTTGCTTTTATGATTTGACTCTAACCAGCTTTAACAATTTTGTAAATTTTTTGGCAATGGAATATGAAGTGATTATAAAGATTTCAAAGAAATTATTATTAAACATGTATATTGGGACACTGAAAAGTAGTTAAATTATTACTGTTGACCTGAAAACGATTCTAAATTTATATTTTATATCAGTCAGAGGACGAACAATTACAGTATTTTTATATTATTTTTATAATCGGTGGCGTTATCAGCTCCATGGGTAAACATAGCGTCATATGTAATACGTAGAAAAACTGGGCAATCTGCGTTTTTTAACGCAATTAACTATTTTATTGAAAGGAAAAATAATAGAATGCAATTCCGAGAAGATCTTGATAGCGTACGCCCTTAGTTTCCGTTCGGAAGCACTGGCGCTTGTGGGCATCACATCCTATGTTCTATGCAAAAAGGGCAATTCTCGAAGTTTAAAATCGCTTTAAAATTAAATTTTTAAAGGTTTCGCTGCTAAGCGAATAAGTAAATGACCTATTCAATCCGTTCAATAGGAGAACAGACGTGACGGTGGACTTTGTTTTACTATAATTATGTAGGTATACAAACAATAATATGCTGCTGTATGGAGTAAATAGAATTCCTCTGTTATTTCTCGCAGGCAGACGTAGGTGTCGAAAAATAAAACATTTGGTAGACATCTAGAGTTGGAGTCAAACAAGTTACAAGTTATTTGTAATATCTTAAAGATAAATAATTTTCTAGGAGCGACCGCTATCTACTTTGTAAGTATACACAATGACTGTGACCATGTGTAAGTACGAGTATTATCCCTACGAATATTATCCGAAGTAAAAGGCAGTTTATGATGCGATGACAGCTGATAGAGGATAATAGGGTAAGAAGCCCTATTGTGCCGACTTTAACCATATTCGGACAAGGAGACTATTAGGTTTCACAACAGGGGTAAGTACCTTGAACTACATGGTCACATGATCCATATTCAAATAACGGAATTAATGACATCAAAGCTTTTCCTATGACGCAGTTAAATTATATGTTACATTAAAAAATACGCATTTAAAATAATAAAAAAAAAACAATTGCTAGGGGATTTTAATGATAAGGGCTTCCAGGAACCCTGATTTTAGTACATCTCAACGGAAGTTAGGTCACATTGATTTTCGTCAGTTTGTCCGTTTGTTACTAATGTGCTCTTGATAAAATTTTGGTACTAACCGCACTGTTGCTATGTTAAAATTATAAATATTATAATTCTAATCCTCTTTACAGACAAGATAAATGTAAATCTGGCTAAAGTTGATAAGATGATATTCGGTTTGTTTCGTTTTTGACTAAAAATTTTAATTGGTATGATATTTTAATGTATTAAAATAATCTCACACTCATGATGGACGATAAATTAAGAATCTTGTAGCTAAGTATTCACAAGGTTAAAAGAATCAGAAATCTGCAATAGTTTTCTTAAAGTTTAAAATCTTAACATAACATTTGAGAAATGCGTATGAAATGCTATAAATATGTGAGCTACGAACTGATAATTTATTATAAGTATCTAAACTTGCAAGCTCTACATATCCTGCCTTCTAGTTCTGTACCTAATTTCTTACCTGCAAAGAGCGCTGATCTCTGCTGCACTGAACTTTGTACGCAGATACTTCGTTCATATATTTTTCAGCGTCCGATTCAGAAATCGGTATATGTTTATAAACGTAATCGTCTACTTTCATGCTGATTTCAATCAATCTTGTTGTTATTATCTTAATCTGCAATAAATAGTTTAATTTTTAAGACCAAATCTTAAAACCGCGAATTCTTTTCACTGTCGACAAACAACTGGCCCAATACTATAGAGTATCTGTAAATTAGTTTTTAATACTTTTACAAATATTTTTTTTTCTATAACCAATCTAAAACTATGTTTAAGTCGTTTTATTAGGTAATATTATAAAAAAAAACCTTATTTTGGTGTTTCATTATGGAATTAAATATTTCTTACCCCGGTCTTCGTGTCATTCTTTCTTCTACCCATTGTAAGTATATACTACTATGAGGTATTCGCACCTATTTTCCAAAATGAGTTTTGTTAAATTTCGCGCCAACTTGTGAAAAAGTAATAGACAAGACATATTAAGTTTTCTTTCTTCTTTGGGTATCCTTTCTGCATTCGAAGGCCTAGAGATTATGCCTATATGAAAAACTTAAGTGATTAGAGCTGGAATGAAAGTCTGTTGGAATCTTTGAATGCCTGCTAGGAAATATATCGAGTTTAGGCTTTTTTATAGTATAAGCGGGTAAACAAGCAGACGGATCATCTGATAAGCAATCGGCGTCGCCCATGGACACCCGAAACACCAGAGGAACAAGTGCGTTACCGGCCTTTTGGGGATAAGGAATTTGAGGATTGTTGTGGATTCAGGAATTGGAGATATTGCGGAGGGCGATTGGGCCTTATGACAAGAATAACTTTATTAAGAATAATATAATAATTAATAAATAATATTGTGTAGGCCTACTTGGCGTATTGAAATATAATTTACCTGTTGAATTTACTACCTTTAGAAGGCAGAAAGTATAATTGCACGAAAATAAACATAGACAATACCTAACTATATCTAAATAAATAAATAAATGTAATTTAATTTTAATATAGGAAAACAACAATTGCTAATTAAGTGCTTGATATTAGGTATGATGTTCCCGATTTTAACTTAGGTAAGTAGGTACATTTTCAAACATTAAGCATAAGCTTTTGCCGCGCGGCTTCATTTCCCTTAATTATAATATACACCATACTCTTGAATCACTATCTATTAGAAAGCGCATCAATATCCGTAGCGCAGTTTTAAAGATCTAAGCATACTTATAGTCAGACAGAGGAAAGCGATTTAATATTATACTTAGCGATATTGCATAATCTTACAGCATAACTCCTTTTCCGTTATTTGAAAATTATTTGCATTTTACAGCTAAGTAGGCAAATCCTGCATTTGTTGATAATTTTTCAGTTATCAAGAGGATGATTTCTGAGTATCCTGTTATATAAACTGCAAATAAATATACCGCATTACCATTCAGGAGTCAGTTTGCTCGTGTCATCGGGCACGACAACTGTGGGACTGTTATTGGGACAGTAATTCATGGCTAACTTAGAACAGTAAAAATGTATTTAGTAACACAAATAATTATTTTGTTATTATCAATATACCTCAGCAATGCTGGTTATGGGGTATCGGCACCATCAAGCGATCCATATGAGTGAGTCTATTTTAATTTTCTTTTCCGGCTGTATGGAAAATGCCTATGCCGAGTTTTACCCATAAATTAACTTCGGCTTTTTATGCGGAAAGATTGTTCGAAATTTAAATTTTTAACTATCATTTTATTAATTTTTAATGTCTGTTGTCTATGTATTTTTATTATTTTATTTTTGTTTTGTTTTTAATCTTAATCTTGTAGCTTGGGCTGTGTGGTCGTTGTTAATTTACAGCACCAAATAGTGTTAATAATACATATTTTGTCATTTTCATCGTGATTTAGCAATTTATTGCAATTTGTGTTTGAATTTGCAATCCAACTCTTGTGGGTGGGCTTGGACAAACAGAATTTGGGTAGCTAACTTAAAAAAGTAAACAGGTTATGTACAGGTAAACAGGGCATTTGTTGAATAAAATTATTCCTACGTCGACTGGTAGCGTAAAAAAGTCTGATGTCGTACCTAATCTCATTGATTTTATTTTATATCCAAAATTATTCAACTGCGTAATTAATATTTAATGATTTGATTATAATTTCGACTGCTAGTAGACAAGCTGAAATATTCATGAAAATACTGGTCAGTGTGTCTCCATAAGTATTGTATATCCTTTTTGGGATTTGTTTCTAAAAGACCTGGCAGTCTACCTACTTGTTTGTTTTTTTGTTAGGAAAAAAGTAAATCGCCAATAAAATTTTAACTGGCCTCACTGAAACTAAATGCCAACTGCCAACTGCCTACTCCATAAGATGAAAAATAGAAAGCATAATATAAACTTATCAAATCTTTCAGACAATCCGACGTGCAGGCTCCAGCATACGTACCATCGTATTTGAAAAACCAACGGTACAGTGGTGGAACGAAAACAGGCTATACTGGCACCAAAACCGGGTACTCTGGTACTAAAACCGGGTACAGTGGCACCAAAACAGGGTACAGTGGCACAAAAACCGGGTACAGTGGCACTAAAACCAAAACAGGTTATAGTGGAACGAAAACCGGGTATTCCGGCACGAAAAGCGGTTACGGAACCAAGTCCAGATACTCTGAAAGCAAAACTTGGTATTCTAATAATGGTGCTGTGTAAGTATTATTATACTCTAATGTATATAAAGCTGACATTTGTTTGCCCACAAAGATGGGGCGTAGTATACAGTAGCGCCATCTATATATTTATTATCATGAAAAACTATATGTTCTAATGCTGTACAACGTGTTGCGAGTTCGAATCCCGTATGGAATAACTATTTGTGTGATTCACAACAGAAATCCAAAATGATATCAGTATGAATGTATAAGTACCTAAACTTTTTTTTCAGGCCTAACTACAACGAGTTCCAGAACAACGCTAACATGCCATTTATGCGTAAGTGATTCCTTTTTAAAAATATTGTTCCTATAAAAGAAAACTGAAATTCGTTACTTTACCATTAGATATTTAATTTTTAGGGATTTAATCCCAGAAATTATTGGCATTCATTAGGTAAACAATTGTGGTTCTCAGTGAATTATTTCTTGTAATGTGCTTACGTAACATGTGACCAGTTATTGACTAATTTGTTTGAAAAATTCAACTGGTACTGGTACCTACCTACTTTTAGAGATGATGTGATATTTATCCGAAACCTGGGTTAAGGTACGTTGTCAGAATCGAGTTTGACTAAGGTAGTCATCACTATTCTACTAAACGGTCACCGGTGACCGCTATTAACTTACTCCATTATAGACCTTATTTCCGATGTTTAGAGACTACTTTTGTATGAACAATTATTGTGGATTTTTCATAATCAGGGATTAAGAAGCTAGACTGAAGTAGGTCTTAAAGATGTTAGTCTTGTAATGCCTAATTTTCCAAGTACTTACCTACAAGTACCTGTCGTTTGACAGTCGATATAAATAAAGGCTATTTTTTGGTGTAGTTTTGTATACTTAACTGGCTACATGTACCTAAATATGTGTATAACAACTAGGCGAGATGGTAGCCAAAAGTCAACCTATCTTGTAATTTTTCTGGGATAATCCGGTAAACAAGCAGACGGATCACCTAATAGTAAGCAATCGGCGTCGCCCATGGACACCCAGAACACCAGAGGCGTTACAAGTTACCGACCTTTTAGGGATTAGGAATTTAAGAATAGTTGGAGATTCAGGGATTGGGCTCATTGAGGAAGGGGTGCGGGAAAATTGGGCCTCCGGTAACCTCACTCACACGACGAAACGCAACGCAAACGTTGTTTCACGTCGGTTTTCTGTGAGGCCGTGGTATCACTCCGGTTGAGCCGGCCCATTCGTGCCGAAGCATGGCTCAGCCACACTTAAATATATAAGTATGAAAAAAAACTTTTTATAATGTCAACCGGAATATAATTTTATCGTTATTATATTGGAAAATAGTAGTGCTATTAATTTCTCGCTAAAATTACTAGTAACGATTACTTGCCTCCCAATATTACCTAAAACATATTCAATTTATAATCATATAGTTTCAAATTCTAAAATTCATTCTAAACTTAGCTAAAAGTATCTAGATAAGATGAAAACAGTCGCAAATACCAACAGAATAGGTATAAGCGATTAGTTAATTTATCGTTGCGCGTGGGCACAATCAATGTTAGCGGAAACGTCTCAAATCTAAGCCCGGGCGCCGGCGTTGCCGTCCGTCCGATTTGCAAATAATATAATGAACATAGTATGACCTAAATAGGGACAATGTCAGTGATAATGCATGTATTGCAGTCGCCCGGGTCAGGGTTGTGGCCTAGAGGCTACACTGGTTCATTTTCTGACTGGAGTACTTTGGATTTTAGATTTTTCTAACAAGTACATACCGTATTAATTATTCAAGTACGAACTTTACGAATGATCTGCATAGATCTGACTATGGGTGGCTTAGAACTACTTAGGCTACTTTATAATTTTGAAAAGCTGTTAGTGAAATTGCATTTAATTCTATATACTCGTTGAATTTATCGCAATGATTACCTGACAGAAACACTGAAAGTGTTTATTTTTTCACTAAAATTGTCAGTCAAATGGTCCCTTTTTAAGAAAATCTTTGTATGAAGTAGATAAGTAGGTACAAGATTACTTAAAAGATCTTAAAAGTTGTGTAGCTACAGTAATAGGTAGGTGTTTGTAGTTCTACGTAAGAGCCACCACATAACTTGTGTATTATCTGTTGTAACAGCAAAATGTGAGCCGGCTTGCAAGAACGCGGGTATCTGCGTGGACACGAACACTTGCGACTGCCCTTCCAACTTCCACGGCAAGTACTGCGAGTTCGAGAAGAAGCCCTGCCTCTCCTACCCACCCCTACCCATGAATTCCGCCAGGAAGTGCTCGTCGGAGTAAGTTTCTGAACAAAATATGATAATTAAACTGTCAAATACCGCGAGGACACCAGTGACCGCAACCTATTGTTCTTTAATTGTATCTATAATGACGGTACTCAAAGACTTAAGAAATAATTTATAAGTATAAGTTCGAAATCGCTGCATTGAGCAAGCGTGGTGATTAAATACACAAACCTTCTCGGTGTGAGAATAGACCTTTGGTCAGCAATGGACACTCATAAGCTGTTGATGTTGATGAAGACATAATGCAATGTCCATTTACAGGTGAAATGAAATTAATTTTAAAACCGAGTACCTAAACTAAAAATATACCTATTACATTCTGCAATAATTGCATTGACTTACGTTGAAGCATCAGTGGGAAAGGTTGCTAATCAACATTTTAATGATTTCCTTTTATTAAACAAACATTTAAAAACAACAGTGATATGACTAGTAAGACTTTAATCGACAGAGGCGCCATCTAAGAAGCGCAGAAATTTCCATAATTCGCAACTAACATCATCTTTCCAGACTATGCACAATCACTTGCGTAGAAGGCCATAGATTCATCGATGGGTCCACTGTTGCCAACATGCGTTGTATGGACGGGCAGTGGCAGCCGACGAGGGCTGACTTCACCACCATTCCTGACTGTATGCCCGAGTGTAACCCTCCCTGTCAGAACGGAGGAGTGTGCCTCGCTGTGAACATGTGCGAATGTCCTTCAGAGTTCAGAGGACCTCAGTGCCAGTATTGTAAGTATCTGCTGCTGTGAGATTGTTCAATGTGGGAAGGGATACTCATTATTGGTGTCATACGTAACGAATCTCAATCTAAAATGTGTGGATTAAGATCGATTTTTGACATAAATTGTATGGATGGATTTCTGACAAAAATAAATTGACGTTAGGGGAATGGACTATAGGCCTATACATAATTAAGGGTAAGCGGGTTCGATGTGTACCTGGTAGCTGTTAAATGTGTAGTTCCTTACGACAACCGCAGGAAAACATACCCTGTTCGGATTGTTCCCTTTTATATAAAAAGGTTTTAGGAACACTAGGAGTTATGAAATTAATTCTAATAACAATTTCCAGCGGTCAGTGCCTGCGACATTCGTAAGCTGGCATTCAACGGCGCGTACGACTGTTTCGGCGACAGTGAGTCGTCCAGCTGTATACTGTCGTGTCCAGCCGGCAGCACGTTCAGTTCGCCCGCCGCCGAGCTATACTCCTGCAAGTATTCCACGGGGATCTACGAGCCACAACCTATACCACACTGCGTTTTCCGTAAGTAGACTACATACATTTAAAGCTAATGTTCTTTAAGCTCGTTGGCCGAGTGGTCGCAAGTGCGACTGCCGAGCAAGGGGTCTCGTGTGCGATTCCCGGGGCAGGCAAAGGATTAGTGTTTTTTTTTAATTCTCAATGTAGCACGAAGTCTGGAAATGTGTCCGGTATATGGTAATAGGCTCACCCCCTTGTACATGGGACTCATAACATAAATAGTGAAAAGTGGGTGTTACATTATACAGCGGCAGTAAGTGCCGTAATGTGCACCTCTGCCTACCCCTTCAAGTTGCTCTCTAATACAATTGGAAGCAAAAAAACGGAGTCACTAGCATTTTTTTTTTATCGAACCCTCTATATCTTTAAAAAAATATATTCCTTTTATGACAAAATGCTCTCATTTTAGATAGTGTCTCCGTTTCTTTGCGCCCCAAGTGTTTAATGAATATTATTACAATACTCAACGAATGTCGTTGTGTACACTCACACCAAATTTTGTCAAATAGGTGTAGATATAAAAATAAAAGAGATTATAACAATTTTCTTCTGATTACAGCTGAAGTCGTAGTTATAACGCCAGGCGGCCACAGATACAACAGTGTAAGTACTTATAATAATATCTTTGTCTAAAGGTGCTCCCTCACCAGGAGCATTCGCGAGTAATGTAACGTTACAGGTCTGAGCATTACATTAGTGAAGGAGGAGAACCGAGCATTACAATGCGCACCTTGTAATGATACTATGTGTAATATCTTGATACAACTTGTAACATCAATGTCTGACATCTTGCTATGCAATGCTCAAAGTCGAATCTATCCAAACAGCAAACTATGTAACTAGATAATTGTATTGTGAACCTGATTGAAAAAGAGTAACCTATGGAGTTTCTTGCTCGTTTTTCTCCATAGGAATCTACACCTTGGAATGAGCAAATAGCTTCACTTTTAATTTTATTGTTGACGTTTAAAAGTGCCTTTCTGGTCTAATTGAAACAAATGATTTTGACTTTGACTTATGTTACATTACACGCAAATGCTCGTTAGTCAGGGAGGTATTATTGTAATGTAATGCTCAAAGTCAAATCTATAATGTTACATTACACGTGAATGCTTTATAATTGTGTATTTAAATATGTATTGTGGCGTCGAAGATAATTTTCCATACATCATCTTACAGACATACACATACTACTCGGAAACCTCAAGCGAGTCCCATGGTCATCATGAAATGATAAGTCAGAGTCAAACCCACCATTCCATCGGAGGAAGCTCTCATAGCTCCATAGACGAACAGACCACACATGGCATGCATGGCTCTCACTCGTCATACGGCACCGGTCGGCCTATTGTCGTGATACAGGATCGGACGCCTAAAGGCGGCACTTGCTTAACCTGGGCTGGTGTTCATTATAAGACTTTTGATGGGAAGATATATAGGTATGGCTACGGCAATTCATTGATTTTAATGGTATTTGAGATGTATATTTGTATAACATTATTTAGCACATAATAAAGGTTTCAATGGCGCTAGTGTGAACCTGCCGTTCTTCGTCCAATAGAGAATTAGTTAGTGTCATACCATTGGACGTTCAATATTTGACAGCTGCAGTGATTGGACAAAAAATACTCTCGCAACATTTGCGTCACCGGATGACCAAAAGTACGGTAGCCCCATTAATAAGATGAGTTTAATATTATGTGCACCTACTGAAATAGCCTTCCCGTTCAAGAATTAAAAGCGCGATACTAAAAAAGATTACTAAGCAATACTTTCTTACTTCATAATTACTACAACGTGTAGCAGGTTCGAATCCCGCATGGAGTGTGTGTATCCCACTCTTTGTGTGATCCACAAATTGTGGTTCCGGATCTGGGTGTTATGTGTGTGTACTTGTATGTTTGTAAACGCACCCACGACACAGGAGAATACCCTAGTGTGGGGAAAATTTTAAAAAAGGTTCGGCGTTTGACAAACATTATTTTGTCACCAGCTTCCAATCCCCCTGCCAGCATATCTTGGTCCGCGAAGCGAAGGAGCACCTGTACTCAGTAGAGATCAAGCACGGCGTCTGTAAGAACCCAGCTGTTTGTCCCAGCGAGCTGACAGTCTACCTCGACGATAAATCCTACGTTCTAAGTGTTGGAGGTGAGCAAACATTTACATATTACAATGCGCAGTTTGCGCAATAATGAGGGATAATTTTAATCCCACCTTTAATATGAATTGTTTAGTACCTAGTAAAAGTTTTATTGGATAATATTCATTACGGCAGTTAGCCTGCCTGCTTTAAGCAACTTGTACCTTTTAGCAACGAAGTACCACACTATTGCATATGACTAATTCGAAGTGATCGCGTAATATTACTCCATTGATTGATTGCGCTATCATTTTGGCGCGCATCCTTAGAGGTATGAAAACTAATAGTTCGAATTATCCCTTTTGTAACTTATATAATATTATTCTACAGACGACGGATCCGTGGTATTCCGTAACACGAAGCGACTGATTCCAATCCCGGCATCGCTGCCCGGTATCCGTGTTGCTATGCCCAGTGACTACGTCGTTGTTAACTTGGACGCCGTCGGAGTTACTATTAAATGGGATACCAATGTAAGTACCTAATCTTTATAAAATATAAACCTTCAATCTTCAGGGAGAAACCTGGGTCACAGGTCTAACTAGTCGAGACACGGAAGGGTTGCCGGGCTCCGGCTCGAAGAGCAGGAGTAGGAACGGGGTGGTTTTTAGTCAGTAAGAGCCTGAAACTCCTTCTCCCCTAACCAAAGGCGGGAGACTACATTGGATGATTTTCTCCCCTCAAAGAAAAGGCATAACTAGTCATATACCGTGGCCACGACTTAAGGCAGGAGTAGGAACGGTGTGTTTTTGGTCAGTAATAGTCACTCCCTCCCGGGACACACATAACATTCCCTCCCGCCTGACACAGGTCAGACGGAGTCATTTAGTGATTTTTAATCTTTATAAACTAGCAAGCAAGGTAACCTTTAAAGGGCGTCTAGCTTTTTGAGAGCAAAGAAAAAGAAGTGTGAATTTCTTATCGGACTATCCTGGAGGTTACCATCGACCCCTATAGGGCGCATCAAGTCCTCTACTTAGTTTTTTGTGTTGGTTTCTAAGGCTAACCAAAATTCACAGCTAATCCGTTGATTATAAAAACTCATCAACAGCCTATAAATGCCCACTGCTGAGCAAAGCCTCACACGGAGAAGGTTTGAGCATTAATCACCACGCTTGGTCTAGGCGGGTTGGCGATTTTAAACTTATAATTAGAAATTATAAGTTCACGTTTCCTCACGATGTTTTCCTTTACCGTTTGTCAGTGGTGTCTAAATAATCTTTAGAAAGTACATATAAGTCGGAAAAAGTTACATTAGTACTTGCTGTTGGTAAGTTTCGAACCCTGAAAGCGGAGGTCTTAAACCTTCGGCCCACTACGACATTTTTTTATAGGCATATAAAAAAATACAAAACAAAAATATCCGGTCAAGTGCGAAGTACTATTATTGACGCGCCTCCAGTAACTAAATACCGTTATAAAAGTGGGTGTGTTATAGGTCAATCAACTATGCAAGGACATTAGAGTGCAAACGATATTTATTTGTTAATATTATATTATACATAATTCGGTATTTATTTACCTTATCTAGCATCCGTTTATGATCCTGGATAAACTGTTTGTGTGTCCGCCCGTCTGCATCCGCTTTGAGATAGATTCGTTATTAATATTCAATCTAAATAAATTGGTATTTAAATTATCAAGCTGGCGTTGCTGCCTCGTTAGTAAAGTGGTTGTAAGTCCGACTATTGAGCTTCGATTCTAGAGCCGGCCATACCAATTTTGGTAGTTTTTTTTTTCGGCTTTTGCCTATACGCACAAGCCTGGACCTAGACTATTATGAGAACCCTTATTAATGGGACATAATATATGTAACTAGGCAGAAAGAGGTGTTACATTGCATATGTTATGTATACACACCTTTAACCCATTCAGGGATTAAAAAAAACATGGACTTTATGTATCTATGTTTAATTACTCTATCTTTAAAAAAAACACAACTTTCTCTTTCAGAACGTGGTTCTAGTAGAAGGATCTGTTGTTGTATGGAACAATACTGAAGGTCTTTGTGGCACGCTCAACGGTAACCCTGAAGATGACTTCATGACCAGGGACAAAACTATCGCTAAAACAAAGTCTGTCCTCGCTTCATCCTGGCAAGTCAATAAGATTGGAGGTAAGATATTCAGAAGGGAGTATTTAAATGTTTCCAGTTATTATAAAATTTGAAAAAGGTTTCCTACAATGATTTGTATTGATACATATTCATTTATTCTTGCCTAAATACCATATTTTGTTTTGACGAAAAAGTTATTAACAGTAATTGTAAAGATACTAAACGAAATTTATTTTCAAATCTCATCCCCGTAAAAGATATAAAAAGCAAGACCTTTTCTCAGATGTCTGTGACAGCCAACCAACGGAAACGAGCGCTTGCGCATCGAAATCGGACGACGACATGACGAAAGCGCAGCATTTCTGCGCTACGATATTCTCGAAAGATAAATTTAGGAAGTGTTCGAAGGTAATTGTTTAGTAATTAATATAAGAAAACACAATTTTGTTAATATACAGGGTGTCCATGAAGTCGACGATCAAATGGCACCAGGTGATCGCCAAGGTTCCAACAGTTATCAGAAAAATAATAAACAAGGTTTTACACAAACTGGGATTTCTTAAAAATCGATCTAAAAATAAGCCTATCTTTTTTCTAATTATAATCATCTCCAAATAAATAGGTATCGTTAGGATACCTCCTAATGAAACCTAGTTATACGTTGATATATCGTATCATTATTTTTTTCGTACAATCGTAGTCTCTAACCATGGGTAATAAAGTTTATAATGGAGTTAGTGCAGAGCGGTGACCGGTGACCGCTTGGGCACAGAACATTTAATAGATTATTGATAGAATAGTTTAATTAATAGATAACAAACACATTTTTACGTGACATTTTCATACTTAAGATTTTTTTTTTGTAATAGGTTATGGATGTGACTCTTCTACTGGAAGCGTGTGCATGGGATTACTGCGCTTGTACCACCAGCCTAAGTGAGTAGCGTATTGTTATTATGTTTATTTGTTTGTATACGTTGAAATTTTGGGTTGCATTAATTCCTTCCATGAATTAGTTAAGAACTTGCAAGAAATTCGGAATCTGTATCGAAATCGATTTAGCGATAATCGATATGCGATATCTACATTATTTTTTTATGGGATGATGCGGAGTACAAGCAGTCCTATCACCTGATGGTTAACAATCGGCGCCGCCCATAGACATCTGGAACAATAGAGTATTAAAAGTGCGTCGTGCGCTGAAGATTAGGGCACGGGTTTTGTGCCCCCGAGAATATCTCTAAATAAATATTGTTCTTACTTAATGTATGACGCCTATTGCAGGTCCCGAGGACTGCGCTTGCAGTACTGTCTCCGTGTACGCCAAGGAGTGTCTCCGTCACGGAGTCGAGGAGATGAAGGACTGGCGAGATGCTGAGACTTGTCGTAAGTTATCAAATAGACAATAGTTACTTTTCATACAAATTTCAGAAAGTACATAACATTTTTAACAACCATTATAAAATATCGTCTGCAGTTTCGAAAGTAGCTTGTTGTAACATATTATGTTAATACTAGCGGACCCGACAAACGTTGTCCTGTAATAATAGGTATAGATAAATAACCTAGAAACCAACTGCAGCGCCATCTGCCGGGCTGATTTGTGAATCTAAACCATTCCCAGATCCCCTTGAACACACACAAAAAATTTCATCAAAATCGGTCCAGTCGTCTGGGAGAAGTTCAGTGACATACACACTCACAGAAGAATTATGTATATAAAGATTTTAAATTATCATAAATAAATATCGATACAATCATAATAATATAATTATATATGTAAAAAAACATGATATGATATATTCCAAAATAAGCTATTATTTTTAATTTTTAAAAAAACAATGTCCCACACTAGGATTTTCTCCTGTGTCGTGAGTGCGTTTACAAGCAAGTTCACATACACATGACACCCAGACCCGGAACAACAATTGTGGATCACACAAAGAGTTGTTCCGTGTGGGGACTCGGACCCGCGACACGTTGCGCGGCAGCCAGTTGCCCAGCCACCACGTCAACCGTGGATTATTCTATTGCTATGCTATTATTCGTATGTGCAAAACTTAAAAACTCATGAACTCATTGGCATTTTTTACTTGGCGGCTCCAAATACCTACTAAACATATGTTTTTATAATAACTATCGTGAGACATACTAAATTAACTAAAATCACGGGTTACTCACGTGAATACACTGAGAAAAGCTTTACTAGTTGTTAACCACAGAGGAGTTCTTCCTCATGAGCAGCGTGCGCGGTCGCGGCGACGTCGCGCAGCTCACTGATTAGTTACTAGTTAATTTACCTTCTAAATCTAAACAATTCATTATATTTCAGCAATGAAGTGTCCAGAAGGCAAGATCTACAAGGCCTGCGGTCCAGACTCCCAGCCAAGCTGTGCGTTCCCCCTGGTGTCCGCGAAGGCCACCAACGCTTCCTGCGTGGAGGGATGCTTCTGTCCTGAAGGTCTACTCCTTGAGGGGGGCAAGTGTGTGCCCAAGACTGAATGCCCTTGCCGGTTGAGGAATAAGAGCTTTAAACCTGGATCTACTGTTAAGAAGGACTGTAATACTTGGTAAGTGGGTTTTACAGTTCGGTGTAGTAACTTTTTGTATTCAATATTTTATCTGGTTTAAGTGTAGTTTCTTTTATAAAGCTAGAAACAAATATTGTGTAAAGATTATAAATTGTGATTTTATTGTTGAAAGTTTGCAAGATAGATAAGACTGCCTCGTTGGCCGCAAGTGGTCGCAAGTGCGACTGCCGAGCAAGGAGTCTCGGGTTCGATTCCCGGGTAGGGTAAAGTATTACTGGGATTTTAAAAATTCTCAGTAGTAGCACGGAGTCTGGAATTGTGCCCGGTATATGGCTATAGGCTCACTCCCTATTACATGGCACTCATAACATAAATAGCGAAAAGTGGGTGTTAGATTGTACAGTGGCATAATGTACACCTCTGCCTACCCCTTCGGGGATAAAAGGCGTGATGTTTTATTATGTCAATATGTGTGTGGTATAATGGTTAAAGTGAGCATCAATACTCTTCATAAACAAAGTCCTTTAATCTGATAAATTTTCAATTGATTTTGAACTATTGCACAAAATAATAAAATTGAAAATCCATTATAGAAAATAAATTAGACTAGATTGACTTGCTAGTATCTAAACAACATGTTTTATCTGTACCTGTACCTTCAGAAGGACAGTTCTCATCACCAGACCCCAGATAGCAGTCTAATATTGTTCTTATTAGCTTGTTATCAGTTATCAGCAATAGGGTACTTTCCTAAATTTTATTTTAATGGCCGTCTGGTACATTAATTTAAAACTTTAGACACGTATTTTCTCTTTTCTCACAAAATTAAATACTTGCGACGTTATAATAATTTGAAATATCGTGTGACGTCACAGCGTGTTAAATTTTGTAGCACGTAATGACGTAACGACCTCCCACTCCTAAACTTAGCGCCATTTTATCTAAGTATTGCACCTTAATACGAGAAAATAAAAAAATAAGTGTGTAATATTTTTTCATTATCTAACTGACGGACTAATTAGATTTTTAATTTTGATACCCTGGACACTACCCAATTTATGACCCGATTTTTTTTTCTAAAATGTAGTTAATCTGTAAGCCTTCCTAAAAAAAAATTGTAATTGATTTTAATCCCCCCCTAGTACGTGCGAGGGGGGCGCGTGGACGTGTACGCAGGTGGCGTGTGGGGCGCGGTGCGGCGCGGTGGGGGACCCGCACTACTCCACGTTCGATGGCCTGCGGTATGACTTCATGGGCCGCTGCACATACACCATGCTGCAAACTGACAACGTCACTGTCGAGGTCGAGAACGTTGCCTGCTCGGGCGCCATTACTGAGGTGGGTCATCATCATCAACAGCCTATAAATACCCACTGCTGAGCAAAGCTTCTTCTCACACGGAGGTTTGAGCATTAATCACCACGCTTGCTCAATGCGGGTTGGTGATTACAAAGTCCAGGTTTCCTCACGATGTTTTCCTTCATCGTTTGTCAGTGGTATCTAGATAATCTTAGAAAGTACATATAACTCGGGAAAAGTCACATTCGTACTTGCCGTTGGTAGGTTTCGAACTCGTACCTCGTGTATGAGAAACGGGCGTCTTAAACCTCCGGGCCACCACGATACTGGTATGATGTCATATGTGTAATATAAACTGATGGCGACTATATTAGATTTAAATATTTTAGGCGATGAACCTAAGCCCCTACAAAGGCGCAGGGAAGCCATCTTGCACGAAGGCAGTGAACATCAACTACGATGGCGCTAGTGTGCACTTGAAGCAAGGAGGGTTTATACTAGTCAATGGAAAGGAGGTCTCCACCTTACCTGTCATGGCGGGAGATATAAGGATCAGAGCTGCTTCTTCTATGTTTATTATTGGTGAGTTACAAATTAAAATCTGTTTTCTTGTTTGTTATAGCGAATGTGTTATACTAGAGCAGGGCTGTCCAAAGAAAGGCCCGCGAACCGCATGCGGCCGCGCCTTGTTTTCATGTAACCCGCAACACACATTTTAATCGTAGAGATCTTCATCCTATGTGCAACAACAATAATAAAATTCAGTGTATGATTTATATACAAGTTTTGTCTGTGATTAAAGAATAAAATGTCAAACGTTATTATACAATGTGAAAATATTTTTCTGGCCCTCCAGCTTTTGTAAGGGAGAGGCGGGACGTAGTGTCAGGCTCTTACTAACTAAAAACCACCTTCCTTCTCCTGCATGTCGAGCCGGAGCCCCGGTAACCCGTTAGGTTCTCCGCGACAGCCCGCAAGGGTATATAGTTTGGACAGCCCTGTACTAGAGCAAAATCTACTCCTATTCGAAATTTCATCCCCATTCTTTCAGTCGTTTTGACATAATTGATTCACAAACATACACACACATTCACTTACAAACTTTCGCACTTAAGATGAAAGTTACCTCACACTTAGTTCAGCTATTAGACTTTAACTAAATCGAATCTACTCATAGTGTTATGTAAATTAACCATATAACAAAAATATTATTGTTTCTTAGTACAACTCCCCAACAAAGTGGACTTATGGTGGGATGGCAACACTCGCGTCTTCATTGATGTACCCGCTGAGTTCCAAGGAAAGACAAAGGTAACGAAATTGTAAATAAACATTAATACTAACATAGTTCCGTAGTTGTAGATACATATCTTACTGGCTTACTCAAACTTTATACTGTTAATCAGTAGAAAAATAGAGGTTCAATTTTGTTCTACCTATATAAGGTTACCCACATAAAACAAGAAGTAAATCAGAAACTACAATTACCTACATGTCTGCAAAACTCTTGAAAAAACAACTGTGATTTCACATTTATTTAAAACAACAACATAACATAACATCACGCCTTTTATCCCCGAAAGGGTAGGCAAAGGCACATTATGCCACTGTACAATGTAACACCCACTTTTCACTATTTATGTTATGAGTCCCATGTAATAGGGGGTGAGCCTATTGCCATATATACTGGGCACAATTCCAGACACCGTGCTACTACTGAGAATATTTGAAAACCCAGTAATACTTTGCCCGACCCGGGAATTGAACCCGAGACCCTTTGCCCGGTAGTTACACTTACGACCACTCGGCCAAAGAGGCAGTATTTAAAATAAATACACCAGAAACTAACTACACTCCAATTCAAAACAGGGTCTTTGCGGAACCTTCAACTTGAATCAAAAGGACGACTTTTTGACTCCCGAAAATGACATTGAGCAGTCAGCTCTAGCGTTTGCCAACAAATGGAAGACCAGGGAGATGTGCACTGATATTGACACTAAGGAACCGGAGCATCCTTGTAAAGCTAATATCGAGAACAAGGCCACGGCTGAGAAGTACTGCAGCAAACTGAAGAGTAAAGTCTTTGAAGGTAAGTGGTCTTTGGACTGGTGGATGTATGTCTTTACCTATACAACATGTAACGTAATTAACGCACACCCTCAAACACCCCATTTAGAATATTATGTTATAATCATAATATGTACATACATTAAATTTTTAATTTAACATGTATATGCATCATCATAAGGTTTATTTTTCTTTATTTTGTATTGAATGATAGAATTTGTATGAATACAAATAAAACTGCGATTTTAAAAGTCTTATTGCTTTGACTTACGGTCCATTTCGATTAGTTTTAACAATACAGGGTTAATATGACAATAATTTCCGTAGTTTTAATTATTTTTGGGATAAATAATTACCTATACTAAAAATTGTATAAATCGATTCACTTAACGATTCTGAACAAACTATTTTCAGGACTAGTTACGTTCACTTAGTTTCAAGATTTATTTGATAAATTAGACAAAATGATAAACTCAGATATTTTATGAATCACAAATTAACTAAAGCTGGTATGTCATACCCATTCGCGATGCATCAATAACCGTTCAAAATAAACACAACATTTTCCAAAATAATTTAGAAATTCAATAAAAATATACCTTTGGAGGCGCCGGGTATCGATCCCGGTACCTCTCGCATGCTAAGCGAGCGCTCTACCATCTGAGCTACGCCCCCTGTTACAATTCATGACAAAATTAACTTCCACATTCCAAACCGCTGCATTGGAAAGTAACCTTCGAAATGTCACGTAGCATTCTTGTACTCAAGGCGAACACTTATTTCGACATACAATATAACGTATAAGTACGTTCGTATAGGTTGTTGATATATGCCCGAATACTGAAAGGCTACACAAGTACTTAAATATACAGATAGGGCCCAATAGGGCTGTTGCCGATTCGGAGTCGCGGAGAACCTAACGGGTAACCGGGGCTCCGGCTCGACGTGTAGGAGTAGGAACGGGGTGCTTTTTAGTCAGTAAGAGTCTGACACGCCCTTCCGCCTCACCCAGGCGGGAGCAGTCATTCGATGATTTTCCCCCTTAAAAAAAAAGTACTTAATTCGTGCCATCTCTGTCATTTTACAAATAATTTGTAGTAACAGAACTATACTTAAGCGCGACTTTAAATTGAGTGACGTTTGAGTATTTCGACAATGGTGTAGTACTGTACGGCAATAGGCACACCCCCTATTTAGTGCGAGGCGTAACGTTACTGGCGAAAATGGATTGATTTTTATGGCATAGGGGGTACCATGACCTGATAGGACATCCAAGCGGATATTAATGGGCAGTACTGATTGCTTCTCAACCCCCAAAAGCCACGCTTTTCCTTGTCAGTCGGTTAAGAGGATTGAGTGTAGGCGTTGTTTTACGCCATTTTCCCGTAAGGTCGTGGAAAACGTGGCTTGTGACATTTAAATCGACATCTCTGTTAATCCCTTCAAGGAATAAAGAACAGTATTAGGCATAGTGAAACCAACGAACCCATTGAATTTTAATTTTAATCTAAAATGAATACCTTTATGAATTTTTCGAACAAGGTAGGTCCATATTATTATAGTTGCCAGGCCGCGCTCATCTTAAACGGCTTGAGAACTGCCTAGTCTAAATAGAGGGTAGATAGGTTTTCATTTTCTAGTTTCTACCAGCGCAACAGTCATTACATTATAATTGATGAATTTAGACTTTCTTTAGGTAATGTTTATTTTACAATCTGGATTTTTACACTAAATAAACAACATTTATTTATTTAATTCATTACAACTTCGTGACACATGTGCATATTCCAGCCTGCCACTGGTACGTGGACGTGGAGCCGTTCTACTCGGCGTGCGTGTACGACATGTGCGCGTGCGGCTCGGACGTGAGTCGGTGCCTGTGTCCGGTGCTGGGGGACTACGCCATGCAGTGCGCCAAGGCCGGCGTGCTCATACAGTGGCGGTACAGTGTGCAGGAGTGCGGTGAGATATCATAAACTGTGTATCTTCTCGGGAGACACATTAGATCAATTTATTTTTGCAAAGACGGATATCAACATTTTTATTTTAAGAGCGCCTTCAAAGCCTTTATACTACGTAGGCGTTCTGTAAACGTATGCGCCGCAACAAAGCGACAGCCGCGGTGTCTGTGCACAGAAAACTTAGCACAGAGAGGAATGGAAGGGGGTAGAGAGGTCTTTCGCCTTCACGGCGGAAAATAAATACAATAAATCAGTTTGAAGCCTCCAGTGTAACATGAAACTGTGTCTATCAAGAGTTATAATACAAAAAATATGATCTACGGAATTAAGTCTTACAGTCCAGGATTCTAAACCATTTTTTTATGGCATAAGCCGGTAAATGAGCAGACGGGTCACCTATTAACCGGTAAGCAATTGGCGTCGCTCATGGACTCCTGAAACACTAATGTGTTACAAGTGTGTTACTGGCCTTTTGGGAATTGGTAATTTGGGAATTGTGGAGGATTTGGGAAGTGGGAGACTGGGGAGGGGGGGGTAATTGGGCCGCCGATAACCTCAGTCGCACGACGAAACACAAGGCAAGCGTTGTTTCACGTCGGTTTTTTTGTGATGCCGTGGTATCACTCCGGTCGTGCCGGCCCATTCGTGCCGAAGCATGTGGTCACACTTAACCTGGTGTATCGTTCCAGAGCTGCAGTGCCCGGGCGGGCAGCAGTACACGGTGTGCGCGGACAGTTGCCTGCGCAAGTGCAGCGACAGCGCGCTGGCGGCCGCCGGCACCTGCCGGGCCTGCTGCGTCGAGGGCTGCGCCTGCCCGCCCGGACAGGTACACCTCATATCTATAACTAGCTTCACAGCGCGCTGGCGGCCGCCGGCACCTGCCGGGCCTGCTGCGTCGAGGGCTGCGCCTGCCCGCCCGGACAGGTACACCTCATATCTATAACTAGCTTCACAGCGCGCTGGCGGCCGCCGGCACCTGCCGGGCCTGCTGCGTCGAGGGCTGCGCCTGCCCGCCCGGACAGGTACACCTCATATCTATAACTAGCTTCACAGCGCGCTGGCGGCCGCCGGCACCTGCCGGGCCTGCTGCGTCGAGGGCTGCGCCTGCCCGCCCGGACAGGTACACCTCATATCTATAACTAGCTTCACAGCGCGCTGGCGGCCGCCGGCACCTGCCGGGCCTGCTGCGTCGAGGGCTGCGCCTGCCCGCCCGGACAGGTACACCTCATATCTATAACTAGCTTCACAGCGCGCTGGCGGCCGCCGGCACCTGCCGGGCCTGCTGCGTCGAGGGCTGCGCCTGCCCGCCCGGACAGGTACACCTCATATCTATAACTAGCTTCTGCCAACGGCCTCGTCCACGTTTACGTAGGATAAAAAACCCCTGTTCTAAATATCATTCCGATCCGTTCAGCTGTTTTGACATGAAGGCGTTACAAGCAAACTAGTCCTGCTAATATAATAAATGCAAAAATTTAGCAGTCAATGTTAGTCCTACTAATGTTATTGTTGTGTTAGAATCTGTTGTATATGTAGGTATGTTCATTAAGTACGAATGCATGTGTGTGTGTCATCATAAGAATTAAGAATCCATAATGTTAAACCAGTCGTAAATAAATCAGGGCAATGCAACCACGTATTTCTCTCACCTAAAATCCCCGCAAGCAAAAGTGAACTTTATTACTAAAACATTTTGGTCCTTCGAGCCGGATACTATTGGACTTACGACGTTTCACACATTGAGCGCAATACAAAAGGACGGGTCGAGAGGCGAGCGAAGAACAAAAGAAAGGATTTGTTGTAAAAAATAAATGGTCAATTTGAGCCTAGTTAGTTGACGTGATCATAACAAGATATTAACTACGAAGAAACATAGAAACGTTCTATTTTAACGACAAATTGAAGGAAAATACATCAAAAATGGCTAATACTCCCGAACAATTATTAAGTGTGCTGGAAGATACGGCTATGAAATTATCAAAAGCGCAAATAAATCTCAAGAAATGTCCGAAACAACGTCTTACAAAAGGATACATAGAAACACGGATTAAAGACATCGAAGAGTATTGGTCTACGTACAAAAATACACATATAGAATTAGTGAAGTGTGTACCGAAACCGCAACGACTCGACATTCCATACTTTACTAACGAAGATTACTTTGTTCACGAAGATTTGTATGTATCTTTATTAGCCGATCTAAATGATTTATTGAGTACATACATCAAATCGTCGCCGGTATCGATGCAAGCTAACTATAACAGTGATTCTGGCCTATCAAGGGAAGTGCATGTTAAATTACCGAGGATTCAACTCCCAACCTTCTCAGGTATTTACGATGAGTGGCCTGCTTATCAAGACTTGTTTACATCATTAGTGCACGATAATCAAACATTAACTAAAGTACAAAAGCTGCACTATTTGAAAAGCAGCCTTACCGGCGAAGCCTTGTCACTCTTGAAGCACGTGCAAGTTACAGAGGTTAACTATGAAGAATCGTTTAGAATGCTTAAGGCGCGATTCGGTAACAAGCCCATTATTGTCAATTCAATATTGAAGAGATTATTTACACAAAGGAAGATATCTGTACAAACCGCAAGTAACATTAAATCTATATTGGACACAACTACAGAATGTCTGAATGCACTAAAAAATCTAGAATTGACAACGAGCTCTTGGGATCCACTCATAATATTTTTAGTTGTTCAAAAATTAGACCCAGAGACGCATCGTGAATGGGAAGAAGTTGCTTACAAGGATAACGCCGAAGAGTTACCGGACTGGGACGCACTTAAGATGTTTCTGCAAGCGAAATTCCGCACGTTGGAGCTTGTCACGCCCCCGACCAGAGAAAAATCTAAAGGAAAAGAATACGCAGTTCACATGTCAACCTCAAGTACGACCCCGTCGAAACAAAGAAGCTGCGCTATGTGCAAGGAAGATCACACATTGTGTCATTGTGAGGGATTCATCAAACTCAGCCCAACAGAGAGGTGTGAGTACATTAAACAACACAATCTATGCTATAATTGCCTGGCCCCTGGACATTCAGCTTATAGATGTCGCCTGAAGATGTCCTGTCGAAAATGTCACAAACGTCATCACACACTTACGCACCAGTCTACGCCTATGACGTCATCAAACCAACCAGGCAACAAGAAAGAAGAAGATAAAGACATTGAAACTCAGCAAGATTCCGCCAAAACTAACGTTTTACTTTCATCGCATGTCACTGCTACTTCGTCCACTGCAATACTGGCCACAGCCCTCGTGCCTGTAAGAGAACTTGAATCGGGACAAGTGACAGTACTACGTGCTTTGATTGACCACGGCTCCCAAGCTTCCTTCATGAGTGAGAGAGCGGCCCAGATGTTACGATTGAAGAGAACGCCTGTTAATGGCACCATCACTGGAGTCGGCTCAACCAAAACAAATGTGAAACATTCTGCAGAAATCCAATTACTATCAAGACACGACGCTAGTTTCAACTTTACAGTCAAAACGTACATCATATCAACCCGTCTCACTGCCAAGCTACCATCACAAACCATCTCCACCAACACCTGGCCGCATCTCCAAGGACTCTCTCTAGCGGATCCAAGCTTCAATAAATCAGGAAGAATCGATTTATTACTGGGTGTTGATGTGTATGCCCAAATCATTAAGGGTGAAGTTATCAAAGGCCCCCCAGGAACACCATGTGCTCAAAACACCAGCCTGGGATGGATTCTATTTGGGAACGTGGAAACCAAACTACCGGGAGATGATATTATCGTCATGCACCTCAATCTTGATCTGAATGATATGCTGAAACGAATGTGGGAACAAGATCCATATGACAAACCAGAACCCACACCAGAAGAACGAAAGTGCGAAGAATTTTACGAAACCACAACTATGAGAAATAAAGACGGACGTTATATTGTGAGGCTACCCAAGAAAACTAACATGCTATTATCAACTCAAGGAGATACAAGAACAATAGCATTGAAGAGATTATATCAATTAGAGCAAAGATTCAAGAACAATCCAAAATTGAAGAGCGACTATGCTACAGTCATGAAAGATTACGAATTAAACTACATGGAAGAAGTACCAAAACAAGAAATTGCCAATCCATCTGTGTATTTACCACACCACGCCGTAGTTAAAGAAGAGAAAGAAACGACCAAATTAAGAACTGTTTTTAATGCTTCTCAGAGGGGAAGTAACAATGTATCACTGAACGACGAATTGATGGTCGGACCACAGATACAGGATGACATGAGAAGTCTCATCATGAGATGGCGTATGAAGAAAGTTTGTTTCGTAGCTGATATCCAAAAAATGTACCTGCAAGTCATCGTTAAGGAAGAAGACAGAGATCTGCAACGAATACTGTGGAGATATGATAAACAAGAACCTGTCAAAGACTATCGTCTTACCAGAGTCACGTTCGGGACTGCTTCTGCTCCTTACCTGGCAGTAAGGACCTTGCATCAAGTAGCCATAGATGAAGGACAAAACTATCCCGAAGCTGCAAAAATAATAAGTCGCGACTTTTTTATGGATGACATGATGTCTGGTAAAGACAACGTCACAGATGCAATTAAAGTGGCGAAGGAAATAGACGTCATACTCCAGAAAGGTGGTTTTAAACTGAAGAAATGGTGTTCTAATAATGCTGACTTTCTTAAAGCATTTGAAGAATCTGAAAGAAGCGCACATGTAAACCTAGACATAACATTAGACGGAATCACTCGAGCTTTAGGATTATATTGGAATATGGGCAAGGACCAATTTCAATACAGCCTAAACTTACCTGCTAAATCCAGGACTCTTACGAAGAGAACAATCTTAGCTGATTTGCAGAGATTGTTTGACCCATTAGGCTGGTTGGCGCCTTCTGTTTTGCCAGCAAAGCTGCTTATCCAAAGATTATGGCTGCAAGGAGTAACATGGGATGAAGAAATAGACGAAGACATTGCCACTGAATGGAACAGCTTACGAGAATCGTTTCATCTTCACTTACCTGAGATTGAAATAGATAGATGGCTCCATACTTCTGAAAGTAACATGGACAACATAACTATCCACGGCTTCTGTGACGCGTCGAACCGAGCTTATGCTGCAGTGGCCTATCTAAGGGTCAGAACAGATAGTGGTGAAGTAAGGACATCAATCCTCGCAGCAAAAACGAGGGTAGCACCTACTAAACCCCAGTCCTTACCCGTCTAGAACTCAGTGGTGCGGTGCTGCTTGCCGGACTCCTGAAGCAAATAAAGGAAGCAATGAATATACCCTCTAGTCAGATATACGCATGGACTGATTCCACTATTGTGCTCTCCTGGCTTTTCGGTGATCCTACGAGATGGAACACGTACGTTAGAAATAGAGTTGTTGCAATACTCGATAACATCGGAAACCATAATTGGTACCATGTCAAGTCACCAGAAAACCCAGCTGACGCTGGTTCCCGAGGACAATCCCTGCTGGACCTTAAAGACGACGAACTGTGGTGGACAGGTCCAAAGTGGTTGAAGGAAGGAGAAATTCAATACAGTAGACCGAAAGCGATGGTGACTGATCTGGAAAGAAAGGAAATAATACAAGTTAATTTAAAACTTAAAAATGAGAACAGCATAACCTCAAGATTTGAAAATTGTGACACTTTACAAGAACTGCTAAGAGTAATCGTGTATTGCAAAAGATTCTTAAAAGGCAGAATAATTGAAAACAAGGACTTACCTGTAGACACGGAGGAATTAGATGACGCGATGAAAACCTGTTTGAGAATGACACAGAAAGACAGCTTCGAAGAAGAAATTGATCACCTGAAAACAAAGAGACCTATTAAAAGACAGAGTAAACTAAACAATTTGAAACCTTACCTGGACGATGATGGAATCCTCAGGGTGGGCGGAAGGCTGCGTCACTCGGACCTAAACGAAGACGGTAAACACCCGATCATTCTTGATCGTGATAACAATCTTACGGCGCTCCTCGTCGCTGACGCTCACCTGAAAACCCTGCACGGTGGAGTTCAACTAACGCTATGCTTCCTGCGAACTAGATTCTGGATCCTGAAAGTAAAGACTTTGGTTAAATCAAAGATAAGAAAATGTCTTATTTGTGCAAAACTAAACGCTACTGCGAGGTCACAACAGATGGGCGACTTACCTCGTGCTCGAGTTACACCTGCAAAACCTTTCTTGAATACCGGCATAGACTTCGCAGGCCCGTATCAGGTTCTGATGTCAAAAGGCAGAGGAGCAAAGACGAACAAGGCATACATCGCCCTCTTTGTCTGTATGTCCACAAAGGCGATTCATCTGGAACTCGTCGGAGATCTCACGTCAGACGCGTTCATTGGAGCCTTTCGAAGATTTGTAGCTAGACGTGGAAGATGTGCCCATATATGGAGCGACCAAGGACGCAACTTTGTCGGAGCTAACAAGCTTCTGGCCGGAGACTGGGCAGAAGCAAAACTACAATTCGAAGGTCCAGTCGCTGAGAAATTAGCCTTGGATGGCACGAAGTGGCATTTTATCCCAGCGTATAGCCCACACATGGGTGGATTATGGGAGGCTGGGGTGAAATCGATGAAACATCACCTAAAACGAATCTTAACAAAACACGTGACCTATGAAGAGATGATCACCCTGCTATGCCAAGTGGAGGCTTGCCTCAATTCAAGACCTCTAGGAATAATAGACGACACGAGTACCGACAACGTTCAACCACTAACCCCTGGTCATTTTCTGATCGGTGAAACACCTATTACTGTGCCGACCCCCAACTTGCAAAATATCCCAGTAAGTCATTTGTCACGATGGCATCATCAGCAGAGGTTAATGACTGAGTTCTGGCACAGGTGGCAACAAGAATACCTGTCACGGATGCAGCAACGTTCGAAATGGCACAACAAGGTCAAGGAGTTTGAGATAGGACACATTGTTTTAATAAAGGCAGATAACTTGCCTCCAGCTAAATGGATGATGGGACGAATTGTTGACAAGCATCCGGGCAAAGACGGTGTGACCCGTGTGTATAGTGTGAAAAGTGGTGATAGTGTTGTGCAAAGACCATTTAACAAGTTATGTTATTTACCAATAGACACTGATTGACTATTTTCGAGTTTGTGTTAATTTGCCTCATTATCAAATGTAACTGCTAAATTACTAACGGCATAACCTGTAGTTGTACCTATGTATTATAATATAATTAGATTTGCCTTATTATGATTGCGTTCCGTTAAAGGGCAAATAGGCCCTTTGGTGGGCGGTATGTTGTGTTAGAATCTGTTGTATATGTAGGTATGTTCATTAAGTACGAATGCATGTGTGTGTGTCATCATAAGAATTAAGAATCCATAATGTTAAACCAGTCGTAAATAAATCAGGGCAATGCAACCACGTATTTCTCTCACCTAAAATCCCCGCAAGCAAAAGTGAACTTTATTACTAAAACAGTTATTATATTACTTATGGCAGACTTTAGGGTTTTGAATTAGTCTTCATCAAGGGAACATTCTAAGATAATGAATGTTGTCAGAATTGATAAAATAATTTATCTTTATTGCTCTGTAACTGATCAATCCCCAAGCGGTCACCGGCGTTGATCCCTCTCCACTAACTCCATTATAGACCATATTTCCGATGTTTAGAGACTACTTTTGTATGAACAAATTTTGAGGATGTGAGCACAAAATTGAATCTCGGTGACAATTTTCTTACAGCTCTTAGATGACAACAACGTTTGCGTGCCAACCGGCCTGTGTCCCTGCTACCACAAGGGGTTGCAGTTCAACGCTGGATACAAAGAAGTTAGAGCCGGCAGGAGAGAGAGGGAGCTATGGTAAATATCACTCTTCTCTTTCTAACACATTTGAAATAGATAGAAATACAAATTGAATCGGAAATGTAACAAAATATTGTAACCTAGTTTTAAAGCACACACCTAATGAGAAGTCATTAAAAATTATATATTTTTGTAGGCTAATTCATAAATTCAATAATTTTTGAATTATTTCCCAATATCCATTAGAATATCTATTCATAAATTAACATTTCTAATAACAGAATATAATAAAAAAAAAAATAACAAAATCAACATAAAGCATGTTAGTGCGTATGCGCACCTAAAATGACCTCGTTTAAGAAGTATTAGGTCATTTCCTGCAACATATGCCAATATTTACACATTTATTTAACATTTTTATTTTTATTGTATTATGCACACTCGGATACAACATGGTCTTCCAACTATGATTAAAATTCTACATCGGCTACGTGTTATATGGCAAAAAACTCACCCCCTAGCCCCCTATTATACAAGACTATAAACATAATTGGGTAGTTTCCAGGGTAACAAAATTATAAATCTAATTAGTCCGTCAGTTACACAATGAAAAAATATTAGACACGTATTTTTTATTTTCTCGTATTAAGTTGCAATACTTAGATAAAATGGCGCTAAGTTTAGGAGTGGGAGGTCGTTGCGTCATAACGTGCTACAAAATGTGGCACGCTGTGACGTCACACGATATTTCAAATTAATATATCGTTGAAAGTATTTAATTTTGTGAGAAAAGAAAAAATACGTGTCTAAAGTTTTAAAATAATGTACCAGACGAACATTAAAATAAAATTTAGGAAACTACCCTATTGGTCAAAAGTATGTTACCCTTTACCATACGTAACACAATAGTTTGAGATTAAAAACAATACATTAGTTTTATTATTGTAGCCATTGACTGTCCGGTTGGCGCGGTGGATGGGCAACGTGTCGCGGGTCCGATTCCCGCACGGAAAAAGTCTTTGTGTGATCTACAGATTATTGTTCCGGGTCTAGATGTCATGTGTATGTGAACTTGTATGTTTGTAAACGCACCCACGATACAGCAAAAAATCCCAGTATGGGGTAACGTTTCTATAAGAAATCATTGGTATAGACTTTTAACTATTAAAACCATAAAAAACATCAAAAAATAATACAAAATCAAAAGAAGAATTGGAGGCGCCGGGTATCGATCCCGGTACCTCTCGCATGCTAAGCGAGCGCTCTACCATCTGAGCTACGCCCCCTGTTGGTAACTACTTCGAATTTATAAACCAATTTAAATATTATGACGTAGGTACATAAACACAAGTGCGTGCAGTACGCACCTGGGTAACCTTTCACTGAACTACATTGCATAATTTCATTCAAGCTGCAAATCGTGTTTTGACTATAGAACTAGTTCAATTACTTGTTTGTGTCTACTATCAGCCTATGGCCTAGTGGTTACTATCGTTACTGCTGATCATGAGATCTCGGGTTCGATTCCATGGTCTGACAATATTTTTTTTTGCCCTCATTTACCTTTAATAATATTTTTGCAATCTCATTAGACTGGTAAATAAAAGGATTCGATTCCTAAATTGTGCAAGTATTACTGAGTTTTTTGGTTTTTAGAAATATTTAATATACTTACCTAACAATAAAGTTAGAAAAAAATACAGGGCCAGGGAATCAAAATTAAAAATTAATTAAGTTAGATAATAAAAAAATATTTACACGTATTTCTTTATATTTTGTTATAATTATACTTTGGCCGACCCAGCATCGATCGACCGAGTCGAACCCGAGACCCAATTTTTTTTTAACCCCGTTCCCACTCCTGCACTTCGAGCCGGAGCCCCGGCAACCTGTTAAGTCTTTCGTGCTCGGTAGTCGCACTTGCGACCACTCGACCAATCATCAATTACTTTAATATACGTAATACCCGCACAGCACCTGTGTGGGAGCGCGCTGGGACTGTACGCCCGCGACGCCGGCCGACATCCAGAACTACCCGCCCGCCGAGGACATGCGCACCAACTGCAGCGCCACCAGCAACATGGAGTTCACCACCTGCGAGATTGCTGAGCCACTGACATGCAAGGTAATATACTTTATGACTCTTAATTAAAGTTTTATTGCAATCATACTTCACCACACAATTCTATACATACATAACCTCAGGTAACCTCACGCCTGTCTGCAATAGGGGTAGGCAGAGACTATGGAACGCCAATTGCTGCGAATCTTGCATACCTCTTTCGCTTAATCAACAGTAATTAGTCTTTTCATGCATGGTCGTCGGTTAAAGGTACTTTTAATTTGAGTTTTCTTTAATTTAGTATGTCGGCTATCTGGTCGACATATATTCGTTTAGGGCGTCCTCTAATGACGGCCCCATTTATATCTGCTCTATATACTTCTTACATGACTCTGCTTTCATCGACCCTTTTTACAGTCTATATTTTTTGACCTTAAGCTTAACGGTTATTAATACACATCATTTTTTTACTCGAATAACTTAGTTACAGTTCTGAGTGTTAAGAGTAGTGTTATCTTTGTGATTTGTTTACAAACATCGATCTTATCTACAGATATACAAAATTAATTCAAGATAATTCATAAAAAACATATATTTATACTGTCATTGTTAAGCATTTTATTTTGGTTCGTTACTAATCAATTCACCAATGGATGTTGATATAATAATTGGAAGAAAATATAACATATTTTAGCCCGAATCCCTAAAACAAAATAAAATAACCGACTAAACTACTATATTCAATCTTTACTTCCTAGAACATGCATCTCCCCCCAACATCAACGACAGCTGAATGCCGTCCAGGCTGCCAGTGCAAGAAGGGCTTCGTCCTGGACACGATGTCCAAGAAGTGTGTGGCTCCGACCCAGTGCCCGTGTCACCATGGCGGCAGGAGTTACCCTGACGGACATACCATGCAGGAGGAGTGTAATAAATGGTCAGTATGTATTGATATCGTCAACATCATAGACTATGAGACCTTAACGCCCGAATATTTGAAAGGCTACTCAATTTTAAGTTGATTCAAATACCATCTCTGTCATCTTATAAAGAATTTAACAGGCTTCGAACACAGGCGTAAGGTTGCAAGCCTTTCGGTTTTCTACCGGATACATTTCAGTGAGTGTACAGGGGAATTGCACAACTTGATTACCCCTACACCATTCCATCATCGTACCACAAGACAATCGGGGAAGCGTCACCGATTCATGGTAGATGTCCCACTTACATGCACGAAGCGCTTCGCATCAAGCTTCCTTGTGCGTATTGCTAAGGAGTGGAATTCTTTGTCAGAGTCTGTATTTCTTGAAGGCGAGTGAATAGGTTGCTTATGGGACGACGTGTTCCATCGTAGACCGCATAATAGCTTAACATCGGGCGAAATAGTGGGCAAACGTAAGCCCATCATATAAAAAAAAAGTTGTAGTGACACAATTTTACTTAAGTGCGTCTTAAAATTGAGTGGTGTTAGAGTATTTGGACAAAATCCTCGAATATTGACAAAATAGGAGTTTGCCATAAAGTCCAAACCTGGACGATCGGTTAGACGTCCTAGTTTAATACATATCATCATCAACAGCCTATAAATGCCCATTACTAAGCAAAGCCTCTTTTCACATGGAGAAGGTTTGGGCATATAATTAGAAATTATAAGCCCAGGTTTCCTCACGATGTTTTCCTTCACCGTTTGTCAGTGGTGTCTGAATAATCTTAGTATGTAAGTACATATATAACTCTGAAAAAGTCACATTGGTACTTGCCGTTGGTAGGTTTCGAACACGCACCCTCATGCATGAGAAGCGGGCGTCTTAAACCTCCGGGCCACCACGACATATTATAATCAAAATTATCGGATCGTGTTGCTGCCCCTTTTCAAGTAAAAAGAAAGGACATTTTCCTCATAAGTACATTCCTACTTCGATTTCCTTTTTATTTAATTCGATTTCAACAAAGCCGTTAGATTAACGCGAATTAACCCCAGAAAGTCAAGAAAACTACAAAAAAATTGCAAATTTCCTATAAAATTAAAAGAAGTTTGGAGGCGCCGGGTATCGATCCCGGTACCTCTCGCATGCTAAGCGAGCGCTCTACCATCTGAGCTACGCCCCCTGATACTTTGACATACCAAATAACACAATACATTGTAAAAATTGCGTATATTTTGTATGTACAATGCGTACGTGCCTTTCACTTGCTTTCAAACAGTGGCCAAGGTATGACCGATACGGCCTACTCAGCGCTGACACAGTTGCATAAACTGGTTCAAAACGTCGGCGTCTAATTTGCTCATACTGCTCTAATTTAGATCGTTAAATGGAGTAATTTATTTATTTAAAACCTTACCTAAAACTATCATTACAGTTTTCTCCATTGCGATAGTTTAGACTTAAACTAAATCAATATTATGATTATTTAAAGGGCTACTGTATAGTTAATTTTTGAAATTAGTTTAGTCATTAGCTAGTCTAAATTATAGGGAACCTATTATTTTAACTAAATACGGTAAGCGAGATCAATTCCCGAGGCGGGCGAAGTACTACTAGAATTTTAAAAAATATATTTGTAATATGGACAGACTGCCTCGTTGGCCTCGGCCAACAGACCACTCGTGGTCGCAAGTGCGACTACCCACCAAGGGGTCTCGGGTTCGATTCCCGGGTCGGGCAAAGTAAATCTCGGTAGTAATAGCGCGGAATCTGGAAATGTGCCGTCGTAGCGTGATGTTTTATAGCCTCTTCCTCTTCCTCGATGAATGGTCTATCCAACACAAAAATATTTATGCAAATCGGGCCAGTAGTTCCTCAGATTAGCACGTTCAAACGAACCATCAAATTGTACAGTTTTATGTATTTTTCAGGTTTTAATGTAACTATGATAATTTGATTAATTTGACTACGAATTTAATATTATTTAAAAAAATTCATGAATGATGTAAATATTAATTTTTAGATCTCTTAGATGTCGGAATTAAATGATTTTTATTTTACTTATTTATTTATATCTTACTAATAATTACAACTGCAAAATTTTGAGAGTTCATAAGTATATTTAGGTTGATTGTAAACTAGAATCACATACGCTACTTTTTATTCTAATGGGACGCGAGTGAAGCCTCAGGTAGAAGCTAGTGTATAATAATTATTATAAGATGTACTACAATACCACTTTTCCTCAGTGAGTGCAAGAGCGGCAACTGGACGTGTACGCAACGTAAATGCGCCGGCATTTGTTCAGCGTGGGGCGACTCCCACGTCGTCACCTTTGACGGCACTGATTATGACTTTGAGGGAGTCTGTACTTATCTCCTGGCTAAGGGAGTCATGGACAGCAAGGATGGTTTCGATGTGGAAATCCAGGTGAGCATATTGAGTCTTTATCTCAGTTGTTATAAGCACCATAATCCCTTGTGTTGTTTGTCTAATAAGCTTGTAAGTCTCTTTTGATTTTGATTAACTATTTACTTAAGATCATAAGGCTGGCAGCATTGCCACGTTGAATGGCAATGCTTAATCTTTGTCTAAGGTAGCCAGCCCTTCGATAATCTGAAGTGTCAACCATCCATCCAACCATTGGCTGGCTACTACCTTGGGCAAAGGTTAAGCATTGCCATTCAACGTGGCAATGCTGCCAGTCTTTTGGGCACCCTACCTCACGATAGCGATGAGGAAATTATTTTTTTGATGCCTTAAGATAGCATTTTCATTAATAATAGGTATTTTTTTAAGGTGTAAATAATTTAGTTTTTGGTTAAGTAGTTATATTTTAAGTTGTGTATATTTATTTAATTTAAATTCTATTAATAAAATATTCATACCTTAAGATCATTAGATTTTCCAGTAAAATGTTCTAAAGAAAGTTTGTTTTAACGACGTTGTATGAATTTACACGAATGTCTTACTACATTCTTTAGCCAATATTATTTAATTGTCTTATTCTTTCATTATTACAATCTTCTTCTTCTTATCTTATATATATATATAAAATTCAAAGGTGATTGACTGACTGACTGACTGACATAGTGATCTATCAACGCACAGCCCAAACCGCTGGACAGATTGGGCTAAAATTTGGAATACAGATAGATGTTATGACGTAAGCATCCGCTAAGAAAGGATTTTGACAATTTCCACCCCCAAGGGGGTAAAAAAGGGGATGAAAGTTTGTATGAAACTTTGTCAGTTTTTAACTGATCGGGTTGAAATTTGGCATGCAGATAGATGTTATGACGTAAGCATCAGCTGTGAAAGAATTTTGATAATTTCCACCCCCAAGGGGGTAAAATAGGGGATGAAAGTTTGTATGAGACTTTGTCAGTTTTAAACCGATCGGGTGGAAATTTGGCATGCCGATAGATGTTATGACGTAGGCATCCGCTGTGAATGGATTTTGATAATTTTCACCCCCAAGGGGGTAAAATAGGGGATGAAAGTTTGTATGAGACTTTGTCAGTTTTAAACCGATCGGTTTGAAATTTGGCATGCAGATAGATGTTATGACGTAAGCATCTGCTTTGAAAGGATTTTGATAATTTTCACCCCCAAGGGGTAAAATAGGGGATGAAAGTTTGTATGAGACTTTGTCAGTTTTAAACCGATCGGTTTGAAATTTGGCATGCAGATAGATGTTATGACGTAAGCATCTGCTGTGAAAGAATTTTGATAATTTCCACCCCCAAGGGGGTAAAATAGGGGATGAAAGTTTGTATGAGACTTTGTCAGTTTTAAACCGATCGGGTGGAAATTTGGCATGCCGATAGATGTTATGACGTAGGCATCCGCTGTGAATGGATTTTGATAATTTTCACCCCCAAGGGGGTAAAATAGGGGATGAAAGTTTGTATGAGACTTTGTCAGTTTTAAACCGATCGGTTTGAAATTTGGCATGCAGATAGATGTTATGACGTAAGCATCTGCTTTGAAAGGATTTTGATAATTTTCACCCCCAAGGGGGTAAAATAGGGGATGAAAGTTTGTATGAGACTTTGTCAGTTTTAAACCGATCGGTTTGAAATTTGGCATGCAGATAGATGTTATGACGTAAGCATCTGCTGTGAAAGAATTTGATAATTTCCACCCCCAAGGGGGTAAAATAGGGGATGAAAGTTTGTATGAGACTTTGTCAGTTTTAAACCGATCGGGTGGAAATTTGGCATGCCGATAGATGTTATGACGTAGGCATCCGCTGTGAATGGATTTTGATAATTTTCACCCCCAAGGGGGTAAAATAGGGGATGAAAGTTTGTATGAGACTTTGTCAGTTTTAAACCGATCGGTTTGAAATTTGGCATGCAGATAGATGTTATGACGTAAGCATCTGCTTTGAAAGGATTTTGATAATTTCCACCCCCAAGGGGGTAAAATAGGGGATAAAAGTTTGTATGAGACTGTCAGTTTTAAATCGATCGGGTGGAAATTTGGCATGCACATAAATGTTATGACGTAGGCATCCGCTGTGAAAGGATTTTGATAATTTTCACCCCCAAGGGGGTAAAATAGGGGATGAACTTTTGTATGATGTGACGATGTAAACAATTACAGACCTATCTCTGTGTTACCGGCTTTATCTAAGGTTTTGGAAAGGTTAATAAACGTGAGACTTGTTAACTATTTTAATAAATTCAAAATATTGTCGCCCACTCAATTTGGTTTCAGACAGGGAGTAGCCACTGAAGACGCAGTTTCTGCCCTCAGCTCAGTGATTGCTGAGCATCTAGATGTAGGAAAAAAATGCCTCTCGGTATTCCTAGATTTAAAAAAAGCTTTCGACACCGTCTCTGTTCCAACCCTTGTGTCCAAACTAGAAAGAGTCGGAATAAGAGGAGTACCACTCAATCTCCTTAAAGATTACCTATCAGAGAGACGGCAGAGAGTTAAGATAGGTACATATCTCAGTGATAATGCAGACGTCTCATTTGGCGTGCCTCAGGGTAGCGTTTTGGGCCCTACACTCTTTTTAATGTATATTAACGACCTCTGTACCTTAAAAGTCGATAACGCTAGCATTTTTTCGTACGCTGATGATACCGCTGTTGTATTTTCTGGAGATAACTGGCCTGAAGTTCAGCTTAAAGCTGAGAAGGGCATGACTAAGATCGCTAACTGGCTAAATAATAATTTATTAACTTTGAACGCAACTAAAACTAACTATATCTGTTTCTCTGCTTCAAAGCGTTCACAACCAAATGAAGACTTCAGTATTAAAGTGCATTCATGTAAGCAGAAAACCGCTAATAATGATTGTACATGTCCTCTAATTGGTAAAGTATCTCAGACAAAATATTTAGGTGTCATAATTGATCAACAGTTGTCTTGGTATTTCCATATCGAACACGTAACTCATAGAATAAGGAAATTATGTTGGATATTCAAAGCATTGAGACACGTCGTTCCAACCATTACAAATAAAAAAAACCGGCCAATACAGAAATCTCTTAAACGAAATTTACATCGCCCTTGCACAATCCATCATAACATACTGTATACCGATATGGGGCGGTGCAGCAAAAACCAAATTTATAGAGGTGGAACGAGGACAACGAGCACTCATTAAAATTATGTATTTTAAAAGTAGGAGGCACCCTACTGAAAGTATTTATCAGATAAGTGGTTTACTCTCTGTTAGGAAATTGTACATCACACAACTGATTTTAAAAAAACACAAAACTGTTTTTTTATGACAGTAAAATATTATCAAAGAGACGTAAAGATATGATTGCACAAGTTCCACAAACTAAAACTAAACTTGCTGCTATACAATACAATAAACGCTCTGCACAAATATATAATAAGGTAAACAAAGAAATATACATATACACTAAACAACTACACGAATGTAAGAAATTGCTAATCGAATGGATAAAAAATCGAACATACGAAAGTACGGAAGCCCTGCTGCAACACGTAAAATAACCATCCCTCACACACCCTCGCAGATACACCACGACACACACGCCACACACACAGATACGCGCACCTCACACACACATACACCCCACACTCACATACACCCCTTACACATAAATCTATTTATATAAGTCAATAAACTGGTAATTGTAAAAACCAAAAACTTTTGAAATATTGTTATGTTATGGAAGAGCGGAGTCTCCTAATACAGGCATTATTTACCTAAAAGGAGGCTCCAATCACAATCTATTGTTAAAAAAAAAATATTTGGTTCAGAAATAAAAAAAATTTGTATAAAAAAAAAAAAAAAATTGTAATTTTGTATGAGGCTTTGTCAGTTTTAAATCGATCGAATTGAAATTTGACATGCAGATAGATGTTATCTCATAGGCATCCGCTAAGAAAGGATTTTGATCATTTCCACCCCTAAGGGGGTAAAATAGGGGTGAAAGTGTATATGAAGCTTTGTCAGTTTTACACCGATGCAGATGAAATTCGGCATGCAGGTAGATGTTATGACGTAGGTATCCCCAAGTAAGGATTTTGATTATTTCCGCCTCCAATGGGGTAATGTAGATGAACGTTTGTATGAAGCTTTGTCGGTTTTACACCGATCGGGTTGAAATTCGGCGTGCAGATGGATATTATGACGTAAACGTCCCTTTAAAAAGGTTTTTGAACATTCTCCCCAAAGTGGGTAAAATAGGGGGTGAAAGTTTGTATGATACTTTGCCAGTTTTAAATTGATCGGGCTGAGACTTTGCATGCATAAAGTTGCTATGACATAGGTATCTCCTTAGAAAGGATTTTGATAAATTCCACCCCTAAGGGGATAAAATAGGGAATGAGAGTTTGTATAAATCTTCTTAGCCATTGAATTTAGAATCCTTGAATCTTTTTGAATTACATTCGGTAAAACGATGATTTGGGACCTGGGTAACGTATGATAGTTTTTTCACAGATGTCTCACGAGAACGGGAACTATGCGTCAATGCCCCGGGACTGTCTAACACTTAACCACTGAACTTATTTTAGAGAGATTCGGTACAATAATAGTCGATAGAATAGTTTTTATTAATCAAACCTTACGTGATCGGGCACTGTACTGGTAAGATCCCTGCGGGATTATTTATTTATTGAAACTACGATAAATCATTTCAAAATAGGTAAATCTTACTTGGGCACTGAATTGATTCTATTTAATTCTGTCAGAAGTCATTAATCTACGCAGACGAAGTCGCGGGCAACAGCTAGTATATACATAAACTCATGCCGTCACTCCGAGTGTAAGTATCTTCCATCTACATGTTTGACTGTGTTTATCTTTCTAGAACGTTCCATGCGGTACAACTGGCGCTACGTGCTCTAAATCCGTGACCCTGAAGGTCGGCAGTGGTAACAATGAGGAGATCGTCTCCCTTACCAAGAACTCTCCACTCCCAGACATATCTAAACTGAAGAGGTAAACTAGCAATATCTAGTAATATTATTAGTTGTAGACTGCCTCGTTTGCCGAGTGGTCGCAAGTGCGACTGCCGGGCAAGGGATCTCGGGTTCGATTCCCAGGTCGGGCAAAGTATTACTGGGTTTTTAAAAAAAATCTCAGTAGTAGCACGGAGTCGTGAATTGTGCCCGGTATATGGCAATAGGCTTACCCCCATATCACATGGGACTCATAACATAAATAGTGAAAAGTGGGTGGTTACATTAAACAGTGGCATAATGTACACCTCTACCTACCCCTTTGGGGATAAAAAGCGTGATGTTATGTTATGTTGTTATGTGTTATTGTTGAATGATGTTTTACTTATTGAGAAAACATTCATAATTATTGTTTATTGTTAATGTGTACCTTACTATTTGCGGATATTTAATTATAACACTTTATGAGTTGATATTCCCAACTTACTTCCGATTAGGACGCCATCTACTAGTTTACTTATCTGAAGAACTAATTTAAAATGTATTGTTTAGGATCAAAATGCGTATAGCTGGTGGCTACGTGTTCCTGGACGTGCCAACCCTGGGTATGAGCCTGCAATGGGACCGCGGTATGAGGGTCTACGTCAAGGTCGAGTCTATCTGGCAAGGAAGGGTGAGTTCTAAATAATAATAATAATAACTCCGCCTGCCATTTTTACGTGTAATAATTACATTGTTTCGGCAGGTGCCATAGTCATCCATAGTTCCCAATTTACCAGTCCACAGCAACCCATCCATAGCCCTACTATCATTTTTTCCATTATTCACAATAGTTCTACACTAACCGGGGACTGTCCTTGGGTGCATTTCTATAGTGCATACAGGGATAGTCGCCGGTTTGTGTGTCCATTACATTTAGATTAAAGTTGTCTATAGGGCCTCTACGTAGTTGGCTTCGGCCCCTCGTACGCCTCCCAAATGACCGGGACCCTGTGGTCCCGTAATTAGTAAAGACATACATAATAATAATAATTCGCAAAGGTATAATATACAGAAAGACCACGATACTTTGAAGACATAATTGGGCATTCAAAAGATAACTTCTCTATTTAATAATCTTTGTGTGATATACAATTTTTTGTTCCTAGTCTGGGTATGAGTGTATGTGACATTGTATGTATATAAACACACCTATGACGTCGTGTCATAGGTGTACTTATACACATACAATTTCGTATACAATACAGGATACAATATAGGAGAAAGTCGTAATCCTAATAAGGTGCAAGGTAAAAATATTATTCCTTGTTGAAAAATTCTAAACAATGTTCTGGTTTCAGGTGAAAGGTCTGTGCGGTAACTACAACGGAGACATGCGCGATGACTTCCAGACTCCGTCAGGCGGTGGCATGGCAGAGTCATCGGCTCTCATCTTCGCTGACTCCTGGAAACTTAAGCCTACTTGTCCTAAACCACAACGTATACTGGTAAGTTTCTCCTTTCATTTACAAGTAAAAATATTAGTATTTTGATATGAGTTAAAGAACAGACAAATAAATGATATTAAATATATTTTGACAGTTATTCTACGAATTTATGAAATTTTTGTTTTCTTTTAACTTTTTTTATTGAGATTTTCTTCAAGTAAATATCACACTGTTCCTTCGTGTTACGAAAGGCATTACTCCGAGCGCGAGTGAGATAATATGTGTTGTTAGTACAATAGTATTATCTCCAATGTAATATCCATCCAATCGATCAGTATCGACGATTTTTGTCTTGACCATAAATAAATAAATTTCACAGGATCACTGTAAGCAACGCCCAGAACGTAAAGAATGGGCGTCGTCCATGTGCAGCAAGATGAAGCAGTTCCCGTTCAGCCTGTGCCACGCGGAGGTGCCCCCGTCGGCGTACATCGAGCGCTGCACGCGCGACGCGTGCGCCTGCGACTCGGGCGCCGACTGCGACTGCGCCTGCACTGCGCTGGCGGCCTACGCGTACGCATGCGCGGCTAGGGGCGTTACGTTTAAATGGAGGACGCAGGAGACTTGTCGTGAGTACTTTTTCGTTTTAGTTATTTAAAAACCTTTTTGGTTTTGCAGTCATAAGTGCACTAATCAGATATTTAATTCTCGATTGGGAAGACATTGTAATATTTTAGTTTTTTGGTAAAATTTGTAACAGTTATTCACCCCAGTGGCCCTGAATGTAATGAAAACGTATAACTGTATATTGGTTGTTATCCCATCAGTTGTTAAAGAATCACGTAGGTATATTTTGGTGATAAAAATTAAAATATTTACTATCTTTCGCAGCCATGCAGTGTGACGAGGAGTGCTCTAACTACGACGCCTGCCTACCCGCTTGCCCATTGGAGACTTGTGATAACACCTTGTATTACGCTGATATGAAGACGAGCTGCGAACAAGAGACTTGTATTGAAGGTAACATCGCTTTCCAGAATATCAATTCAGTATTAATTCATTTTTTAGTATTCTTCATTAATTAGAATTGCGTGCTACTATGTTTAAAGTTGTTTGTTCGTTACATTTTCACGCATAAACTACTGAACAGATTTCGCTAACAAAGTCAAGTCTAGTGTACGTAAGTCTGTCGCGGAGAACCTAACAGGTTACCGGGGCTACGACTCGAAGTGCAGAAGATGAAACAGGGTGGTTTTTATTCAGTAAGAGTCTGACACTCCCTCTCGCCTCATCCAGGCGGGAGAAGTGAATCGATGATTTTTCCCCCTTAAAAAAATGTACGTAAGTCTAAGATTAGCGGCAAACGGTATGAGTATGATATGTACCTACTGAACAATTTCCAAAAAAAATTTTTTTTTAAATAAACATTGCTCCACATTAGTATTTTCTCCTGTGTCGTGGGTGCGTTTACAAACATATAAGTTCACATACACAATGACACCCAGACCCGAAACAACAATTTGTGGATCACACAAAGTGTTGTTCCGTGCGGGAATCGAACCCGCGACACGTTGCACGGCAGCCGGTTGCCCAGCCACCGCACCAACCGTGCAGTCTAGAAAATTCACTACTATCGACAGAATTCGAAACTAATTCTTACCATATTTGAAATGTAATACAAGTCCTAATCAACCCCATTCTTACCCAGGCTGCAAACCCAAGAAGTCGTGTCCAGAAGGCCAGGTGTACAAGAACGGGTCGCACGCGGAGTGCGTCCCGCGCGGGCGGTGCCGGCCGGCCTGCATGGTGCTGGCGGACGGCCGCGAGCTGGCCGAGGGGGACGTCGTCGAGGAGGACGCCTGCCATACTTGTCGCTGCTCCAAGAAACAGAAGATCTGCACTGGGCAGCCTTGCAGCACTACTGTTCAAACTGTGAGTCGAAATATTGCACCTTTTTAGCTATTTTCCTATGTCAAAAATAAATTATTTTGATTTTTCAATCCAATTAAATATTAAAAAATAATTACAATTTCATTCATATATTTGACGATATATCTACTTAATTTTCGATTTATTCTAGCAATTTTTTCAGAATAAATATGCTTTTTGACCCGAAAATATGATTCAAAGTCAAAGTCAAAGAACTTTTGACGTTCAAAAGTTTCTTCCTTGTCTAATTGAAAAATTATTTTGACTTTGAATATTTTGGATTGTACATAACATTTACGGTAAACAATATTAGGTGATATATCTAATTATGAGTTCTCGAGGAAAAAACAAAAAAAAGCAATATTTCTTTTCATTTTGTATCTCCACTTTGAAATATTGTCAACCACTGAATACCACTTATCTATTCGATAGCCCATCGGCAATCGTAATTTGCTGAATATCGCTTGTACACGTTGGGCAAAATATTATTGTCTATTCAGTATATTTAGGTACTTCCAATTTTATAAGACGACGAATTGAATAGGGACGGAGACCTTAGAATTGTCCTCGGATTTTGTTGTATTTTTTTTCTTTTTTAATGGGACAATCCCGCCACTACCTCGCAAAACCGCTGCAACTTCTGTAAGCTAGGATCTACAGTAGATACAACCATGAAAACACCGGAACACTGAAGTCCGGCGCGTCCCAGGGATATAAATAACTGTCTTGGTTCACGCAACTAAGTGAATCAGAAGATATTATAAGAGGAGAAGAAATATGATTTATTATTTTATTTTGTTCTATTGTGGAATAAGGTTTATTCTTTTTTAAATGTCAGCCACGAGAAGAAACAACCCCGAAGCCTCACGACGAGCCACTGAAGTGTGTGACGGGGTGGACCAACTGGATCAACCGAGGGGAGCCGGAGATAGGACCGCATGGAGAGTCCATCGACAACGAACCATTGCCACGACCTAATGAACTGGTAACAATCTTCTTGTTTTTCTTCTGTCGTAATATTCTTCTATTTTTGTCTTATTTTTCATCAGATTCCATCTCACTATTGACTCAAGTTTTGGTTTTATATGATTTTAGTCAAATTATTGTATGCACAAAATTCATACAACTTTTATTCTCCATATCTTGACTTATTTAGTACTTTCTTCAGTACAGTAAGGCTAGTGCACTAATTAAGATCTCTTTTGAAATCCTTAACTTTGAGAGATGTTTTAATTAGATTTTCATCCTAAAAGTGTGACGAAATGTTTTATCATTTACGCACCTAAGGGTCGATGACGACGGCTTCCCAGGTCGGGCAAAGTATTACTGGCTCTAAAAAAATCTAATTCGTAGCACGGAGTTTGGAAATGTGCCCGGTACATGGCAATAGCCTCACACCCTATTACAAAGGACTCATAACATAATTAAGTGCCGTAGTGTGCACTCCTTCGGGGATAAAGGCGTGAAATTATGTAATGTATATATGTAAAGTTATTCTTCAGTTAAAATTTATCTGTCGTTGGAATAATCAGCTCTAAAAGACATCTGAATACGCCTCCTCATCTACACTATTTCAATACAACGCATTTCTCTCTACTTTCTTATAACAAAATAGAATGTTATTGAAAAAAGAAAGAAAAACGTTTTTTACACCAAAATGTTTCATTTCCTGTTCCATAGACTATCGGTACACCAATGTGTAAAGAGAAGATGATGAAGAAGATAGAATGCCGTACTGTAAAGGACCACAAGACCCCTAAGGAGACTGGTCTAGATGTAGAGTGCAGTCTGGAGCGAGGCCTGTACTGTAAGGAGGTCGGCGGGAAGAAGTGTGTAGACTTCGAGATCAGAGTCTACTGCGAGTGCGAGGGTAAGTAGTTTTTTTTCGATTTCCAAAAGTAGCTGTGTTATTCTCAATGCCCATTACTGACCTGATCTTAGCTTCCCTGATCATGTTATATCTGTCCCAATAAAAAATGACTATTTAAATTAATGACAATAAGGCTTAATTATTAAAAATTACAACTACACAGTAGACTTAGTTATTAAAAATCAAAGCTGCTTTTCTGAGATTCAGGGCTACTAATGACGAATAACATTTTACTTCATAACACGTTAACCGCCGCGTAGGTCACAGTTGACCTACGTTAGCAGAGGATTTGCCTTCAACAGTTTGCTGTTGGCAATTGGATAGTTTCCAGGGTATCAAAATTATAAATGTAATTAGTCCGTCAGTTACATAATGAAAAAATATTAGACACGTATTTTTTATTTTCTCGTCATAGGTTATAATACTTAGATAAAATGGTGCTAAGTTTAGGAGTGGGAGGTTGTTCCGTCATAATATGCTACAAAATGTGACACGCTGTGACGTCACACCATTTTTCAAATTAATATATCGTCGAAAGCATTTAATTTCGAGAGAAAAGAAAAAATACGTGTCTAAAGTTTTAAATCAATGTACCAAACGGACATTAAAATAAAATTTAGGAAACTACCCTATTAAAGACTTAATTATCATCTTCTTGACTATATTTTACACAGTTGGCGCAGGGGGCAGGGCTTGATAACCAGCGCAGGTTAAATTCCCAACGAAAAATCCTTAGCAAAATCCACAAACTGTCATTTTGTTTCTGTGTTTGCTTAATCAAATCGCACAGACTAAATAAACTAACTTGCGGCTAAAATTAATTAAATCCAAATTGCCACAGAACCATCTCTCTGCGAGAACTCAGTCCGTCCGAACGAGCCCCACCCGACAGACTGTACGAAGTTCTACGAGTGCGCCCCGTCCGGGCCCGTGCTGAAATCGTGTGGCCCCGGCACTCTGTACAACAATGTCACCATGGTCTGTGACTGGCCTGCCAGCGTCGCACTCGTCAGACCCGACTGTGGCGGTACTACTCCCGGTTAGTACCATTTCCGTAGCTAATTTGATGGTAGCCTTTATCCTGCAGTGACACGATCATGGCTGATAAAAAAATATTTGTAATGGTAACTAGGAAGGTTTTTTTTCTATGGCATAAGCCGGTAAACGAGCAGACGGATCACCTGATGGCAAGCAATCGGCATCGCCCATGGACATCTGGAACACCAGAGGCGTTACAAGTGCGTTACCGGCCTTTTGAGTTTGAGAATCGTTAGGGATTCAGGGATTGGGGAGATTGGGGAAGGGGAGGGTAATTGGGCCTCCGGTAACCTCTCTCACACGACGAAATACAACATATCACGTCGGTTTTCATTGCTTGTTGATGATTGATGATGATGAGGTTGATGCTTGATAATGACTACATAAACACCAATTGGTTTGTACCTATATGGACCAAATGGTGTCTAAAAACTACCAAAGCAGTTCATTTTTAAACTAACTTTGCATTAAAACTGGCAACAAGTCTTAATAAAATGATTAACATTCAGAAGAAGAGAATTGATTACAATAAATCAACAGTTAACCCGTGGTATGCAGAAACGTCCACGCGAGACACAATGTATATTCTATTGTGTCTCATATACCGGCACTCAAGAGGTTAATATTGTTATTATAGGTGTAATAATTAATATTATCTTCATTACGTAGGTGCTGTTTCGACTACGACTACTATTCTATCAACTACATCAATAGTATCAGGTAAGATTTCTAATAACTTCACTCCGAAATGTGACGACTGCCTCGTTGACCGAGTGCGACTGCCGAGCAAGGGGTCTCGGGTTCGATTCCCGGGTCGGCCAAAGTATCACTGGGTGTAAAAAAAAATTCATTAGTAGCACGGTGTCCGGTATATGGCAATAGGCTCACCCCCTATTACATGGGACTCATAACATACATAGTGAAAATGGGGTGTTACATTGTACAGTGGCATAATTTGCACCTCTGGCTATCCCTTCGGGGATGAAAGGCGTGATGTTATGTTGTTATGTTCACTCCGTAATCGAAAATACAAGTTTACGATCACAACATGTGACAGGGGTACCGTACTTTTGGGCACAAGATAGTGCAAAATGTAGTACGTATTTTTCGTCCAATCACTACAGTTGTCAAATATTGAACGGTTTTTTGTTTAATATTTATAAGCAACCTGTTCACTCGGGCTTTAAAGACACCCAGGTTATACCGTTCAGGAAATTTTTACACTTGTCAGTGTCATCCCCATTCATTTTGATTTCTACTTTCTCTGTAGACAAGCGCTAAAGTGGCATTTGGCTAAAGGCCCACCAGCTGTAGCCAAATGCCATTTCGCGCTTGTAGAATAGAAAACCAAATTATATGGAATTTAAAGTTTGACACTTGTCAGTGTCATCCCCGTACATTTTGATTTCTACACTCTCTGTAGACAAGCGCTAAAGTGGCGTTTGGCTAGAGGCACTTGTTACACAAACACCATATGATTGGTCAAAAAAACGTTAGTCCTCATTACTGACTTTTTTTTAACCCTGTGAGTACCGTCATTATAGACACAATTAAAGAACAATAGGTTGCGGTCACCGGTGTCTCCGCGGTGTTTGACAGTTTAATGTTTGTGCAGCAGTACCTGGGGAGTCGACAGTGACGACCGTGTCCCCGTGCCCGGCCGGACAGGAGTATTCCTCCTGCGCATACCGCTGCGACAGACTCTGTGACTACTTCCGCAGGACTATGGTGCAGAAGGGACGCTGTGTTGGAGAGGTAATGTACACCATTCTGTAAAAACTTGCCACAGACTAGCCTGTCCTAGCGGCCCGCGCTCCCTGGTCATAAAAAGTAGTTTAAGTTTTATTTCAATATTTCCGGGCCATAATCCCTACCCCTGTGCCAAATTTCAACCCGATCCCTTCAGTCGTGACGTGATCGAGTACTATCTTCACAAACTTTTGCATTCATAATATTAGTAAAAATATGTGAGTATAAAAGCAATATTAGAGTCCACGGTTAGCACTGACTAGGCAAGCGGCGGCTGCATAATGTTGCGATTCCTGCACGGAACCACTGATTCCTGACTGAACCAATTTAGATGCGGTTTTTAAAAAAATATTTGTACTACACTTAGGAGAAAGTTTTAACTAAAACTTTAACTTTTAGAAGGGGTCGAAGTCAATTTTTTGAAACGTAGCTTATAAACTTTTTACAATAGAAAAAAAAACATTATATACTGCCTGAATAATATGCTACCAAAACATTCTCCCACAGCTTTGTGTGGAAGGTTGCGTCAGTAAGAAGTGTCCGCCGGACTCGTACTGGAGAGACGAGAAGACCTGCGTGCCACGCAAGGATTGTACCTGCTTCGCTGACGATAAGATCATTAAGGTATGCTATTTGCAGTCTCCCATTTACATTTATTTTACTCATTTTTTACAATTTTCATTTTCACAATCAGTTATCGTCAAAATCAATGCTAACTTGTGTGCAAATGCAAATATTAACATTAAAAAAAAACTATATTTTTATGTAATAATAAGTTAAGTAATAATATGTTAAGTATATCTTGAAATCAACGAAAATAAATTTTGTATATTGTTTTTAATATTTTTATTGTATTGTAAAGACGAAATAATTTATTTTTGATTTAATATTGACATATAACAGAACATAAATATTGCCCAATGGTGTTCACACATATACAGTTTGTCTGGTCCTCCAATTTCTACAAGTAACTTCTCTTTGCCCCCCTCAGCCTGGAGGCGTAGTAGCAGACGGCTGCATCAAATGCCAGTGTCTGAACAACGAGATGCATTGTGACTCGAGCGAGTGTGTCATAGTCAGCACACAAGTACAAGGATCCACTCACCAACCGATCATCGAACCCCACATACTGCCATCGCCTTCCACTACGACTTCTAGCACGACTACTACGACTACTACGACCACTACGACCACTACGACTACTACGACTACGCCGAAACCGACTACTGTTGAGAAAGTGACGTCACCGCCTCCAGAGTGTTCGAAAGAAAAGTAAGTAAAAATGACATTTGTATTGTTTTATTATATTTTCGACGACAATTTTTTTCGACTGTGCTCGTTTAACAACTATGAATGATTTAACTCGTCGAGTACCGTATTTATAGACACAATTAAAGAACAATAGGTCGCGGTCACCGGTGACCGCTTGGTGTTTGACAGTTTAAACTAAAGTAATACAGGCACCACTATCGCCACAAAAGATAATTTTTGAGGAACATTAAATAAATATGGATACATGTACAATATTACTGTCAACCAGTAACTCTTTTTCAACTAAAACAACACCATATTGAATGGCAGTGATTTAATTTCTGTCCACAAATTAGACCATGTATTACATTTTTTGTTATAGCTTAATGGACCTGATGTGGGGAGACCAGCCTCTCCCAGACTCCTCATTCAGCGCCAGCTCCGTCGCCAGCGGATTGTTCGAGCCACAGTATGCTAAGCTCAACGGACACCCACTTGACGTCACTGGTAAAACTAATTTCCAACAATGAGTTCTTTTAATAAATTCTGAGTTTTATTCAAAAGATCTTTACTATGCGGAGAATGGTAATAAGTTCGCTTCCTGTCTTGTTATAATATCATTCTTGAATCTCGGTGTGATTAAGTCTCACTGGGACTCTATTCGGGCTTATTTTTCCTTACTACTTGAAGAGGTTTTTTTGTCCAATCACTGCAGCTGTCAAATATTGAACGTCCAATGATGTGATACTAGGTAATTCCCTATTGGACGAACAACGATATGCGCACTATCGTCATCTGGTGTGCAAACATAGATAGCTCTCATTTATGAGGAGACGCAGCGCTTGAAACTACTAATTGTTTTCTTGAATACTTTTTTTATGGGATAAGCCGTTAAACGAGCAGACGGATCACCTGATGGTAAGCAATCGGCGTCGCTCATAGAGACCCGGATCACCAGGGATGTTCCAAGTGCGTTACCGGCCTGTTAGGGATTGGGAATTTGACGATTGTTGGGGATTTAGGGATTGGGGAGATTGGGTAAGAGAGAGAGGGCCTCCCGTAACCTCACTCACACTACGAAAGATAACGCAAGCGTGGTTTCACGTTGGTTTTCTGTGAGGCCGTGGTATCACTCCGGTCGCGCCGGCCCATTCGTGGCGAGGCCTGGCTCTCCCACACTTAAACTACTTCACTTGAATAAGGTGTATTTTAATTTTATCTACTTTTCTACTCACAAAATAACTAAAGTATTTGTCTATTGTGTGATGTATGATACATAATTATACATGATTGTGTCCTTTTCTAGCTGGAAGTTGGAACCCAGCAACTCAAGATCAGAACCAGTACATCCAAGTGGAACTGCCTCGTCGGGAGCCTATCTTCGGTGTGAAGATGCAGGGCAGCCCACTCTTCGACCAGTATGTTACCAGCTACGAAGTGTTGTATGGCGACAGTAATGATACATTGGAAGTCATCAAGGGGCCTGATGGAAAACCGAAGGTGTGTGCTGATGAATGAAGATAGCATTATAAATTTCCAGTCTACATATCTATTTATTCATACATACATAACATCACGCCTTTCATCTTTCATCTCCGAAGGGCTACCCCTTATACGCACGGCAGAGGTGTACACAGAAGTAACACCCACTTTTCACTATTTATGTTATGAATCCTATGTAATAGGGGTGAGCCTATTGCCATATACCGAGCACATTTCCTGACTCCGTGCTACTACGGAGATTTTTCCGACCCGGGAATCGAACCCGAGACCCCTTGCCTGGCAGTCGCATTTGCGACCACTCGGTCAACGAGGCAGTCATCTATTTATTCATCGATTACTATAAGAAGTTTTTTATTTCAACTCTCAGAAATATGACGCAATCTGTAGTAGCATCCTGTGCTTAGTAAGATGTTTCAAATAAGATACAAGTCTGATAGATATCCAACTTCAATTCTCATAAAAATAATTTCCTTTAGGTATTCAAAGGACCTTCAGACAACCGTACACCAGTGTCCCAATGGCTGGAACCGCCAGTAGAAGCCAAAGTCGTTCGCATACACCCTCTCACATGGCATGAAGAAATCTCCATCAGATTCGAATTAGTTGGCTGCAGCGAGGAAACAACCACCGCCTTCGCCTCCACGGGTACTACACCGGCTATCCCGACTTCTCCGACTATCCCAAGTACGAAGACTACGCCGCCGACTATTCCGACTACGCCGACTACACCGACTACGCCAGTGCCTTCGACGAAGACAACTATTGCAGCTCCTTTGATTATCCCGAGCACTGTGTCACCGCCGCCACTTTGTAATCCGAATAGGTGAGAGTTTTGTTAATACCTGCTTGTTAAATTTTCATTTGATTACCAATGTAGGTACTTTTGGTCTTACTGAAAAGAAACCAGAAGTGTCCATTACTGGAAATGTTAAACATTATTTTTTATTTAACAATGGTTGGACCTCCGGTAACCACAATCACACGACGAAACACAACGCAAGCGTAGTTTCCTGTCGGTCTTCTGTGAAGCCGTGGCATCACTCCGGTCGAGCCGGCCCATTCGTGCTGAAGCATGGCTCTCACTTAAAGAATAAAGGACATTATTTTTCTATACAGCTACTTGGACCTGATGTGGGGAGACCAGCCTCTCCCAGACTCCTCGTTCAGCGCCAGCTCCGTCGCCAGCGGACTGTTCGAGCCACAGTATGCCAAACTCAACGGACACCCACTTGATGTCACTGGTAAGTTTTCTAAAATATTCATCATCGAATTGAGAAACCATTTAAACTAATAAAATATTTAATATGTCTCACGAAATTTATAACATAAATATACTATACTAGTTGGTCAGACGGTTTATATCTCTATCTCTATCTGCTTCCCTTTCTCTCTCTCTACTTACTGTTCTCTGTTTCTCTCGTAAGCTCTGTTTTTAATACGATATGTTTTAGTTAGATTTAATGTATGTAAAGGCAATAGTGTTTTCAAATTCAAATTCAAATTCAAAATTCAAATTATTTATTTGCACAAATATGGGTACATCATGTTGTTCATAGTTTATACAGTCATATAATAATATAGATCGCCATATTCCGGCTTTCGCCATGCAAAGTTAAGTGACAACAATTTAAGTCAAGATAAAAAAGATTAATTTTAAGGTCAAAAATAGTGGGTTTACGTCATAAGGAATAATTATTATTATTAAGTCAGAAAATAGCATATAGGTAAATTAAAGTTTTAAATCTTTGTCGATAAAAATTCTAATATGTCACAAAATCGAATATCATCTATACATAATATTTAATAAAATTGTTACTATCTAAAATACAATTAAAATTTAATGTCATACAGTTACTCATACATTAATAGTGTATCTGTGTGCTCCAGTATTTACATTTCGATTCCGGATATATTGTCCTCTAAAAATTCCTTTATGGAGTAATAGGCTTTTGCCAAAAGTAGACATTTTAATTTACTTTTAAATGAATGGTCGTTTGTTGTTTCCAATAATGTGGTGGGTAAATGGTTGTATAATCTAGGTATCATGCAGAATACACTTTTACTTAGGAGTCCAGTTCTGTTTGGCATGCAGCTTAGTTTTAACTGTCGTCTCCTACTTTTTAATTTTGGAAAGAGATTTGTATTTTGCTTAGCAAACATTATTAGGTCAAAAATATAAATACACGGGAATGTCATTATCTTAATATTAACAAATGTAGATCTACAACTTTCGGTTTGTTTCATTCTGAATATGGCTCTGACGCATCTTTTCTGAGCTCTAAAAATCGCGTCTCTTTCTGTACAATTGCCCCAGAACATTGCACCAAATTTTAATATGGGGGTGACATACCCATGGTATGCCGTAAGAACAGCTGACGTATTGACCGTTCTAGACAACATGTATATTGCGTACGAGTACTGACTAAGTCTCGAGCACAACGTTTCCGCATGCAGCTTCCAACTCAGCTGCGAATCCATCTGCAATCCCAAAAATCTGGTTGTATCAACTATCTCAATCTTGGTCTGCGAGTGGTGAATATTTATGTCATCTACTAACTTGGGAGTCCTATTTTGAAACGCCATTAATTTAGTTTTTTCTAAGTTAACTTTAAGGTTATTTAAAGTCAACCATTGTATGATAGTGGTTAATGTGTGATTTATGTCAAGTTCAATCTGAGTTTTGTCCTTGCCCGTAAATATAATTGTGCTATCGTCAGCGAAGTAGTAGCAGTTTTAATTACTATAGCTAAAAAATTCAGTGGAAAATAATCGAAAATATTTTTTATTGCATCCAATAAACCTAACAAGGAATAAATAAATAACGTATACGTAACTCCATAAAATAAAGCTGCATGTAAAGCTGTTAATATTTTAACAATAACGTATATTATCTATTTCAATAAAATACTGGCCGAAGTTTTTTGGAACAATGCCATTTCTATGTTTAGCGTGACAATTAAAAATAGGGTGACGATTTTCGACTAGTATAGACAAGCCTCGGTAGCGCAGTAGGTAGCGCGTAAGTCTCATAATCTTAAGGTCGTGAGTTCGATCCTCACCCGGGGCATACCTTTTTGTAACATTTTATGAACTTTTTCTCTTTTACAAGTTTCGTATAAAGAAGAACTAACGAGTTTGTTATATCTTATTGTATTATATTATATATTATTTATTTATAACAATAAATAGTACATCAATATTACATTCTAGCCGGTAGTTGGAACCCGGCTACCCAAGATCAGAACCAGTACATCCAAGTGGAGTTCCCTCGTCGGGAGCCGGTGTACGGAGTGAAGATGCAGGGCAGCCCACTCTTCGACCAGTACGTCACCAGCTACAAGGTCCTGTACAGCGATGATGGAGTTTCCTTCTCCACTGTTAACGGACCTGATGGGAAGCCGAAGGTAATTTATTTGATAAAAGATAATTAAAAAAATATAATAAGGCTGATACATAAGTTAATTACAGTAGATAATACAATAGATAATATAGGTTACCTAGCGATGAATATTGCATATTGAAAAACATATCAACTTTCCTATAATCATAAAAAGTTTGAAAATGAAAAAGTTTTCTATAAATAAATGATCACATCACACAAAATATTGCACATTGTCTTTTTTCAAAAGTCGATGTGCATTAATTATCGTCATATACTGTAATAAGTTCCGATTTATAATCTATACGTTACTGATTCTAAGAAAACTATGTATTCATCAAACACTAGCGACCCCTTTGAACTTTGTTTCATCTTGAAGTATATATATTCTGCACATTTTTGTAATTCTTTACCGACTTCATTTTCTTACATAAGATCCTTCTGCTAACAATAACAAACCCAACAAAAATAAGTATTATCGAAATCGGTTCAGCTGTCCTCGAGATTTACGCTTAGCAACACATTTAACGATTTATTTTATATTATATGTAGAGAATTTAAATCGTATTTATATGAATAGAAATTATATCATAATATTCAATAAATTTCAGATATTCTTTCGTATTTTCTGTCTCATTTTTAGGTGTTCCGCGGTCCAGTAGACCACACCACGGTATCCCAACAGATGATAGAGCCTCCAGTAGAAGCCAAGGTCTACCGCATCCAACCTCTGACGTGGCACGAGGAGATCTCCGTGCGGTTCGAGCTCATCGGGTGCAAGGAACCATCTTCCATGGAGACAACTGTCACCACTGTCGTTGTAAGTCTTTTTATTGGGTTTTTTTACACATCAACATAGGTGACAATAATAAGACTTTAGTACTATCTAAATTGTGAATCTCCTGTTTTTGTGAAGTTAGGTAAAACATAGTATACTGTCCACTTAGCCATTCCTCAAATGCCTTCTCAGTCATAAACACGATTGCCGACCTCGACGTCTTGGATGAGATTCTTGAGTCGAGCAATTAGTAGCATTATTAAGATTGCATTTTTTTTAATTTCAGCATAGTATCTGAAATTGGGCCTATATACCTCTAGTATATGGCTGTACATGTTTTATGGAGTTATTACATATTATGACAACTATGACTAGTAACATATATGGCGAAAAGTAGTAACATTATATTATGAACAAAATGTTAATAAAACTTTATAATATAATATACCTATATTTAGACTACATTTAGATTATGTATATGGCAATAAGCTTACCCCCTATTACATGGGTCTCATAACATAAATAGTGAAAGAAAAGTAGGTGTTACATTGTACAGTGGCATTAAGTGGCGTAATGTGCACCACTGCCTACCCCTTCGGGAATAATAGGCGTGATGTTATGTTAGATTATGTTTGTCACATCTGGCAATATACCACCTAGAACACTTCATCTATCCAAAAATTACTCGTAAAACTACTATACCAATTCCCCCACAGCCACCACAGCCAGAATGCCTGGAGCCTCTAGGTCTTGGCGCTGATCTTCCACTGGAGAGCATCGAAGTGAGCTCCAACAATGACGCGCGACAGTACTTCAAACTGGACGGAGAGAGGGGATGGAGACCTCTGTACAGCACGCCTGGAGAATGGATCATGGTCAGTATCCTGGACAAACCAGACCAGAGACCATGGCTTTCTGGATCATCTACTGCTCATCTGTCCTTGGAAATAAATGAATTCAAACATATTTTTCAGCTTTGATCTTTTTGTTAATTTTCTCTACTTGAGAATTGATAAAGAGAAATGTGCTTGAAATCCCAAAAACAGTTGCAAAACGTTTGCTTTTTAATTTTTCTGGACTTTAATCAAACTCATTTCGACTCAAAGTATTTACCGTATTTATGTTAATTTCAATTTGACAAGAATCGAATATTGTCTACTTGTTCCAAAATGCAGATTAGCAAAAAAACGCCATGAGAGTTAGTTATTATAGAATTTAATGGCAATGGAAAATGAACCTCATTGGCCGAGTGGTCGCAAGCGCGACTGCTGGGCAAGGGGTCTCGGGTTCGATTCCCGGGTCGGGCAAAGTATTACTGGTTTTTTTTATTCTCAATAGTAGCACGGAGTCTGGAATTGTGCCCGGTATATGGCAATAGGCTCACCCCCTATTACATGGAACTCATAACATAAATAGTGAAAAGTGGGCGTTACATTGTACAGTGGCATAATGAGCACCTCTGCCTATCACTTCGGGGATAAAAGGCGTGATGTTATGTTATGAAATGAACCTTAACCTGAAACAATACAGTTCAAAATCCCCTAACCCTAACATTCTTCCGCAGTTCAATTTCACATCACCACGAAACATAACCGGCATCAAAACGAAGGGTGGTCCATTAGGATGGGTGTCCACCTACAAGATCATGTACACCTCAGACCTGTCCATCTTCAACCCTGTAGTGGGGGACAAAGGAGACAAGGTGTTCCCAGGGAACTTCGACAAAAACTCTGAACATTTTGAAGCGTTCTACCCACCCATACATGCGCAGTATTTGAAGGTATTGCCTTTGACCTGGAAAGACAATATTGAGATGAGGATCGAACCAATTGGATGCTTTGAACCTTACCGTAAGTTGTCATTTTTATTTTATTGTAGAGTGTGGCGATTTATTTTTTTATTGTAGAGTGTAGCGAATGGGCTTCGGAATCGATTCTCGGATGGTGGAACGTATTATTAGCAACTTTCGAGCATGAAGTAGTACTAAGTTTATAATGTTCAAATAACCGACCTGGAAATAGACTCTTAGGTCTTTAATACAACAGTGATTATTAGTAGTATAGTAACGTGAAGTTTGGAATGTCGCAGTGATTAACCTAAGAATCGAATTCGATATCAACTTTTGTCACTACTCTACTCAAACAAACACGCAAATACCATACAACTTTTTTTTTAAACGTTGCCCCACACTACTATTTTCTCTTGTGTTGTGGGTGCGTTTACAAACATACAAGTTCACATACACATGACACCCAGACCCGGAACAACAATCTGTGGGTCACACAAAGAGTTGTTTCGTGCGGGAATCGAAGCCGCGACACGTTGCGCGGTAGCCAGTTGCCCAGCCACCGCGCCAACCGTGCAGTCCAACAATTGTTGACAAATTTCACTTTCTCTTCTAGCTGTAACAGAGAAGCTTCCAGAAGTAACGACCTCCCGCTACCGGGAACCTTCCCTCCCTGAACCTATCACCTGCGAGCTCTGTCCAGGAGTGCAGAAGTTGGAGGAAGGCAACAGCTGTGACTGCAAGGCACCTGCCAAGTACTATGATGGAGACAACTGTGTGACCAGAGACCAGTGTCCTTGTATCGAGTCGTTTATGACGTGAGTATTGCCACACTTTGTAATATTAGGTGAGAGCGGTCACCGGTGACCGCTTGGGGATTTATGGGTTAAGGAGTAGCTTTTATTTATTTAAGGGCAACCAACAAAGCATACACCAAAATACATGATAGATTTTTAACATATTTAACACGTAGCCTTAATTAAAGGCTGCCACGACATGTATTAAACAAAGAACAGGATATTACAGCAAAAAGTTCAATTATCCGAAAAAAGACGAATCTGAAAATGATAAACGAGTAGACGGATCACCTGATGGTAAACGTAAGTAACACTTGTAAGAGGCGTTACAAGTGGTTACTGGCCTTTTGGGATTAGGAATTTTAGCATTGTTGGGGTATCAGAGATTGCAGTCTTTTTCTATTATTAAAATATAAAGACAATCTAACAGGTTACCGGAGCTCTGGCTTAAAGCAGAAGTAGGAACAGGCTGGGTTTTTGTCAGTAACAGTAGAACATTCCCTCTTGAGTGAAAAAAAAAACACATATATATCTACCAAAAAGTAGACAAGGGTCCTGATTAAACTCAAAGTCAATATCATTTATTTCAATTATACCAGAACGGCACTTTTGAACGTCAACAAAAAATTTAAAAGTGAAGCTCATTCCAAGGCGTAGATTCCAATGGAGAAGAACGAGCAAGAAACTCCGTATGTTACTCTTTTTCAATCAGGTTCACAATGAAATTATTTAGTTACATAATTTTGTGGGTTCAGTTGTATGAGGCAGAACACCGAAACACCAAAACCCAGTCAAAGAGATCGAAAAAGAAGGTAACCCTAAGGACAATAAAGTCATACAGTTTGAAGCTGACCAGTCCCAGTTGACTCACTGTTCAATAATATGTATATCATATTTATTACTTTTCATGTTTGGCAAAACAAATCATTTTGTCTTTTTATCGTTTAGCACTAAGTTATTTATTGTAAACCAACTTTGATAATGCCCTAATGAAACCTTCATTTTGAAGGTTTCATTAGGGCATTATTTACGTCGTCATAATTATCTGTTTGTCTATTTATTTTAAATAATGTCATCAGCAAATAATACCATCTACGGTTCATTCTGAAATAAAGAGGTAAATCATTCATATAAAAAGAATGGACCTAGTATTGAGCCCTGCGGTACACCCATAGATATGCTAGCACTCTGTAAATTTACTTTATTTACTCGTACTTTAAGTGGCCTATCCTAAAGGTATGATTTCAACAGATTTAGCGACGTCTCCCGAATGCCGTAGTGTTCACTAGTAGCTTCAGCAATAGCGTCTTATGTTGTCACACAGTCGAATGCCTGCGAAAGATCACACAATAATAAGTTTTATTGTAACATTTCATTAACATTCACATCAAACTGTACGTTATAGTTACCCTGTGGGGTCTACGTTCCGCGGCGCCAACTGTGACGAGTGTGTGTGCAAGCTGGGCGGCGTCACTCATTGCCAGCCTGTCAAGCAGTGCAGGTGTGCACCGGTAAGTTCGAAAAAATCCATTTAATCTTGCGTAATTTTAAAGATCTAAGGAAAAAATCATTGTATGACAAAAGTACGGACCAAGAGTCCGTGGAAAATAAATATTAATTACTTAAAAAAATGCATACAGATACACCGAAGGCGGAAAGCAACTTTGTTTTATACTATGTATTCTCATTGTCTTCCAGCTTCGTTTTTTCATTCCATATAGAATATCTTTCTTTTTCTAGTTGATAAAAGTGTTACCCTTTCAATTACCACGTACACATGCTCTCCAGGATCTAGTACCAAAACTGTCACCATCCACGTGCGAGTGCACTTGCGAGCCGTGTCCATCAGGCACCAAGATCTGTCCGACGAGCAAGCTCTGTCTCCCACTAGACAAGTGGTGCGACGGTCTCCAGGACTGTCCTGATGATGAGAAGGATTGTACCACTACCACGCCCAGTACTCCGATGACCACGGTGGTGGAGAAAGAGGTGGTCACCACCCAGTCTCCTGCCACTGTCGCTGCTGTCGTCACTACTGCTAAACGTGAGTATGTTTGTAGCTCATCTCCGATTTATTATAGGGATACATGTCATTTATAACTTTGGTGTATGATTTTAATCTGTCAAACACCGAGCGGTCACCGGTGACCGCGACCTATTGTTCTTTAATTGTGTCTATAAAACCGGTACTCGACGAGTTAATATGGTGATGTTCTTGTTTAGTGTCTGGAGGAAAACTTTTCTTCATAAAGGACTTCAATATTTTTTTCTCAAAGAAGGGCCTGCGGGAATTTGTTACTAAACTGGTTTACTGCTAGTCTAGCTGGTTCCTTTCTTTAGGTGCTACTGGGAATTTTATAATCATAACTGACTTATATCCCGTTTGATGTTAAATAATCTAACGATAATACATAGTCTCTGCCTACCCCCGTGGAAGACGGCGTTATGTATGTATGTATGATGTAAAATATGACTACATATGACTACGACTTCACTCCAATGACGTTGTTCCTGATATAAATATGATCAAAATTACAAATAAATGCGCATTTGATTGCTTAATCATTAAATGATGATTTAAAACGTATGGCATCGAAAAATTATTGACAATAATATGAAAAAATTGAAATTTGATAAGTATGAATTGGCATTGTATATGGTTTTAGGATACAGAGTCACGGGGCGGGCTCTTAATCCCCAATCAAGGATATTAAATTTCACAAGGAAGACAAGACCCAAAAAGAAATCATCCATTAAATCTCACCACAAAATAAATAATAAAACACGTGGTAAGAATTTGTTTTTACCATGAACCGTGCGAAAAGAAACCTTAAGCCCTACTTTTTTAATCTAAAATCGTTTAACTTTGTCTGGTTAGACACTCGCTAACCGGTTGAGATTCCTGTACTTGTTGACCATATTATTAGACTTTGATAAGACTTTAAACGACTTTTTAACTAACAAAATGACTTTTTAACTAATAAAATTACTTTCTAACTAGTTAAACTTCTAACGTTTTTATCTACTAAATCTGTGGCCATATTTTTTTCCAGCTCTAGAATGTCCGAAGGTGGAATGTCCTCCAGGCTACACCGTGGTGTACACGTCGACAGAACCAAGTTCCCCTCGCTCCACGTACGGCTCAGCCACTGAACTCCCTCCGCCAAGGCCCAGGTACTCCTACCAGAGGTACCAGAGAGGTTACTCTAAAGGAGGGTATTCCAAGGGAGGATATTCTAAAGGCGGATATTCCAAGGGAGGATATTCTAAAGGCGGATACTCCAAAGGCGGTAAGAAATTTTCGTCTATCCGATTATGTCAAGTTATATATTAATAGCGTAGGTATTGTCGCTCTGATTTTGTTGTTGATATTTGTAATCTATTAAGGAAAGCTAAAATAATCGTTGAAAGTAAAACGCTGAATCTGTATAGTTAAAACTTAAATTCAAGATTCTCAATAATTAGAAAACTGCTTAAGACAGTATTATAACCCATAACATTTCATTAAAGATGCCTCACTTCAATACTTTCTTCACAGGTCTGCCGGCACCACGTCCGAACCAAGCGTTCTCCCTGGACAAGCCAGACGTAAGCTCCTCGACCAAGACCCCGGCGCCCAAGAAAGAATGTGCGCAGTTCAAGTGTATCCCCAAGCTCCCCCCCTACCGCCCTGGCGGAGGAGTCACCCCTCCCCCCGTCTGTTCCGTCGTCACCTGTCCTCCGGGATACTCCCTGCGACTGGACAAATCTGCTTCCGGATCCAACAAGTGTCCTCAGTGAGTGTGGTCATCAAATTATATTATCTCTCTTTGCTGTTAGGCTACTTAAACCCTAAGGTTGACTGGTAGAGAAGAGAATGCCAAATGTCATTATCAAATTGTGTACATAAAAGAATAAATAAATAAAATTATTTTTATGGAATTGGGGTTGTGATGGTATGATAAACCGCAATACTAGAGAAGTCACAAGTGTGTGTGTGCCATTACATATTTGAAGTGTGTGTCTTGGTATCATACATACATCGACTATTTAATTGACCCAGTACTTTAGTGTAAATACCTCGTAGCTCGTTACAAAGTATAGTTGTCTATTATAGAAAAGAACAAACAATACCCTTCATTGCTCTATTTCAATCATTCATACAATTTATAAGTTTATTCTAAATTTTTACATAACATAACATCACGCCTTTTATCCTCGAAGGGGTAGGCAGAGGTGCACATACCACTGTACAATGTAACACCCACTTTTGACTATTTATGTTATGAGTCCCATGTAATAGGGGGTGAGCTTATTGCCATATATCGGGCACAGTTCCAGACTCCGTGCTACTACTGAGAATTTTTAAAAAACCCAGTAATACTTTGCCCGACCCGGGAATCGAACCCGAGACCCCTTGCCCCGTAGTCACACTTGCGACCACTTGGCCAATGCTTGGCAAAACAAAAACATTCAATCTACCACTACTAAATAAAATGTTTCATGTGTTTAGATATGAGTGCGTGCCTCCTCCGGAGCGTCCCGTGTACTGCAATGTGACCGGTCGTACCTTCAACACATTCGACGGCGTCGAGTACAAGTACGACGCATGCTTCCACATCCTCGCTCGTGAGAACAGATTCGATGCCTGGACTATACTCAGTGAGTACTCATTTACGTATCGGTTTTTATAGGCATCATCATAATTACAGTCAACTGTTGAACATAAGGCGTCCACCAGAGACATTGTATTGATACAATTTCCCATTTTGATGTTAATTGAATCATTTTAAACGTAAAAACTTCTTTGCAATAGGCTGTTTTTCCTTAGGACTCATTGTTAAGGCACTATTACAGATAATAATTTTAAACACGTAACCATGCTTCAATTGAGCACTTACCACTTAGCAACATGTGTGTCGAAATGTTGCTCAAAATTAGCATGCCATTTTGGGCATGCTTGCGAATCGACAAGCGTTCGATTTTTGAATATTATTGAGCATGCTCAATAGAATGCTTTTTAGCGTGCTATTTATTTACCATACAACGATGCTACCATCCGTGCGTCACTGCATGCTCACTGAAAATCAGTGCTGGGTAACCTGTATGCCTGGCTTATACTGAGTGGGTGACCCTTTTAGCATAGGCATGTTGTCAGCGTCTCTTTTCTAATTCTTCTGTTTCAATTTTTCAACTCTTATATTTTTATTAGTTCCACTGTCACACTTTGATTGTCTTTTTTATATTTTATTTATGCTGCATCGTGCCTGGTGCTAAATAAATGTATTTTCTTTCTTTCTATTTCTTGTTAGAGGGGCAAACGTGTTACAATAATAAAGTACCCAATAACTTAACATGACACTCCACTCCACAGTCCGCAAGAAATGTCGTCTGGATGGATGTCAAAACGAGCTCCTAATCCTGCAAGATGACCAGCTAATCCTGGTGAAACCCAACATGATGATAGAGTATGACAACTACGAGTATACCGTGGAGCAGACAAGCAAGATCTGCTTCCAGAAGAACAGCTTTAACGTCGACCGACTCGGCAACGGCATCGCAATCAAGTCCAGGAAGTACAACTTCACTGTGCTGTATACCTCCGAAGGAGATATTAAGATAGGGGTGAGTTCTTACTTTCATTTTTAGACCAGACTGTCTCGTTGGCCGAGTGATCGCAAGTGCGACTGCCGGGCAAGGGGTCTCAGGTTCGATTCCCGGGTCGGGCAAAGTATTACTGGGTTTTCAAAAAAATCTTTATAGTAGCACGGAGTCTGAAATCGTGTCCGACATATGGCAATAGGCTCACCCCCTATTACATGGGGCTCATAACATAAATACTTGAAAGTGGGTGTTAAATTGTACATTGGCGTTAAGTGATGTAATGTGTACCTCTGTCTACCCTTCGGGGATAAAAAGGCGTGATGTTATGTAATGTTTATATTGTACGGCTCACCTGTTAACGTTCGACTATGAGCCCCTAACGTTACTTGAAACTAAACGAAATCGAGTTTTCGTCTCCCCTTCCCCAATCTCTCCATGTCTCCCGTGTCTATGGGCGTTGCCGATTGGTTACTATTAGATGATTCGTTTCCTCTTTTACCGGCTTATCTCATAAAAAAAACAAAAATCATACAAATTCTCTATCACCAGGTGTTTAAAAGCTACATGGGCGCAGTGGACGGACTCTGCGGAGCGTTTGACGGCTCACCCAAAAACGACAGACGTCTGCCTGACGGTAGACTGGCCACCAGCATCGATGAGTTTGGACGAGCCTGGGCCAAGCCTGGTCTACCACCCAATGCTTGCCAGACCAAGATCATATCTGACGAGAAGCAGAAGAAGGCTTGGGCACTTTGTGATGTGATTACGTGAGTATAATCTCTGTATTATTATAGTGTAGTAGATTTCTATTGTTCATAAAAAGTTAGGAATAGATCTGTGACAATTAAACTAGAAAAAAAGACAAAGGTCATGGCAATTTCTTCTTGTGTGTGTTTCATAGACATTATTGATGAACATTTATAAGGTCCATAGTTCTCCATAGTTCTATTTCTATTTCTATTAAGTGTGGGAGAGCCATGCTTCGGCACGAATGGGCCGGCTCGACCGGAGTGATACCACGGCCTCACAGAAAACCGACGTGAAGCAACGCTTGCGTTGTGTTTCGTCGTGTGAATGAGGTTACCGGAGGCCCAATTACCTTCCCCTTCCCCAATCTCCCCAATCCCTGAATCCCCAACGATCCTCAAACTCCTAATCCCCAAAAAGCCGGTGACGCACTTGTAGCGCCTCTGGTGTTCCAGGTGTCCATGGGTGACGCCGATTGCTTACCATCAGGTGATCCGTCTGCTAGTTTACCGGCTTACGCCATAAAAAAAAAATTAGTAACGAGGACGCGTCCGGCGCTCTGATTGGTTAGTTTATTGGCGCCGGCCAATCAGAGCGCCGAACGCGTACTTTTGTTTTCATGTTATTCATGAAACAGCCTTGAGCAGTTGTTTACAAGTGTTATTACATAAAATAACTATTTAATTCCTTCATCATCATCATCATCATCATCATTAACAGCCGGACGACGTCCACTGCTGGACAAAGGACACCTCCCCCTTAGTCCTCTACGTCAAACGACAACTCGCCACCTGAGTCCACTTGCTCCCCGAAATTAATTAATTTTATAAAAAGTATCCTTACTTAATAAATCTCGTTTCACCATCACCTGTCTTCGTTTTTTGGAAACGTTCCGTTTACATTCTGTACTTTTCAACTTCTCAAAAGCATTTATTTCAATGAAATCATAATTTGGTACTTTTGAAACGTCAACAAATATGAAATAAATTTTTATAATAGTCCGTCAGTCTGTCCGTCAGTGAAGCTAGGCGCTCGTTCCAAAATGTCGATTTGAGTGGAGAAGAACGAGCAAGAAACTCCATTCGTTACTCTTTTAAAAAAACGTCTGTTTTACACTGCTCTGATACATATTCCAATATTGTACACACATGTGATACAATAATGTAAAGACATACCTGACGCATCATACAAATAACAGAACGTGCTAAAATAAAAAACAAAATCAAGAGAAAAGAAATACCTTAAGAATACCTATTATTAAACCATCAAGTCATCTTCAAAACACCTTCTTTTTGTCCCACCAGCAAAGAACCTCTGTCGCAATGCGGTCACGTACTCAACCTGCACAAATGGCGCAACATCTGCCTGGAGAAGATCTGTTCCTGTACGGAGCTAGTGGTGAACGGCACACATAGAACTGAGGAGGAGTGTCGCTGTCTACTGCTCGACCAGCTCGTTGCTGAGTGCCTCGCTGCTGACAAGAATGTGGATTTGGCCAACTGGAGGATGATCATGGATTGTCGTGAGTATTTAGAATATCTTTTAGAATCTATCTCATATATATCCATACATATATAATTCAAAGGTGACTGACTAACTGATATACTGATCTATCAACACACAGCCCGAACCGCTGGGCAGATTTAGCTAAAATTTGGCATACAGATAGATGTTATGACATAGGCATCCGCTAAGAAAGGATTTCGATAATTTCCTCCCCCAAGGGGATAAAAAAGGGGATGAAAGTTTGTATGAAACTTTGTCAGTTTTAAACTCATCGGGTTAAAATTTGGCATGCAGATAGATGTTATGATAATATCCACCCCCAAGGGGTCAACGGAAGGGTTCAGTTGAATGTTTCTATCTAAATAAATAATACAAACAGAATATGAACATTGACTCCACGATGGAGTTGCTGATACGATATTCGATTGATACACATGTCATATACTAACCGTTTACTGTTGTCGTTTGTATCTTATTGTGACTGTCTATTGTCTAAATTCCTAATATATATATATATATTTAAATGGTTTATTATCTCTACTATTACAACAACTGTTTAACAATACTTGTGTTGGGCTTGACTCGCTACTTACCTTATTTGCTTAAATTGTTCATAAATGTTTGTTTAATAAACTCCTACCTCTCCCCAGCGGCGGAGTGTCCCCCGCCACTGGTGCACTACGACTGCTACCGCAAGCAGTGCGAGCCGACGTGCTCGGGCTTCGGTCTGGCGCGCTCGTGTCCGGCCGTGGAGGGCCAGTGCTTCCCCGGCTGCTACTGTCCGGAGGGCAAGCTCAGGGTCGGGGACCAGTGCATCCTGCCTACTGACTGTCTTGACTGTGAGTATTACACGCGACAACCGGGCAACGGGTCTCGGGTGCGATTCCCGATCACGGGTCAGGTAAGTAAGACCACAGAGTCTGGAATTGTGCCCGGTATATGGCAACAGGCTCACCCCCTATTACATGGGACTCATAACATAAATAGTGAAAAGTAGGTGTTACATTATATAGTGGCATTAAGTGCCGTAATGTGCACCTTTGCCTACCCCTACAGGGATAAAATTCGTGATGTTATGTGTGTGTATATTTGACCATGCTTTTGACATAGACCTTTGAAATTAGTTCTTGCTGACAACAAAATATGTTTATGTACAATAAACTCCGAATCAGGCAAGCTGATTGAGCTATAAACGTTTAAAAGTGATACAAAATATAAAGCAATTTAGAGTATTTTTCAAAGCTTTCACTTGCCGTTAATATTTAGAACAAGTCCAATCGAACTGGTGTTCCGTTGTCTTAAAAAGAAGAACCTTTCTAGTCTGCAAAGTTTGTAATAAAATAACAATTGGCATTTTTGTGTACCTACACTCTTAATGATTTAAAAAACATACGTAACAAAAACACCGCCTAAATATAATTCAATATCTAAAACACTCGAGAAATAAAAACGACAGCCAGTAAGCCAGTTAATAAATAATATACGCCGAAACCTCGTTCCAACTAAGGCGTAGGCGTTCGTTTAACGCAGTTTCTTAGGTTAGATCTAACTACCAATGAAAATTGTGACATATACTTACTTATTAAGGTTATTTGTTAAAAAAAAAACTTCTTATAAAACGACTGCCTCGTTGGCCGTGTGGTCGCAAGAGCGACTGCCGAGCAATGGGTCTCGGATTCAATACCCGGGTCGGGCAAAGTATTACTATGTTTTTAAAAAAATCTCAGTAGTAGCACGGAATCTGGAAATGTGCTCGGTATATGGCAATAGGCTCACCCTTATTACATGGGCATCATAACATAAATAGTGAAAAGTGGGTGTTATTTCTGTGTGCATCTCTGCCTACACCTTCGGGGATAAAAGGCGTGATGTTATGTCATCTAAAACACCCATCAACCCCCAGGTGCCTGCAGTGGAGTAGGAACCCCAGCAAAATACGTGACCTTTGAAGGAGACGACCTTCCATTCCTGGGCAACTGCACGTACCTTGCATCCAGGGACAGGAACGAGACTGGAGACCACAAATATGAGGTCTACTCCACCAATGGACCTTGTGAGGACAATGGTGATGTAGTCTGTACCAAGGTCGTCCATCTTGTGTATGAGAAGAAGGTCATACATGTCAGCAAGAATGATGATACTAAGAAGGTGAGTTTGGTTTTCAAATGTCGATTCTTTTTTATGGGATTGTAGGCAAATTACTTGTAGCAGACAAATACCTATATAGCAAGCAGTCAACGCCGCCAATTAAATACGCCTGCACCCAGAAAATACAAGACAAGGTGACAGGTGCCTTCCTTGTACATGGAGGAAATTCTTAAGAACGGACGGTAGTGGCGTTGCTCAAAATATAAATTTTTGCTTAAAAGTCAAAGTCTAGTCTTTCTAACGTAATTCGTATCAATAGGTTTTTTTTTAATTTACATCATTAAGTTACTTAACCCCTCGAGCGTCCTTATGAGCACCCGCTGGATCATAAGAAAAAATGCTCCAAATGTCACGTGTGCACCCGTTGGATCATAAGGAACGCGGACGCTCGACGGATTAAGATATATACAATATTTACAAAATATTATTATTACCCAGTTACTAACAACGATCGGCGACGAGGCAATTTTCAAGTACCCAGTAAAGAAGGACTGGGTGGTCATCAGCCAGGACAACGGACAGGATGTCACCATACTGCTGCCTGACATACACGTCGAGGTAATATTGTTATTCACCCCCCATTTCTTTTTCCACCCCCGTCCCCCATCTGTCATAGGTCCCCTTTCTCCTTTTCCCCCTTTCTCTCTCTCTCGGACTTATACCCGTTAAACATTACGCTGCAGTCCGTTACTCAGCCACTATACTATAACTACCTGTCGCGGAGAACCTAACAGGTAGCCGGGGCTCCGGCTCGACGTGCAGGAGAAGGAACGGGGTGGTTTTTAGTCAGTAAGAGTCTGACACTCCCTCCCGCCTCACCCAGGCGGGAGCAGTCATTCGATGATTTTTGATTTTTTTAAAAAATACTATAACTACCTATAGTTATAGTATTTTTTTTTAAAGGGGACAGCATGGGTGAGGTACGCCTCACCCATACTGTCAAACATTAACTATTTTTTCTTGAGAGGTGACAACTATCCATTCATTTCTCCCGCCTGGGTGAGGCGAGAGGGAGTGTCAGACTCTTACTGACTAAATACCACCCTGTTTCTACTCCTACTTCAAGCTGGAACCCTGTGAACCCGTTGTCCCAAGTTGTCCGCAGCTCCAGAGTGTCACATTAATATAAAATTACATTATATTCCCACAGCTAACAGTCCTGCAGTCTAAGATGGAGTTCAGAGTACGCGTGCCCTCATACCTATACGCCAATAAGACGGAGGGACTCTGCGGCGTCTGCGCAGGGTACCAGGATGTACTCGTCACCAGTAATGGCACGGAGACTGAGGACTTCGATGAGGTTTGTCTCTTGATTGTGTTCTTAAGTTTTTCTTGGTCTAGAATATTTATTCTTACTGTGTAAGATAGTGATTTCCATTTCTCTGTAATTTTAATAATAATAACTTTTACCGTTATACCGTTATATTACAGTTATATTTATGCATTACTAAAATAATTTAATTATTTGATTTAGCTATGTCGCAACTTTGGGCAAATGTTATAAATAAATATTTTGCTTAATGTTTGCAAGCAACAGACTCAATCTCCACAGCCTATGGGAATTGCAATGCAAAAATTTTAAAAAAGTCAATTCTATCCCCCTTTTTGGGGGTTGTCGTGACGTCATATTAAATAGGTAACTATTTAATCAACCCTTCTCCCTCAGTACGGCAAGAGTTGGCAAGCATCACCGTCCACACTGAAGACCCTGGACATATCGGATCAAGGCCAGTGCGACCAGCCTCCTCCCCCTCCGGAGTGTAAACTCCCCCCTCCCGACTCCAACCCCTGCTACAACCTGTACAACGCTGACCGGTTTGGAGCTGTAAGTATACAATCAAACCTGGATTTGTTTTGTATAATACGCTTTTTTAAGGTGTATGTACTGAAATCTAAGAATGTGAATTATACACACTTCTAATTGTTGTATCTTCATGAAATTTGGTAGTTATATGTAGATGAGATGACCATACAATACTAGCCAACTCGGCGAACTCCGTATCGCCACCAGATGGCTTCGTTTTATGTAACATTTCGTTTGGTGATTAAAAGTGAATTTTCTTTGCTATAAACCTCACGGAGCCCGAGACCTTTCCAATGAATTCAAAACCGTGGAAATCGGTTCGTGCGTTCTGGAGTTATAGCGTCAGGAAGGAAAACCCGACTTACTTTTATATAATAGATTATGGTATTGAGCTGGTTTGATGATGGGATAGGAATGTTGTTAATAAATAACCTTTGGGCTTCTTACTGGTAAACATATTGAGTTTGGGCTCATTGATTACGTCCATTTCCCGTAATAACGAAGACGTATAATTAGAATAGTGTTTTTAGATTTGTAACAATTAATTTTTAGACACGTCTACGCGATGCGGTTGTTTTTTAAACAAGTCTTCTTGTTATCATAAAACTCAAATTGAAGTTCAATAAAATATGATATTAACTAAAAATCGCGAGTTACTCACGTGAATATTTTGAGAAAAGCTAAACACTCTCGGCGATGTCGCCCAGCCTACTGCCTACGCATGCTACTCATGAGGAAGAGCCCCTCTGTGGCTCAAAACTAGTAGAGCTTTTTTCAGTATATTCACGTTAATAACTCGCGATTTTTGTTATTATTATAAAAATAAGATATTAATAAAATTTACTTGACTTGACATGTGAACAAATACTATGTGTACCCTAGTGCCACGCGCTAGTGGAGCCCCAGCCGTTCGTGGAGGCATGCGAGGCAGACCTGTGCGCCAACGCGAGCGACGCGTGCGCGGCCGCCGAGCGGTACGTCGCCGAGTGCGGCCGCCAGGGGGTCTGTCTGCCGCACTGGAGGACCGACCTATGTGGATACCCTTGGTGAGCTACTTATTTATGTACCTCCTATGAACATCAACGATAAGTTACAAGTACATCACTGGCCTTCGCTGCCATCGCCATCGCTGGCCATCGCTGGCCGCTAGGGATTGGGGATAAGGGATTGAGGATTGTTGATTGTGGATTGGGGGTTTGGGGCGGGAGAATTAGGCTTTCGGTTATCTCACTTACATAGGTAATGTCAATTAATAATCTGGTTTAGCATGTACCTGCTGCATCCCAAATTCAAGCCTATATATAATTTTTTATTAACTTATTTTTAAAAAAAAACGAATTCAAAACCCTCTTGTTTTAAAGTCGGTTAATTAATATACTAAAACCTTCTCCTAATACATTAAGGAAAATATTTTTTTGATAACCGAACTTTTCAGACATATGCGGACGTAACTTTGTTTATTGATTATAATACCAGTATTATCCATATATAGATTGTGGTACGTAAAACAAACTCATAATAACGCCTCTTCTCTAAACCCCGCAAAGAATAGTTTTCAAAGTTCTAAACTATTATTATCTACTACTCCTAAGACCACCAAACCTAAATCTTAAAATTCTTTACTCATTTACTATTATTACGTATTCATATTAACCCAGTGAGGAGCCACTAGTGTACCGCGCGTGTGTCAAATGTGAGATGACATGTGAGAACAGCGACGAGTTGACCAAGAACCCTGACAAGTGCGACAAACCTGCCGTCGAGGGATGCTTCTGTCCTGAAGGAAAGGTAAATATATTTTTTATACTTGATAGGTCGACGTTTGGCCACCATCTCGCCTGGTGGTAAGCCATGATGTGGCCGACGATGAAGCACGCCCACCTATGAGCAACCTGTTCACTCGGGACTTGAAGACACCCAAGTTATATTTGTAGATAAACACAGATACTGGCAAGGAATTCCATTCCTTAGCGGTTCGCACAAGGAAGCTTGTGAAATGCGAAGTGCGAATGGGTGGATAGCACACCATGTCTATATGTCTCCTTTTTCCTATGGTATCAGACATCATCCTATCACAATTTTCTTTTTCATATCAGTCCTCACATAAATTCTATACTTTTTGTCATAATTCTATAGTTACTTTCATGTACAAAAATATTTTTTGTATATATAGGTGCGAGTGAACAACACGTGCATCGAACCCACGAAGTGCTTCCCCTGCGACGCCAAGAAGGAACACTACGCTGGCGATGAATGGCAGGTAAGATTATTTTTGTATATCAATGCATCATGACCATCAGGAATTCGGCCGACGTTATAATTTAGGACGGGGTTTTTGTTCAATCACAGCAGCTGTCTAATATTGAACATAGAATGGTGTGACAATAACTTATTTACTAATGGACGAAGAACGAGAGGTTCACACTAGCGCTATCTGGTTAGCAAAAATATGGTCGGCACCGTTGACAGTCTACAGTTGGATTATGAACCTCGTCGACATAAGAAAGGAAGCACCATCTCGGCTTAGCAGAGTTGGAGAACAGTTTAGAGACCACTGTTGTCCAGTCTGTGTTAAAAGACACAGTAGAGTTGGAGAACGGTTTAGACAACACTGTCTATGTTAAATGTGCAGTCACTTATGTCCAAATACTCAAATGTCAATCAAAAGTTGCGCTTAAGTATAGTTCTGTCTCTACAAATTCTTTGTAAAAAAGACAGAGATGGCGCGATATTTAAGTATAACTTAAAATTGTGTACACTTTCAAGTATTCGGGCGTATGAGCCTTGTCTAAGAAAGGACCACCATCTCCATGCTTGGGAGACATGTCGGAGAACATAGTTTAGAGGGCGTTGCTGTCCAGTCTGTGTTAAATGCGCAGTCTCCAAGGCGGGTCTCTCGATATCCTCGGGAAGATTAGCGGTGGTGACAAAATACATTCTACTGATTCTACTATGCCTTCATTACATGGTTATACACCCTTCATCCCCTACCAGGAGGACGCGTGCACGAAGTGTTCGTGCAGTAAGCTACCTGGCGAGAACGCGGCGCACGTGGCGTGCACCACGCACACGTGCTCGGCGCCGCTGTGTGCCGACACGGAAGACCTCATCACTACGCCTGCTAAACCTGGAGTCTGCTGCGACGATTACCTTTGTGGTAAGTCCAGCCTTTTACTGCCTAAATTCTTCACGAAATATACGTACAAGGCCGTAGCCAGAAAATAATTTCAGGGGAGGTTTGATTTGGTAGAACAGTAGAAAAACATGAAATCGTTTTAATAAAAGAAATAAAATGGTGTTACTTATTATGTATATATTTATGAAAAAACCATTAAAGAAATATTAATACCTATTACAAAATTAAATTTAGTCTTCTAGCTTTTTTTGGGGACTTATGTATAATACGTAAGTCCCATTATAGGAGGTCGAAGTCAAAGCATTTATTTGTTTGTGGCATTTACTTTTGAAACGTCGAAAATCTAAGTCTCCATCCGTCTGTCTGTCTGTCACTCAAACTTGACGCTCGTCCCAAAGTATAATTTCAAATGGAGGCGTATGTTTCTACTGAGAATTTAAAAAATCCAATAATTCTTTACTCAACCCATTTACTGGACCAAAAACTCCTTAGTCGTTATGTTAATAAAGATGTTCGTCTATCTGGTAGTTCGTTACCTTAATCAAATTTCTACCATGAAACTCCCTACATATAGAATTCAAGACCTCACTCATAAGTGGCGACACCTAGTGACCGCAAAAAAGAAATAAATTTTCTAAATAAAATTAATATTTTGCATTTTCAGTTCCAAAACCAAAGAAGAACTGCACAGAAGCTAAGAAGATGGACTGCGGGTACGGACAGGTGCTGAAACAGAAGACTACCGCTGATGGATGCACTGAATTCGCTTGTGGTAAGCAGTTTTATATATTTCTAGATTCTAAAGGATTGACTAAAATTGGTAACTTTCTTTTTTCTGGCGGCAGTCGATGATTTATGGAAAATATTATCTAGAATGACATTACAAACGAAATTGTCTATGGGCTCATATATGGAAATCTCGGTCTGGACTGAGTTATGAGCGTCGAAAGGAGCTGGAATAAAACATTTTACTTTAGTTTTTTTATTCAAATTATTCATATTTTTGTCACAATTCCTAACTTTAAATGGCAGTATTTTTTAACAAATAAGTATTCTATTCAATTCTAAAAAACGTGACGTCACAATACACAATCTCGTACAAAATTCATCGAAAACTGTCGTTTTTGACAGTTCGAAAAAAGTATTGAATGTGACTAGTTGACAAGTACCAAATTCTTCTAATAAAAAATATTATTTCATGTTTTTAGAATGCATGCCAGCCAGCCAGTGTCCGTCAGTAAACGACACGGACGTGGAAGTGTTCGAGCCGGGCATGGCCCGCGTCGTGGACAACAGTGGCTGCTGCCCGCGCGTGGAGTACGTCTGCAAGGCGGACACCTGCCCCCGCTCCCCCGCCTGCCCACAGTTCCACGACCTCAAGGTCTATAATACTTCTGGAAAATGCTGCCCGGAGTACAAGTGCGGTAAGTTAACTTGATAGAATTAAAAAAACTAAATAGGATAGTTGACAGGGTATAAAAAATAAAAATGTATATAGTCCGCCTGTTGGATGTCGGCATGGTTGGCGCGGTGGCTGGTGAACTGGCCGCGCAACGTGTCGCGGGTTCGATACCCGCACAGAACAACTCTTTGTGTAATCCACAGATTGTTGTTCCGGGTCTGGGTGTCATGTGTATGTGAACTTGTATGTTTGTAAACGCACCCACAACACAGGAAAAAATAATAGTGTGGGGGCAACGTTTAAAAAAAATATTACACACGTAATTTTTATATTGTCATATAAGGTAACAATAATTAGATAAAACGGATCTAAGATTGTTCGGTCGCTTACACGTCACCGTTCCCTCTAAAATGTAGTAAAATGTAACATCACACTATATTTCAAATCAATATAACATCGGAAGTATTGAATTCTTAATGAAAAGGAAAAAATACGAATCAGTTAAAGTTATTAAGTTATTGATTCTCCAAAAATACTTCTAAAAATTCTTTCAAATTGTACTTTAAAATAATATTTATTGTTACAGAGCTGCCTAAGGATAAGTGTATTGTAAGACTAGAATGGGAGGCCGCGTCTAAGGGAGGAGAGAAACCGCGCACCACTCCGCAGACTATCTTCAAAGATGTAAGTTTAATACTACTAGGGTACTATCCTTAATCAAAAATAAATTATTTCGACTATTCAATACTAAGTATATCCTATTAAAAAAATAAAACTTTCAGTAATTGATTTTAAGGTCAACTAAATTTTAGTATTTTTCCGGCAAATTTTTAAAAAATAAGTACGCTGTTTGACGCCATAAAAACGTGACGTCACAATTCACAATTTCGTACAAATTTCATGGAAAACTGTCGTTCTTGACAGTTCGAAAAAAGTATTGAATTTGACCAGTTGGCAAATACCGTATTATATTAGTAACTAGGCTTCAAATTCCTTATACAACATGTAACGTAATTAACGCACACCCTCAAACACCCCAATTAGAATATTGTTATAATCATAATACATACACAATTTTTTTAATTTAACATGTATATGCATCCTTACTGGTCTTGTCATAAGGTTTATTTTGTATTGAATGATAGAATTTGTATGAATACAAATAAAACTGCGATTTTAAAAGTCTCATTGCTTTGACTTACGGTCCATTTCGATTTGTTTAACCAATACAGGGTTAATATGACAATAATTTCCGTAGTTTTAATTATTTTTGGGATAAAAAATTACCTATACTAAAAATTCTTCTATATCTTTGACTGATATATAACGCAATTATAAACCCTTTTTTTCATACACTTACTCATTATAATACCTTCCAGGTGGACGCAGTATGGTTAGACGGACCATGTCGGTCCTGTAAATGCGAGTCGTCAGCCCTGGGCACGTCTGCCCGGTGCCGCGTGACGGAGTGTGGCGTGATAGTGAGCACGGACCAGTTCGTTCTGGAGCCGCGCCCCGTGCCTTTCCAGTGCTGTCCCGAGCCCGTGCATGTCGCCTGCAGGGATGGAGATAATATCTACAAGGTAATTTTATTTAAGAAATATCTGATCAAGGTATGTTTAAGAATGGTTCAAGCTAAGAATTTGCGAGAAACTTTTAAAAAACTACAAAAGTTGTGAAATCTCTCGCGAAGGCTAAAATATAGTTTGGGTCGCTTTGTCTACGGAGCTAATAACTTAATCTAGGATCTGATTTATCATTCGCATACGTAGTGCGAAAGTCCAGTTCTTGTGGCCCGTCCTCATGCGCGAGTGGCACACCACACCCCGGGGTTTTTAGTGGGTTCGAGCCCCACATAACCCGGCCTCGGCCCCGTGAGGCTGGGTATACACGGCATTATCCCCGGGCGAAAAAAAAGGATCTGATTCATCATCACCTACCGTAATAAGTCCACTGCTAAAGGAATGAGGGCTCCTTTGCCTTGCTTCCTTAAGGAATCCGGAATAGATCACCAACAGCTAAGAGTATGCTTAATTTTTATTCGTGAAATATTGTCCAGGTTGGAGAGAACTGGACGTCACCCACGAACCCCTGCGAGAGTTACAAGTGCGAGCAGACGGAGACGGGAGGCAAGCTGGAGAAGGTCACCACCGTGCAGAAGTGTCACACTGAATGTCAACCTGTAAGTAATATAAATATAATGCAAGATATCTAATATTTTTTTCAATTAATATTGTTATAAAAATGATCCTTTCTCCTTTTCTCTAATTACTTCGGCATCGACAACTTAATTTAATGACTTTTATTTATTTGTTATAATTACTATCTGTATCGTTATGAAAGAAAGAAAAATTGTATATTTGCACAACGTCGCAAAGTACAATAATACACAAAAAAAATTAAACAGTGATAAGTTATGTACCTATTATACTTACGCTGAAATATTCAAACGCTCCACGGCGGCACGTGACGCAAATGAGTCGTCATTTTGAAGATGGAAATATTTACGACGAAATTCAAACTACAGTAATGGACACAAAACAGTGACTTTGAGCCACTACTACTGGCATGTTACCGATAATTTACGATTTAATCGCTTAATTATAGTTTTGTCACTACAAATTCTTTGTAAAATAACAGAGATGGCACGATGTTTAAATACTACTTAAACTGTCAAATACCAAGCGGTCACCGGTGACCGCGACCTATTGTTCTTTAATTGTGTCTATAAAACCGGTACTCGACGAGTTAATATTGTCCCAGTAAATTTATTGAGACATCCAACTGAAGAATAAGAAGAAAAGTACCAGAGAATTCTCTGGCATAGCAAAAAATTGTGAAGTTATGATTATTCTAATACTTTTCACAGTTTATTAGAAATTGTCTCTTATTCCATAATAATCCTATCTTATATCACCAGGGTTGGAAGTACTTCCCAGCGACTCCAGAGAGCAAGGAATGTTGCGGCAAGTGTGAACCGGTGGCGTGTGTAGTGGACGGCCGGGAGCGACCCATCGGGGAACATTGGACCTCCGCCGACTTCTGCGCCAACTACACCTGCATCAATGTCAATGGGACGGTAAGTAGAAAGATAAATTTCTAAATTGTGCTTTAATTTTGTTGTAGTAGATTTGAAATTACATCGATGAATGCAGTAAGCACAGATCTGGTTTTTGAGTGATTAAAATTAATGGGTATGCCCTAATCATGCCCTAAAGAGTTCAATTTACCTTCTTGCGCTTACGTTATCAGCAATATAACTGTGACAAGCCAATATCTTAGAAAGTACATATAACTGAAAAAGACACATTGGTACTTGCCGTTGGTAGATTTCGAACCCGCACCATGCATGTATGAGAAACGGGTATCATAAACCTCCGGGCCACCACGACACCACTGGCAAACGGTGAAGGAAAACATCGTGAGGAAACTTGGCCTTATAATTTCTAATTATAAGTTTGTAATCGCCAACACGCATTGAGCAAGCAAATGCTCAAACCTTCTCCAAGTGAGAAGAGGCTTTTGCTCAGCAGTGGGCATTTATATGCTGTTGATGATGACGATGATGAAGCCAAAACATTTGTTTGATCATCACTCTTTATAACGTAATATTACTAGTCGAAAATGGGTATTGCAGTGTATTCTGATTCTGTGCACTTTTATGTACTCGTTCAAAGTCAAAGCATTTATTTCAATTAAACCATAATTTGGTACTTTTGAAACTTCAAAAATACAAAATAAATAATAGTCTGTCAGTCAGTCCGTCAGTGAAGCTAGGTGAAGCTAGGTGCTCATTCCAAAATGTAGATTCGAATGGAGAAGAACGTTCGCAATTACCAAGGGAATTGGGGGAAACGGGAATTACCAAGACGCAATGATAAGTTATGAATCTATTTATATTTTTTCTTTACCAGCTCCAAGTGCAATGTTCAAACGAGACATGTCCCGAAGTGTCGGAGGCGACGAGGAAGCAGTTCGTGCTGAGCAATGAGAAGGTGGACGGCAAGTGCTGTCCTATTGAGGAACCTACTGCGTGTCGCGTCGGGAACCTTATCTACCAGGTACTGTTGCGTTATAGCTAAAGTTTTCCTTTGATATTACAGTTAAAACCGTTTATAACGACATCGAAGCAACCGATTAATTATGATCGTTATAACCAATAGTCGCTATAACCAATAACTTTATGCTTTATAAGACAATAGACTGGACCTCAAAATTTCGTCGTTGTACCCGATTCGTCGTTATAAACGATGTCGTTGTAAGCGGTTTTGACTGTAGTTTGAAATTTGAGTTTTATTAACATTAGTTCTTAGGGTTGAAACTGCGACGACGGGCATGGAAATCAGATTCCTTTGTTTTGTTTCGTCCTTAGAATGCTACGTCAGTAGAGCGAGAGTGACGCTAGTAGAACTTTGACTTTCACCATTTTAAATTTGGCTGTTTAAGTGTTAATGGTGTGTATATAGTCAGTCGTATCGATAGGAAACTTAATATATTATTACGTAGCAAGTCGACGAAAATTAGCAAAATAAAAACAACAGCCAGTAACCTGTTAATAAATAATATACGCCGAAACCTCGGTCCAACGAAGGTGTAGGCGTCCGTTCAACACAGTTTCTTAGGTTAGACCTAACTACCAATGAAAATTGTGACCTATACTTAATAAGCTTATTTCTTAAAAAAACTTCTTATAAAACGACTGCCTCGTAGGCCGTGTGGTCGCAAGTGCGACTGCCGGGCATATAGTCTCGGGTTCTATTCCAGGTTGGGTAAAGTACTACTGCGTTTTAAAAAAAATCTCAGCAGTAGCACGGAGTTTGGAATGGTACCCGGTATGTGGCAATAGGCTAACCTCCTATTACATGGGATTCATAACATAAATAGTGGAAAGTGGGTGTTACATTGTAAAGTGGCATTAAGTGCGGTAATGTGCACCTCTGTCTACACCTTCGGGTATAAAATCCGTGATGTTATTTTATGTTATGTTCTTAAACAATCCTCATCTCAACTCATCATTTATTATTTTCACAGGAGGGTCAAACCTGGCCATCACCGACAGACCCGTGCAAGAACATAACTTGTGCCCGGGACTACAATGGCCAGCTGTCCCACAAGGAGAGCGTGGCCACCTGCAGCCGGGACTGCACCAAGGGCTGGACGTACGCCGCGCCGCCTGCAGGCGTCTGCTGCGGACACTGCGTGCAGACTGCCTGCGTCGTTGATGATAAGGTGGTTGCTCCAGGTGAGGATATAGTATTGGTCTTTCTAAAGAGTATATTCTTCTTTTTCGTTATTGAAACTGACCGAATGGTTGTGATCATGTCGCGGAGAACCTAACGGGTAACCGGGGCTCCGGCTCGACGTGCGGGAGAAGGAACGGGGTGGTTTTTAGTCAGTAAGAGTCTGACATTCCCTTCCGCCTCACCCAGCCGGGAGCAGTCATTCGACGATTTTCCCCCCTTAAAATAAATAAAAAATGGTTGTGATCATGGAACGTCTCCGAGGAGTCTTGGTCTGTATATCGTCATGTCTGTCTCCCAAGGGAGCAGTCAAACGAAAGCGAAATGACATGATTCTAACGGTACAATATTGTTTTACGTTTAAACGTAACGATTACGACTTCGGCGCTCTGATTGGCCGGCTCGAATAAACCAACCAATTAGAGCGTCGAACGCGGTCTTTATTCGTACTAAGGTCTGTTATCTGATGTAGTCACTTTTTCGTTTTCGGAAAAATGATGTTGGTACTTTTTCACTGGTATATTGATTTGAAGCTATTTTGCCAAAGGTTCTTTCTAAAGTCAAAGTCAAAGCATTTATTTCAATTAAACCATAATTTGGTACTTTTGAAACGTTAACAAATACAAAATAAATAATAGTCTGTCAGTCAGTCCGTCAGTGAAGCTAGGTGAAAGTAAAGCTGGTATTAATCACCTTGTGTCCTAAATTGCTAAAAATGCATAACAACATTATAAACTTCTTTGTAGATTCTAATTTTCCCCTGACTCTCCACGTTTCTGTATCTGATATCTATACATACTTTGATTTTAAGCATTAACTTTAATTTCAATACCAATTGAAACTTGTAATTATCTCTTGCAGGCACTACCTGGCAGTCAGCGGACAACTGTACGACATACTCGTGTGACAAGTCGGGCGAGGAGGTGTTCGTGACGTCATCGACTCAGTTCTGCCCCGACGTGTCGCACTGCGCGCCCGAGAACATCGTCAACGATACTTGTTGCCAGATCTGTGAGGAACATCCTGAGGCACTCAGTGAGTCTATACTGTCTTTGTAATATTATTTGTCGCGGAGAACCTAACGGGCTACCGGGGCTCCGGCTTGACGAGCAGGAGAAGGAACGGGGTGGTTTTTGGTCAATAAGAGTCTGACACTCCCTTCCGCCTCAACCAGGCGGGAGAAGTTATTTTTTGCAATAGACTCAACTTTTACTTGCTTCATAATATTAATAAAATGTAGATGAAAAAAATCAAAGAAGACAGAACATTACTTATTCTTCTAAAGGCATCCATAGTTACGGAGTTGTCTGTATAGCTCCAGTGGCGCAATTGGTTAGCGCACGGTACTTATAAGGCAGTGTACGTGAGCGATGCCGGGGTTGCGAGTTCGAGCCTCGCCTGGAGCAATATTTTACCACTGTTATATTTCGTTATACAATTGTAGATATGTTAATTATCATTAAAAACAATTAAAATTGTAGTGTTTCCTTACAAGATATATACTTTATTAGTGTTTATAATTTGTATCCATGTTTTATTTATTCATCTACTTATAGAATATTCGTGAGATTTTCTTAAAATAAACTCTAACATGTATTGGTAATGCAAAATATACCGCTTCTCCTTGTTTTAAAGTTCAATTTTGCTCAGATTTGTAGCTTCTGACCTCTTTTACAATTACAATCTATGAAGGTGTTTGTTTGATAAGATCTTTCATCCATATCCCAAGTAACACAAACACTTGTAATGTCGTAGGTAAATGCGTCCCGACCAGCATATCTCCGGCCGACTCAGTAGGTCTGCTCCGCATCCACCTGGGCCCGCATGGGCTGTGTGTCAACAAGTCCCCGCTGCGAGGGTTCAAGGAGTGCCGCGGGACTTGCGACTCCGGCACTCTTTACAATAACCGTAAGTATTTTGAAGAAGGAATTAAATTAATTTGCCATTCAACGTGACAATGCTGCCAATCTTTAGGGCACCCTACCTCACGGTAGCGACGAGGAAAATGTTTTCTTTGATGCCTTATTTTTTTTTATGGTGTAAATATTTTAGTTTAAAATTATTTTTTTATATTTTAAGTTATATTAAATTATATGTCAGCGTATATTCTTCAAGATCTTGTATAATGTTCAAGAAAACGGAACATTCCGTTTTTAGTGCTTGTATATGTTTGTTTACCCTCCTATTCCATACAAAAACTGCAACCACTGACGCTACTGAGGCCCCTGGAGGACAGGTAGAACGACAGCAGCGTTATATTTGACGTAATCTCCATTCTCCAAGCTCGCCAGGTTTTTTTATGGAATAGATGGCAGGAAAATAGGAGATAAGCCGATCAGCGCCGCCCATAATATGTTGGAAATCACAGATTAAAGGTTCTGGTGTATCAAAGATTGCTACTGCCAAGTCTCCAAAAGTAAGAGCAGATGTGGCGACAAAAGAATTACTCTGCTATTACCACACGGCCTAATTATACTTATTATAATTCTTTCATACACTACGTTTAAAAAACCGACTTCAACCTCTTCTTTTTTGAAGTACGGTAATTAATATACTAAAACCTTCTCCAAAGTGTAACAGACACTTTACTGAAAACCGCATCCAAATTGGTTCAATTAATCTCGAGAAAATTGCGCATAAACACATAAACACATACAGGTCAATACGAGAACCTTCTGTTTTTGAAGTCCGTTAAAAATACGTGACACGGCTCATAACATCTAATACTTACCTTTTCAAATACTATTTCCAGAAACGGGTGTCCACGATTCCCGTTGCGAGTGTTGCCAGGCCACTAAGTACGGCTCCCTCGACGTGACGCTGAGCTGTGAGGATGGCTCCGTACAACAACACCGCGTGGCCACGCCCAGCACCTGCGCCTGCGCAGCCTGCGGCGGACCTGAACGACCGCTATGGCCCACTAAGTCAGGTAAGGTGTTGATTTAGGCTAGGTTTTTTGATGATGGAAGATGTAGGAAATGTGTTTGTGCTATACTATAATCGTAGTTTCATGTGAACGATAAATGTTTCACTGCCAAATATATATCTTGTCCTAATGTTTTCATTATGATCCCAAAATTAGTATAATCTTTAAAATTACAGAGACATATAACAAAAAGTAATAAATACTATCCTTTCTTTCATTTCTTCATTTATTGTTTTGTTAACCCGTCGAGCGTCCGCGTTCCTTATGATCCAACGGGTGCATACGTGACATCTGGAACATTTTTCTTATGATCCACCGGGTGCTCATAAGGATGCTCGAGGGGTTAAACAAGTTCTAATTATTTAAATTAACATTTTTATTTAATTTCAGGTTACGCTGGAGTTAAATCGCCGCCGCGCCGCCCGCCAATCGAAGAAGACATTATACCAGAAATATACCAAAGATTCGGAACAACACGCCCCCAACGATAAACAACACGCCTTAATACAACGTCATAAGATTCAAAATCATGTGCACGTATCTCAAAATGCTTTATAAACGAATATAGTCCTTAAGTCGATGCCTTTAAGTACAAAGTACACAATTTATAGTTCTATACTGTTTTGTGATGTTTACTTGAAATAAATATGTAATATATTCCTGTAAATATGAAATACAGCAAATTAAAAAATTATTTTTGTTTCTTTTATTTCTACATCTCTGACCGAAAAATAACTTACCTACCTTTCGACGAAAGACTACACTCGCTCCTTCACCCACTATGGGTAGTTATTTGGAACTGAAGTTTTAGATAAATTTAAAATGAAAGAAAATATTTTCTTTACTATATTTACATTAAAAACTTTCGTGCGACACGCTAAATTAATTATTATGTTTTCAACTGCCGACTTACCGCTGCAGTGGCAGCGAACCCATTTTTATACTTGATAGGTCGACGTTTGGCCACCATCTCGCCTGGTGGTGGACGATAGAGCACGCCCACCTTTCGAGAATCACAGATTCCGGCAAGGAATTCGATTCCTTAGCAGTTCGCACGCTTCCTTAGCTTGACGCGAACCGCTTCGTGCGAATGGGTGGAATGTACACCATATGGGTCCCTGCCGTCCGTTTGCTAGTACGATGGTGTCACGGACTAGGCGATATAAGGGTGTGCAATTCCCACGCACACTCGCCGAAATGTATCCGATAGAAGACAGAAAGGTTTGCGACTTTACGCCTATGGCTTTGAAGCCGAGCGTCTACAAGCGAATTGTCATTGATCAGCTTCTTGGCGCGCCTTTCGATGGATTCAAGGGCTTCCAGCTGGCATTTCGCCGAGCCATTCCAAAGATGGGTGGAAGATGATACACGACCGAACTTGTGCTTGGTATAGAATGAGCAACTGCTCCGGTGTGAAGACTTCATAATGAATAACTATTTTATTATTATCGATAGACAAGTGGGAAAAAAGAAGACAAAATCATAATTGCAATACTTTATTCACTGGTACCAAAACAAAAAATAACTGGTTACCATCACGTAGCATTACAAACTGATCACATGAACTGAACCTTACGCTTTACTAACAGAGTTGTAAATCGCGTGACATTACAATTAGGGTCTATGACTCTTGTTGTTCTTCTGTGACGTCACCTTCTGCGTTCTGTTGTGCTTCTTCTTCTTCTTTCTGCTTCTGTTTTCTTACCATGTCTGATAGATATTTGCACCTTTGCATGCATTCCTCCTGGGAAGTAAAAAACCGTATAAGTATCGTGTGAGCTGTCTAAGTAAAAAAACCTGCCTCGGTGATAACAAGTTCGACTGCCGAGCAATAGAATCGGGAGCGATTCTTGGGTGAGGTAAAGACTTTGTTTTTGGTGTTTTGATGACAATATCTCATTCTGCTATATCATGTATTCCAATAGGTTCACTGGTAAATGGTAATTAATTGGGTGTTATCACTGTCTATCTATAGTCTATAGTGTAATATATAACTCGGCTGCCTCGTTGGCCGAGTGGTCGCAAGTGCGACTGCCAAGACTGGGTAAGGGGCCTCGGGTTCGATTCCCGGGTCGGGCAAAGTATATCTGGTTTAAAAAAAATCTCAGTAGTAGCACGGAGTCTGGAATTGTGCCTGGTATATGGCAATAGGCTCACCCCCTATTACATGGGACTCATAACATAAATAGTGAAAAGTGGGTGTTACATTGTACAGTGGCATAATGTGCACCTCTGCCTACCCCTTCGGGGATAAAAGGCGTGATATTATGTATGTATGTTATGTATAAGTCAGCGTTCGCCTCAATCAGAAACCAGGAGAAATAAGTATCTATCTACAAATGTGTAACGTACTTTGGTCTTCCCGGGCACTGCATTAGCGATCTTCTGCCAGCGGTCCCCGGCGCCCCCCTTGGGGTACTTGGCGAGCGCAGCCTCCAGCGCCTTTTGTTGCGTCTGCGACCAGTTGCCACTTGAAGTCTCCTCCGCTTTGCGCGTTTTCACCTGTAATTTTAAAATAAAAACTTGTATCGATTCCTAATCCTATTTTAATTCGTTGTAGTAAAGATCACGTTAAGATGCACCCATCGCACATTCTTTTTGCAACATTTTTTTTATAACATATGAACTTTATTAATAGCTTCTGGTCGCAACTTCGTACGTACAATCCTTTTTCTGTCATAAGAACCTTCTCCTGACAATAACAAACACAACAAAAAAAATCAACGGAATCGGTCTAGCCGTTCTCAAGTTATGGCGTGACAACGGCAAACGGGTTTCATTTCTATATATATAGATCAGACTAGTCAAAAATTGGTCGACACTAAATGACATCAAAATACAGAAAAAATTTGTTCTACTATATAAAAATAAGTCGAGTCTTTCTTCCTGACGCTATAACTCCAGAACGCACGAACCGATTTCCACGGTTTTGCATTCGTTGGAAAGGTCTCGGGCTCCGTGAGGTTTATAGAAAGAAAATTCAGAAAAAAAAATTTCTTCATCTTATAATCACTAAACGAAATGTTACATAAAATCAAGCCATCTGGTGGCGGAACGGAGTTCGCCAGGTTTGCTAGTTTTATATAAAAAACAGTCCTAGCATTTTTAGCTGTCCAGTAATCAATGAATAGAAAGATCACTCACCTTCTTAGGTGCTTCCACAACAACCGGCTGCTCGGCTTCCTGGCCGGGTATCTTGTAGCAGTTCTCTTTAAGCTTGGCGGCCATGTGCGTGACTTCTGGTACACTACGACACATGGTCTCTGCTATGCGCTCCCACCTCTCTGCTGACCCTCCTGGGTACTTCTTCACTAGCCGCACTAGTTCGGCCAGGTCGTCATCTGTCCACAGACCTCCTGTTATCACCGGGGCTGTCGACTGGAAAAGAAATAAAAATATTTTATATCAGTTTAATTTTAGTAAATTATTTATGCGAGATGAATTTCTATGCTGTATGAGGGCAAAGTCGCAGGCGGAACGATTTAATTTAAGTAAAATTTAAACAATCTGTCCTTTTAATTATAAGGTTCCCTTGGTCTCATCAGTAAATTATGACTTGGTGAAAATTTGACCAACTCCCTCAAGAAGACAAACTTTCAATTTAAAATCGGTTCACAAATGGTAGAAGAAATCAGTAAACCTAAAACAGAAATACATTGAGGGCCAAATACATTATATCTCAGTAAAGTATTTTTTTTAAGGGGGATAATCATCGAATGACTGTTCCCGCCTAGGTGAGGCGGGAGGGAGTGTCAGACTCTTACTGACTAAAAACCACCCCGTTCCTTCTCCTGCACGTTGAGCCGGAGCCCCGGTTACCCGTTAGGTGTTTCTTACATACCTGTCTAACAGGTACGACTACAGGGCCTCCCTCAGGTTCGTCGGCCGGGTCGAGCAGACAGTCCCCGTCCCTGGCGGGCGGCACGAACTTGCGTCGCTTGCGCACGCCGGCCGCCTTCAACTCGGCCGCAATCACCGCTTCCCGCTCAGCTCGAGCCTTCTCCTCTTCTTCTCTGGAGAAAAAGATGGCCTTTAACTTTGGGTTTTTTTATGGGGGAAAATCATCGAATGACTGCTCCCGCCTGGGTGAGGCGGGAGGGAGTGTCAGACTCTTACAGTTACTGACTAATACCACCCCGTTCCTTCTCCTGCACGTCGAGCCGGAGCCCCGGTTACCCGTTAGGTTCTCCGCGATACTTTAACTTAGGTAGACGTAAAGCATAAATAACAACACGTCTTTTAAACGACTTTTGAAACAGGAGGTTCTCAGTTCGACCTGTCCTGTATGTATGTTCGCGATTATCTCGCGATTGGCTAAACCGATTTTGAAGCGATCAATTCTTGTTAGACTGAGAATTTTAGAAAAGCAATAACCTGGATATTCTTTTAAAACGAACCCAAGAAGCATTCAGGAGTCGCGATTGCAAACATTCAAGCAGTACTCTAAGTCTAACGCCCGAATACTGAAAGTCCACTCAAATTTAAGTTGTACTTAAATATCGTGCCATCTGGCATCTCTGTCTTTTTAAAAAGAATTTGTAGCGACAGAACTATACTTAAGCGCAATGTAAAATTGAGTAGCGTTTGAGTATTTCTTCCTAACTTATTTAAAACTTTAACATACCTCTTTTTCTGTCTCTTAGCTTCTTCTTCTTTCTCTTTCATTCTTCTCCTAAGTTCTATAATCCCTCGTGGTATGGCCAGTATGGATGTGACCACCCACCGTGGGATTTGGAAGGGCAATGTGTCTTTAATACTAGGTTTCGGAAGCTGGTCTAGAATTTCTGACAATCCTTGGTCAAACCCTGATTTCTTTGAATGTTTTTTGCCTCTGCTTTTTAGTATTTGTTCCTATAATAAATAATACATAATAATAAGTATAGTTCTAGTTGTTTGTGTAGCGAGAATCAAGGAATGAACATACGCACCTAATCCTATCCACCTAGTAATCATCTACATAGTTAGATTTGATGTTGCTATGAAATGAATGTAATCATTGTTTATGTATGTATTTCATTTTCATTATCTTTCCGCTAAACGCCATAATATATTAAGATATTAAAAATATGAAAGTTAATTTGTTTGTTACTCTTTCACCTATATGGCAATAGGCTCACCCCCTTTTACATGGGACTCATAACATAAATAGTGAAAGGTGAGTCAGGTGGGTGTTACATAGTATAGTGGCATTAAGTGTCATAATGTGCACCTCTGCTTATTCCTTCGGGGATAAAAGGCGTGATGTTATGTTATAAATGCTAATTTCACACTTCTTATTTTATTTTTTTATTTTTAAAGGGGAACCAAATTTACAAAATACCGAAAAGGCAATAGAGTAAACAAATTGTCACAAAAAATCAGCCATGGTCGTCCCACTGCAGGGTAAAAGCGGGAGGCCTTTGCCCTTATTCCACTCCTCTCTATGTAAAGCTTTTGCGGCCAATCCTTGGACATCTATGACACGGATTATATAACTTACTGCTGTAAATCTCTTCTCAGCATACGCAGCCCAGCCGACAGCATATTGCACAAATGTGATGATGATGAACAGGATGATGGAGCCCTCGGCCAGGCCCATCTTCCTCACGTGACGGTAGTAGTAAATGGCTGAACGCCAGTTTGGAAGACCATTTTTGAGCACCTCATTGTATCTGAAAATTGAAGATAATAATTATGTAGTTAGTAAAAATTACGTTAGTAACGGTGTTACGTTGTACACTGGTTAAGTGCCGTAATGTGCATCGCTGCCTACCCCTTCGAGATTAAAAGGCGTAATGTTATGTAGTTAGTAAAAATGTGCTTATTTATGTAAAGAACGTATAATAGGGTATTTTTATTTTAATGTCCGTCTGGTAGATTATTTTAATTCATTAGACACGTATTTTTTATTTTCTTACAAAAACGAATACTTTGACAATATATTGATTTGAAATGTCGTGTGACGTTACTTCTATGTACATTTAATTCGTAGAAATGACGTTTTAGCCCCCACTTGAAAACTTTTGTTTTATTATACGACAAAATAAAAAAATACGTGTCTAATATTTTTTCATTATCTAATGTACAGACTAATTAGATTTTTAATTTTCATATCCGGTCATCATCCCAATTAGATAAGTGAGTTATTATTTAACATGAATGTGTTTTTAATCATATCTGTCTAAGCCTTTCCATTTTTTTTTTGGTATAACTTGAAAACAATACTTATTGCACAATGTTATAAATTATGCAAAGATTAACCTTATATGTTCAAAAGTGCCTTCCTGGTCTAATTGAAATAAATTATTTTGACTTTTTTTATAGTTAATGCATAATATTATAAGTAATTGTAACTTGAATGTATATAAATTAATTGCAATCACCATTAACTCATGAAAGACAGTGTTACATTTACAATTAAGTTTTCCTCATGAAATCCCTTTTATGTAGCCATAATAACCATTTGTTTAAGAATTATTTTAGCTCCTAAAGTTTATTGTTAGCTATACTTATGATAAAGCGGAAAAATGTGTAACTACCACTAAAACTAAATAATAAATTTATAGGGAAAATCAGTACAAAACAAATGAAAATTAACATTAAAATACACATACATGTTTTCTGTATATCTTTTATCATCTTGTCTATAACAATGATCAATTGATGTATTGTTTTTCCTAATGGGGTATTTTATAAAAATAGTGTTACTTTATTTAATTCTATTGCTAGATAACACAAATAGTACAATTGTAAAAAGTAAGGAATCTAAACAATTTTCTAGGTTTACCTGTATTATTAGATTCTAATAGGAATTTGTTTTAAATAGCAAAGAAATATCCATACAAAGCTTGATTTATTAGACTTGTATTACTAATAAAGGTGGTATAAATACTTTTCTCTTTTTCCTGGATCCTTGAGTATATTGTGCACGGAGACCAGGTTCCTGAACTGCACATCAGCATCGGGAGCATCATTCTTGTCTGGATGGAGCTTCAATGTGAGCTTCTTAAACGCAGACTTTATTTCTGATGGCGCTGCATCCTAGAGAGACAAGAACTTGACTTTTATTTTATTTTTAAAAATTGTAGGGTGTACCTTTACAATTAAAAGTATTTTTGCTTAGGGACCGATTTAACCACTTTAATTAATATAAGGATTAAGATTTTAATTATCATTAACGTGCACATTATCTATTTTTTATGATAACAGCTTTATGAACCGAAACATTTACCCACAGAAGTATTAGATCTGATTACAGTGATATGTGAAAATTCGACTATTATAACAGTCGAAAGTTTACCGTAGAGTGAAATTAAGCTTTCTATCAAACTTTATTGGAGTTCTTACCTGTCCCACACCCAGTAATTCATAAAAGTTTTGATTAACTTCTTCGACCACGTCAAACACTTCTAAATCACCGTCGTCCCACGCCTTCACGGCCCAAATCAACGAAAACAAAACAAACACACTCCACCGCATATTTTTAGACCTAGCTCACACTATTTTTAATATAAAAATCATTCTACTTTATGTACAATATTGTTGGTGGCATGAACCCCGTTGTCGTTTTGCTTTTTGACAGCACATCGACACATGAATTTGACAATGACAACTCATCAGCTGGCTGGTTCATAGAGCTGGAAATAGTATTCGACTAAACTCACAATTTTCTAATAGTTACAAAATCTTGAGATTAATGAATGCTTTTTGTACCCTTCGTTACTTAAAAAGGCGTCTTTAATACTTTTTACTGTATTTAACCATTTTTGTTGAAAAAAAAATATTACAGAGACTATGTAATTTTACAGCTGGGCATTTTACACGAATGTAAATTTTATTACATTTCAGTGTCAAAAATGACACTGGCTTTGTTTAATAACGTCTCGGTATTTACATTTTGTCACCAAGTAATAAATATCTGAACATCGTAAATAAAAAGTAGGTGCATTGTCTCTTCACTTCCGATCGATAATTTGTAATTTCTACTGTTGCCGCTTCCTGCATCGTGTTGCATCTAAAAAATCAAAAGGTACTTATTACTGAATATTTCTTACTTCATAAGACTATGAAAATGTTATGATAGTAAAGTACCTAAATTATGTTTTTAATAAATTGTACTTTCACTTCATATTTACTTCGATTAAAACGTATAGGTAATTAGTTCCTTAAGTCCTTACATAAATCTTGTATAAAATTACTCAATAAATTTATAAAATAAACTAATATTTGTCTGCAAAGCGACTTCTAAAATTTGCTACGCTATACTTGTATGTAAAGAAAATAAATATAATTTAGTTATTAATCCGTACGTTCGAATAAGTATTGAGCCACCATGACCACCATTACTCTTATATTTTATTGATTTGTCGCATGTCGACCGTGGTTGTTACTACCTGTATTAAATTTATTAAGAATCACGCTATTGTATATGTGTATTAGTGCTAAATTCAATCGATTTTGGATAGAAATATTTTTTAAGGTAAATTGTAAAGGCAATGTGTTTTAAATGTGATATTGCTATTGGTAAATGACTAGGCGTCCGCAATTTTGTTATTTGAAAAATTAATAATTCTCGTGATTATATACTACAATATTTCTGTGTTGATTTTGTGTGAAAGTCGTAGCAGGAAGAAAGTGACATTTTTTCCTATATCGTAGATACACCATCTTGGTAAAGCCACTAGTAAATTAAATGTTTAATCAGTACCAAGAGTAATTTTCACCAGTTCAATAAACTTAACTGAAAGTGAGGAAGAATATCATATCAAGTAATTAATTATTAATCTATATATATATATGAAAATGATAACTTATATATATAATAACTTGAGAATGGCTGGACCGATTTGTCTGTATTTTTTTTATTGTGTTTATTATTGTCAGGAGAAGGTTCTTATGATAAAAAAAATCCTGAAAATCGTACGAAGTCGCGAGCAGAAGCTGGTTAATAATAATTAAAGAATAATTGTATATTAAATTCTTCTGGAATCATAAGTCTAAAGTGTCTAGTTTCCACGCTCCGATCAGTCCAAATACTGCGAAAATTATCTATAGCTCAAATTTATTTTTGTTGGCACAGATGGCTCGTGCTCGTCCCGGTATGTGCAACATACGTCGTCGTGTCACTGTAGAGCAGCTGCGCGTACTGTTCGAGTCAGTTGAAGAAGACCCAGCCCTTTACACTTCCGGACGGGCCGACATGTCCTTTGCCACCGTCCAAAAATGGACGACGCTTGCCGAAGTCCTGAACAACATTCCTGAAGGCGCTGCTCTAACCGCCATGAATTGGAAGTTGGTAAGTGTTACTATATTCTTCTATTTCTCGAAGTCCTATCATTTCCTAGTTACATTACGATGTTAGACGGTTTCTCATTCATGTTTTTTTTTAAATATAAAACATTGCCCCGCACTAGGATTATTTCCTGTGTCGTGGGTGCGTTTACAAACATACAAGTTCACATACACGTGACACCCAGACCCGAAACAACAATTTGTGGATCACACAAAGTGTTGTTCCGTGCGGGAATCAAACCCGCGACACGTTGCACGGCAGCCGGTTGCCAGCCACCGCACCAACCGTGCAGTCAATTATTATTAACGGATTGTATTTAATTTCGTGACTAGGTGCTTCGATACTGGGGCGAGAATACGAAGAGGCGAATGAAGTCCGGCAAAACAAACTTTTTGAAGAGCAAGAGGGTTGCCTTCCTCTCACATGGGGAAATAGAGGTCTTACAAGAACTGGAGAAGAGGCTGTACGAGTTTATGAAGCAGGAGGAGGCCAAGGAGGTTATCGTAAGTAGATAACTATCGATCTTGCTCTTAACTTTCGAAAGTACCACCCACATCAAATAATTATTCATTGGTTGACGTACCGTACGTATAAAATACGTATATAGTAACAAAATAGGGTAGACGACTAATTTTTATTTTAATGTCCGTCTGATAGATTATTTAAAAACATTAGACACGTATTTTTTATTTTCTGACAGAAGCGAATAGTTTCGAAGATATATTGATTTGAAATGTCGCGTGACGTCACTTCTCAGTACATTTTATACTAAGAAATGACGTTTTAGCCCCCACTCCTAAACTTTGATTCGTTTTATCTAAGTATTGTTTTATTATACGACAAAAAAAATACGTGTCTAATATTTTTTCATTACCTAACTTACGGACTAATTATATTTTTAATTTTCATACCCTGTCATCATCCCCATTAAAGCAAAGTTAGACTCAAAATACAAATCCACTAAGTAAAGATCAAAAATAAATTATTTCGACTGTTCAATACAATAAAAAATAAGCACAATTTTATTAATTGATTTTAAGGCCAACTTAACTTTAGTATTTTTCCAGCGAATTTTTAAGAAATAAATATGCTGTTTGAAAAAAAAATACGTAACGTCACAATACACAATATCGTACAAAATTCATAGAAAACTGTCGTTTTTGACAGTTCGAAAAAAGTATTGAATTTGACTAGTTGGCAAGTACCCAGGTGTTTGACTAAAACGTTGTTGCAGAACCTGAATGAACGTGTTTTCAATATGGATGCTTTCGAGATTCGTCCAAGAAGGAGTCTTCGTATCTCAAGCCGTAATATTGACCCTGATGATGACGTCGACTCCGGTATGGCGATGCAAATAAACTATGAAACTGCTAAAACTTTGCACGAGAGGCAGCTCGATTTCATAGCCAATGATACGACTGAGGACTTAGGTAAGCTGAACCATAATACATTAGTTAACACTGCTGGACTTTGAGCTGTTTTTATTATATTTAATTTATATTAACTAACTTTATTTATAACTTCAGTTCATTTACGACTGCACTGTTGGCGCAGTGACTGCTGTGTAACGTTTCACGGTTTTTATACCGCACAAAACATTGTGCTAAATATTATCTTCCACAAATTGTGGTTTTTACTTTCATAATTCACTCAACTTCTTACTATAATGCAAATTATTAAATGTTATCAGACCATAAAGTAGAGTAGTCCCTAATTACTAAAAATAAATAATCGACTATTTGGTCTTCAGCTGGCGCTCCTCAGCAGCAGATCTTGGCTCGTCAGTTGGACCGTCTGCAGACAGTATCCCGTGAGCTGGAGGATCATATCGCTACTGTGCAGAACCGGATCCATCTCATCAAGGATATGTGGATGCACAACTGCGATCAGAGTCACTAAATCGGATGGGTGGTGTATAGCGGAGTGATCAGGGTTGTAGGAAAGATCGAAAAGTAATTATAGGCTACACATTGAATGAACAGCATGGAATGCTTCATTAAGGAATGGATGAGGTGGAAAGTTTTTCACAGGGGCGATTGCCAAATTTACTCGTAATAAAATATATAATATTTTTAAATGTCGTAGTAGAAAGTCTTACAGTAATCGAATATGTCTAAGATGTTTAGATCGTAAGCTTTTCTAAACGATTTCCATTTCGTTTTGTACTAATATTTTTTATTTAGGCGGAAAATGCCATAGACATGGTCTAAGTACCTTCTGCCTTCTTTTTTAAGAACTTATAAATAAAGATATTATCTTTTTAATCCTTTTCGGCCAGGCTATACGAAATTTCTGTGATATTATTTTATTATTATTGAGTACATAATATGTTTTTATGATTAATTTATACAAGATAAATAACTAAATATTAAGCTATTATTAAGTCTTTATTTATGCCTAAGAATATGGTAGTTTTAAGAAGAAAACTCCTGCCATATTTACAGACGTGACGTGACATCGTTATTAAAGATTTTGAAAGAACATCAACAGTTAACCAGCTACTCACAAAGTGAAGCTAAATAGCTGCTCATTGCCAAACTTATAAAGTATAAACTAAGTAAGTACGAGAAATACTTACCTACAATAAGCATCTGTTGATATGGCGGGAATTTTATCCGTATTTGTAATCAGTTATAAGTTAATAATTTAAGAAGGAAACCAAAGAATTAAAGTGTCTATGACTACCATAGAGAAGTGAAGAAGTACCTATGTAATATCGTGGACTAATGGATTATTGTATTGTTAATCCATGGTATTATTACAAGGATCCTATGGCTATGCCTCGTTTCAAAAAGATGATCAGAGATTCAGAGTAGCGAAACTGTCAGATCAGGCAGAAATATTTTTTTTTTGTAGATTATCAGACAAAAGATTAGTTGGCAAACGGCATCCGAACTACAGATAATAAATCCCTCCCAAATAAAGCACGTATCAATTTCACTTTGTGTATTTCATGAAAAAAAAACTGTAGTTTAGCGCCAAAGTGTAGAAATCATGTCAAATTGTCGTGTAGAGTTATTGATAAAATACTTAGGTACATTATATTCCATTATTTTTTAGGAGTGGAATACAGAACCCGTTCTCGAATATTTTTCATTAAAAAAAAAACATTTCGAAATATAAAACATTTACACCTACATTTAAAAGGATCTGTTTCTATATAGATGTATCGTTTTTTTGTATATCACATTACAATTCTATCGTTTTCATAAGTTGTAATTTATATTATACCTAACTAATAAGTATAAGTATAATATAAAAATAAGTAGTTATCTGTAACTACCTAGTATGAGCATACTTAAATAAAATATAATTTTATATAATACTTATACTAATTATAGTACAAATTAAAACTTATATGCCTATGTAAGGTTTAATATTGTTTGTACAATGAACGCGCACTTGATTGTACCTACAATAGTTCGGTAGTGTTTGCACACAAATGCAATTGTAACCATAACCACTATTGTAATTTTAAAGATATCAATAAAGTATACAAACGTGGAAACATGTTTCTTTCTTTTTCTGTCCATTTATAGCAAACATAGGGCTAGCATACATTAGCGTAAGGATATATTAAAGACTATATAATACGCCCAATGAATCACAAAGAGGACAATAAGAAAATAATAAAGAGTCAAATCTCAACTCAAACGTCATTAAATTTTAAGACGCTCTAAAGAATAGTTCTGTCCCTACAAATTCTTACTAAAATGACAGAGATAACACGACATTTAAAATTATCACATAACTAATATTTCAGTATTTGGTCGTAAGGGTGCCCCGTTGGGCCTGCGGACGGCGAGCATGGGTGGCTCCCCGTCCGACCGGAAACAGACCCAAGCGTACGGCGCGTCGCGTTCCGCGCGCGCCTCAAAGAGCCATCAGACCACCACAGATGGGGCCCAACAGGGCCGATGCCGATTCGGAGTCGCGGAGAACCTAACAGGTTACCGGCTCGACGTGCAGGAGAAGGAACGGGGTGGATTTTAGTCAGTAAGAGTCTGACACTCCCTCCCGCCTCACCCAGGCGGGAGCAGTCATTCGATGATTTCCCCTCTTAAAATAAAAAAAGGGTACCCCGTGATGCAATAGTCTTAGAGCTCCTTTATTGGTTTTCGCCCTTCGACAAAAGTCTTACATCGGGTGAACCGATGATAGTCACGGACAGTCATTTGAATTGGATGCAAACGACGCGCTGTCGTTTGGAATAAAGAATGAAAAACTACATTGGAGGTTTTTGGTCGACAGTGAACTTTTAGGCTATGAAACATCACGCTAGCCACTAGTTTTTGATAAAAAGTTTTATGAAACTCTTGAGTGCATATACCGATATGAGACACAATGGAAAAAAATACATTGTTTTTTTATAGCATAAGCTGGTAAACGAGCAGACGGATCACCTGATGGTAAGCAATCGGCGCCGCCCATGGACACTCGAAACACCAAGGCGTTACAAGTACGTTACCGGCCTTTTGGGAATTGGGAATTTGAGAATTGTGGAGGATTCGGGGATTCGAGATGGGGACTAGGGTAATTGGGCTTTCGGTAACCTCACTCATACGACGTAACGCAAGCGTTGTTTCACGTCGATTTTCTGTGAGGCCGTGGTATCACTCCGGTCGAGTCCTCCCATTCGTGCCGAAGCATGGTTCTCCCACACTTAAATTTCTCTTAAAACATTATGTCTTGCGTAGATGTATACCACGCGTTAATACGCCAAATATGTATTAAGTACTCTCCACCTCTCTAATGAGAGACAAATTCCACAGTATAACATACATGTTAATATACGATGTATGTACTATAGCATACTGTATTGTCTATTTCTCAGTAAACAGATCAATACTTTGCAACTATAAATAGCTGCGCTGGTGGGCGATGTCCACCTTCGCATGATATATCTACTTGATTATTACAACTGGACACGAGTGGGTGCACTAATAATGTCACCCACGCTTTTTATATGCGAAGAGTTAGAATTGCAATGTAACACTTTGTTTGCACCTGTAATATGAAGGTACCTATAATGTTTATTATTTGAATGTAATAAATAATATTTGTTACTTATTGTTGGAGCAAAACTCTTTTGCATCACCTCATTGATGCCGTTTATAATTAATTATAAAATATACTTTTTTATGTTCCAAATTTAATATATTTTTTCTTTGTCGTCTTCTGTTTTTGTACGTCAAGAACACATGCGTTCTATCCAGTTCTATCCATCGATGATTTTTTATTAATGCTGATCAATATTACCTTGGACTCTCATACACCGATGTAATTTTAATTTTTTTTAATAGTATGCAAACGAGTAGAGTTGGCGAATCACCTGATAGTAAGCAATCGTTGCCGGCCTTATAAAAAGGGATACGTTCCTTTCATGATAGTTTGAAGGTCGTATCGGTTTAGTAATAGAAATCAAACTTCAGATCACTCCACAGTTTTGCTGTGCGAAGCAGAACGCTTCGGGAAAAGCGCACTATATTTATTTAATACCTAAATTTAGGGTATTTTTTCCTGAAAAGAACACAGTCATCACCTCAAAAAATAGCTAAACCTGTAAACGGTTTATTTTACCCTCAAACTTAAACATACAATAATAGGGATGATGACAGGGTATGAAAATTAAAAATCTAATTAGTCTGTCAGTTACGTAATGAAAAAATATTAGACACGTATTTTTTTATTTTGTTTTTTTTTTCTTTTGAAAACAAAACTTAAAACGAATCAAAGTTAAGGAGTGGGAGGTAGTTACGTCATTTTAGAGTAAAAATTGTACTTACTCAAAAGTGTGACGTAATGCGATATTTCAAATCAACATATCTTTGAAAGTATTCGTTTTCGTAAGAAAATAAAAAATACGTGGCTTATGTTTTTAAATAATCTACCAGACGGACATTAAAGTAAAAATTTGTCATCTACCCTATTGAATAATAATCACAAGAAATATTTTAAAACGTATTCAACAAAAGATGGAATCGACTAACCTATTTTCTCTAGTTGCTACGCCGTAGCGCTCGTAGCATCGATACTACACCACGTAGCTATACGCTGACCCTCTTATGTGGAGGAGGTCCATACTTCAGAAACGGACTTTCAGGTACTATTGATGACAGGCTCTAAGAATTTTCTCATACATAACATAACACCACGCCTTTATTCCCGAAGGGGTAGGCAGAGGTGCACATTACGGCACTTAATACCACTACAATGTAACACCCATTTTTCACAATTTATGTTATGAGCCCCATGTAATAGGGGGTGAGTCTATTGACATAGACCGGGCACAGTTCCATTCTCTGTGCTACAACTGAGATTTTTTTAAAAACACAGTAATACTATACTCGACCCGGCAATTGAATCCAAGACCCCTTGTCCGGCAGTCACACTACACTTACGACCGCTCGGTCAATGACGTAGTCAATTTCCTCAAGCTGTGAAAAAAAATGTTTTTCAGTAAAATAATGCAGGCTTGCAAGCACTGGCTACTCTCAGAGAGCTCGAAATCACGCGACCGGACACTTCGAACCAAAATCTTCTTTTTTTATGGCATAAGCCAGTAAACGCCCAGACGAATCACCTGATGGTAAGCAATCGGCGTCGCCCTTGGACACCTGGAACACCTTTATAATTTTTTGCCTTTATAATGGACAACTATAGTTAGCCTCTAGAATACTAAGACGCTACTTAAGTGATTCTTTAAAAGACTAAATTACTGTCTAATAATATATTTTTTAGTCGGTCAAAGAAGCATTTTGTAAATCGACATCCCGTACAAACAAAATATACAAAAAGAAGAAAAATAATTTATGTTTAAAACTGTATACAGTATATATTGTATCAGTTTAACCAGTAAATAGAAAAATACTACATTAAGATTTCGTCTTGGTTTGACA